CAAGGTGGGACAAATGTGCCTTGAAAGCTATGCCGGGGATCGGTACTACTACTAGAAGGTGTGACTTGGACTATGCATTGTGTTCTCCCGGCTGTATTGGCATGTCACTGATGGAACGAAACGCTGGAGAAGCTACGCGGCACTCCCGCTGCTGATATCACCGGGTATTTTGGCCCGAAATGGCAGAAGAAATACGACGAACAAAAAGACATCAAGGAACCCAAGAAAGGAAAAGAAAAGAAAAGAAAAGAAAAGGACACGGCAACTTGGCAATACGCGGCACGGGAGATGAAAATTATGCCGCACATGCAGGGTTCATCAGCGTGATGCAAGAAACATGCGACATGGTATCCCAAGCTGACGCCAATGTACCTTGGTGTGCTTCCGGATAACATGGCCGGAGAATAGTATGAGCAGTCTATAAAAAACGATTCGACACAAACATCAGACCGGGGGACCAAAAGTTTGGGAATGCGGAACAGTGTCCAGTGTGCCACTCTGATGGCTCTCTGTTGGTTCTAACTGGTGACCCTAGTCCGTACCACACTTGGGCGAAGCTGGTCGAGAGGGCATCGATGGCATGGGTTCTTCCAGGGCCTTGTTATATATCTGTATGCATAGTCATTCTGCCGCGGTCCTCGATGGCGCAAGAAAGTTGACAAGTGATGGGCCGGGGGCCGGGTTCAGATTCCCGCTGCAAGTTGGAGTTGCAGTCGCATCCGCATCCGCATCCGCATCCGCATCTGCATTCGCGTTCGTTTTGCAAGATGCTGCGAACTGGTGCCGTGAGAGGGCAAACAAGAAATGCACAAAATGGTGGCAGAACAAGATGCGCCATGTCTCAACCGACGACGATGCGACGATGCGACGATGGGCCGATTCCCATGTCCTTGCTTTTACATGCAAACAATGGTTGCTTTGGCCAAAACAATGATCATCTCTCCACTTGCTAACTTGGCATGACTTTTTACCTTCTGACTTTCTGCTCTTCAGTCTTCACCCCCTCCCTCCCTCCCTCCCCATGGCTATATTGTTCTTGTTATTGGTAGTTAGTTAGTTGGCAGTTAGTTCCTGGCCAAGGGAGCCGTTCTGGCAACGAAGCCCTCGCGCAACCAACCCCATCGAGGCATGGCAAAAGCAAAAGCAAAAAAAAAAAAAAAAAAAAAAAAAAAAAAAAAGACCAGCTAATGCGACTCCAAGGACTTGCCTGGCAGAAGCAAAAGGTGCGTTGATGGAGAACAGACCGGATGCACAAAAGAGACGCGGCAAGATTGACCTGACCCATGGCCAACATGTTAGAGCGCTGCTCGTAGTCGTGCCGGACATTGGGCCTGCGCGATAGTATCTGCAGTAGCATCCGATGCATAAAGTTGCATCTTGTTCATCTGGGCATAGCATAGGTTTTATCATGCCAGCATGCCAGCATGCTTGTTTTGTTGTTCATGCGGCCCTGCCACACCCCGGCCGCATGACAGAGAGGCCGGTCCGACTACTACCGTCGCCGGCGAATCAATCTGATATGCAAGACGTCTCGTCTTGTCTCGTCTCGTCTTTATCCTCCGCGGATTGCTTCGTCCATGTTGTATGTCAGTGCCCATGTATTGCGGCCTCCCGGACACCCCAGTCGTCTCGATGAGCCGAGTTGAAGAAAGGGCGCCGTTTGTTTGAGAGGCCGGAATGAAACAAGACGCGTGCCATCCAAGACCATGGAAAATTGCCGCCACCAATGACCAATAGTCGAGACACCCGTGGGAGACATTAGCCGCCTCACGACGATGCATGCCGAGTGGTACATACATGCGCCCATCGCTGGTTGCCATCAACGAAAAGCCCATGGTTTCGCAAACAAGGCACAGCGTGGTGACACCGAGATGTGCTTCGGGGGATAACTAGACGAGCCTAGTTTAAGTATAATGTTGTGATACCGTGCAGTGCAGTCAGTCCTTGGTGGCACGCGGTCGAAGACGAGACGCCACCATCATTTGTCACATCCAGACGCGGCGACACACACCCCTTTTCGTTTAATTCGTTGTTTATTTTGTTTCTTCTCCTTCTTTTCTTCTTCTCCTTCTCCTCCCCCCCTGCGCCTTCCTGTGCGTTTCCTCGTGCATTTGAATGGCAGCGCACATGTACAATGCCCTCACATGACTGCAGAGACCGTGGGAGCAAGTGGGATACTTTGAACCGTTGTATCTTTTCCGAAGATTCATGTACCTGGTCTGAACATGGGCACACGCCCTCCCTTATTATATTCATGGTTAGTCTGGGATGCGCAGCTCTGGGGTGCAAGACTGCTTTTGCATGCAACTGCACCGGCATCCCGCCGACTGCGCGAGGACATGGAAGCTTGGACGGTAGGCTGACTGATGGAAATGCAAAGATTCTCACTAGTTGAAAAGGAACTACCATCTTATCTAGCTGCTATACAGTACGCTATATGCGACGAGGTACACGCCACATGCTGCTACACTATGCTCCATGCTATACAATGCCACGATAAGACAAGACGCCATGTGTGACAGCACGCAGATATGGAGAAACGGGTGATTACTATTCAGCCATGATCAGTAAGAGTGACGCAACACGCCCAGTAGCGGTCAGAACAAGACCTGGAATGAAATAGGCGTGAGACACGACGTGTCCATCTCTCTTCCTTCTCACCGTCATTATGTGCACCAAACTAACACCTCCGAACGACTGCATTCTATTCCTGCACGGCTCCCGGATTCCCCAGGCGGGTAACCCCATGATTCCCACTTGGCATGTCTAACAGATGCACCGGCCACGTCCTAGGGCAGTATGTATGTATGTATGTATGTATGTATGTACGTCTTCTCGGCGCGCCTGCTTGCCCGTGCTCCCCAGGAGAGCAGTTGTGCTGACGAGTTTCGAACCAGCCGTTTTGCCTGTTGGCTATCAAGGCAAAGACGTTGGAGCAACGTCACGCCATGACATGATTGGCGGTCAAGTCCGGGGGACCGGCCGGCTCGAGTCTTGATGCTCATCACTTGGGGGGGGAACGAACGAGGCTGCGCTATGAGCATGCTTGTTTGCCCGCTGTATTTGAAGTCTAAACAAGAGCCTCTCCTGGTGTGGAGGAAACGAAACCCAGGCTCGTGTGAGTTGAGACGGCGTTGGCTGGGCATTGCAGATACACACTAGCAAAGGCACGTTGGGTGCTGGCGACGAAACAAGGCTGCGTAAAGTATGCGTAGTTGATGGCCCTGCCGCTATTTGTACTGTCTTGACTCTGCTGTTTGTTTGTTTGCCCTCGGGACCACGATATAGACGCCCGCGACGGTGGCGCCTCGAGCCAATAGGTTAAGCATGTTTTGCGGCCGTACGACCATCAAAAGACTACATGCAAGGCAGGCAGTCAGATGACGGTTGCCCTTTTCCCTCCGCCAAGACACCGAGATATCGGACGTTTTTGCCGTCGAGTTTGCCTCGGGCATCAGTCACACAAGGGTTCATCGGACAACACCGAGTTTCAAACCACGTATACGAGAGCCCGATGCTGGTCTCGGATAGTATTGCGAAATACAAGTACTATCCAGAACTGGCTCTCATGTCAGCAATACCCAGAGTCAATCGAGTTGGGGGGGGAAGAGGCTCCATCACCAGCATCCACCACCCAACACGCTGCCGATTCCTCCACGATCAAAGCCGTCGGTGAAGAAAAGAAGAAAAACCCGCCGAGCACTGAGCAAAAAGCACGGCCAGCCGACAAGACTCTCCTCTCCGCAACTATGTACCATCACGTCACACAAAGAAAAACAACAGCCGGTCACTACCACATCCGGAAGTCGACTTGCAAAAGAAGGAAAGAAAAATAAAATAAAAAATAAAAAGTAAAAAGTAAAAAGAAAAGCGACCCTTGAGTTTCTAGCTCGCCACAAGGCACAGATACCCGCATGGCCAGAGCCCGATCGATGCTCCTACGCACCCCCCTTCTTCCCCCCGAGACCAAGACCGAGACAACCTGGGGTGGTGATGCTGCAGCTCAACCCGGGGTTCCGCACAAGAGCACGCCGTACTCGCCCCCCGACGCGCTGCGAGAACCGAAATAAATAATAAATTAAAATTAATTAACATTTGCGTCAGCACGCCACGACGGCAAAAAAAAAAAAAAAAAAAAAAAAAAAAAAAGGTTAGGCCGTCTGGTGACCCACACCGGCCCGCGATATGTCGGTCGTTGGGAGTCATTTTTTCTCGGCCGAGATGCAGAAGAACAACAAGACGGCTGGGGGGAAATGGTGGCGCGCTTCACAAATGTAGTAGTACTTGGATATTGACTAAAAAATCAAGTCAAGTAAGAAAAATCTCTTCATTTCTGTACTTTCTGCCCGATTAGTTGATTAGTTCTTCACTTTATACATCGGCGCCAAAGTGGCCTTCCGCAATTTGCACGTTCCGTCAGGACTGCTTGCCTGCGTGCCAAGAACGGTCGATGCTCTCATCACATCACAGGCGGCGAGGCGTGTACTCAAAGGGTTTTCCTCAACCCATGTGTCCCGTCTATCCAAGCGCCAACTACATACATCTTGCCGTTGAGTAAGGGATGACGCCGGTTGAGGGCCGTCACCGTGCGGGTTGGTTGGCTGCTGCATGCTGATGACGGAAAATACTATTCAGTTTTGCTTCAATAGTTCTTGGCAACATGACTGGACGAATACCTAGTAAACATCACTGCTGCACCAATGCTACGTCTTGTCTGCCTCACAACAGGACAGATCAACGCAAACCTGCTTGTCCATGTACCTCAAACAGTTGATCTTAGCGTCACCACTATTCTTCAATATATTTAGAGACTAGACGCGAACATCTTGACGGTCCAAAAGATTCATTAATCATCGTCGTCCATGGACGGTTTAAGCAATCCATTGTAAAACTAATCGAGGAAGAAGCTTCCTCAAATGCCTATCGAATAATGCTATTTACCCTTTTGCACACTCCTCCTCTACATATCCCAGGTCAGGCCGCGCCTCATGGGTATGGATCTACTTCTCTTCAATGTCAAGTTTCAATGAGTCCTCCGATGTAGGTGAGCCATTGGATCCGTCGACGGTCGATTCGCCACTGGTAAGACCCTTTCGGATGGCCAGGACGCTGTCGACAATGACGGCGTCGATGCCTTCTTTTACTTGTCTCTGTAGGACAATCAATAAAAGTCCCATGATGGTCCGCGGGCGTTTGGGGGGAAGAGAGCATACCTGAACCATAAGGGGATCATTGTTTAATACACCATAGCTGACGCAGACTAAACCAATCTCTTTGACCACCTTGACCAAACGAGGGCTGTTGATCAATGGCTCCGCAGCAGACACAATGCCCAGCAAATTCCATCGACTGGCGAATCGAATAGCCTCCTGTAGTGAGGACGCGCGAATGTCGCCCACAGGGCTACATCCTGCGTCCGTAAGAAACAGGATAGGTATAGAAGGCTGCTTAAAGCTGAGACACAGGCAGATGTCCGGGTTGAAGGAGCTGAAGATGATGTGGCGATTTTCCGCCAAATCGTATACCTTGGACAAGACTGTATCGCAGAATGAGTTGAGCTCCACCGCATACGTGTCCATCTCGTGCTCCTCACTCTCGTGAAGCATGGGGTACTTGAGTTCCATGTTAAAACCAATCTCCTCTGGCAACTGGCGGAATAAGTCTTCCAAGGTGGCAAAGGGAGCTTGAATAAAATTTCCCCGAGAGTTGGCCTTGTATCCCTTCGCCTTGAAGTCCCTAGTGTGCTTCATGCGCTCCTCCATCTCCTCATTCCCGGTGCCAGCATAGCCCATAGACAAGGACCGTTTCGGCGGTGCAAAGCTATTGCTACGGGGTCGGATAGTGAGATCATCAAGGCTGTCGGTGTTGGCGCCATTCTTATACCCTCGATCTCTGGCCTTGTCAGGGTTGATGTGAAGGAACTGTTCCAAGGTGAGGGTATGGACTGGAGCGTCAATGCCCGTCTCACTGACGAGGAAGTCGTGGTAGATGACAGGAACGTGGTCTTTGGTCAGCTGGACATCGAATTCAACGTACTGGGCGCCAAGATTGGCAGCGGCAATGAATGATGGCAGAGTATTCTCTCCGAGCTGCAGTGACTTGTTGGATGTGAGATTCTTGCCCAGGCCGCGATGACCAATCAGCATGGTGGATGACACCTTCCTCCAGTATGTTTGCCGTGATGTAATCTCGATGTTGGGATGGTAAAAGGGTGTAATGACCAGAAAGTTGAAATTGACAGTGCCAATGACTTCCAGGTTACTGGACATGATAGGCACGCAAACATCTCCTTGTAGATTCATGCGCCGCGAGCCAATCGTCTTCTTTACTGATGGGAGTAGCGCAACAGCACGGCCAATCTTGTTCTTCTCGCTTCCCGAGTAGGTTGGGATAATGTCAAACAGCAGCTTGACCTTGGTTGCGTCTTTTGTCTTGAAAACGATGGGTTCGGTAGAAATTCCCTCGTGAACTGGAAGATCAATGGTGGTCGGGTCGCCATGGGCACCATTAGCGCTCACAACCACGGAAAGAGCCGTGTCCAACTGCGTACTGTGCGCCTCGGTGAGAGGCACGCTGTCAAGATGAACAGCCTCCGTGTTCTTTCTAGTGTCCATCGATCCTAGGCTCACAAGCACCAGGCTTTCGTCGGTGAGGTACCGATGTCCAAAGGTCTTGACAGGCTCGGCAGGACGGGGAGTATTGCTGTTTGGTATATTGGAGCGCCTTCCGTCAATGGATGAGTTCTCTGGTGGGTTTGACTGTTGCATGCCCTGTGCGATTCTCGCAGCAGCTTCCTCTTCGTTGGTATGCCCAGCGAGGAACCGAGCGATATCCATGTGTCCACGGAGCGCGGCATGTTCCTTAGCTGTCCAGCCTGACGCATCGGGCTTGGAAACGTCGGCGCCAGCATCAACGAGAAGTCGTATAACAGAGAGCGCTCCGTCGACAGCTGCCACATGGAGAGGTGTCCAAGAATAAGAGTTTTCAGCAAGCTCCATGTTGGCCTTTTGGGAGCCGCTTCCGCGAAGAATGATACGGGCACAATCTTCATGACCGAATCTGGCTGCAATGTGCAAGGCGGTTTCACCGGTCTTGTCAGTCCAGTTGATATCTACGCCTGCGTCAACAAGCATTTTGACAATTGGCTCATAGTTGGACTTTGTGGCCAAGGCCAAGGAGGCGCCAGATTTGGGAATGGTCTTTCGAATCTGAACCTTGGCCTCACTACTTCCCTGCCAGTTTTCGCCTTGAAGCAATGCCTGCGTGGTCAAGGGATGACCCCCAATAACACTCAAGTGGAGTGGTGCAAAACCATCATTGTCATGCCATTCAGGAGCGTCAATGCCGTCCTTGGCGTCAAACTGGTTCCAATCCTGCATGTATTTCATGATGATTTGGCAGACAACAACAAATCCAAACTGGGCAGCATAATGCAAAGGAAGACGTCCAAAGGAATCACGGCCCTTCAGAGCCGCACGCTGGCTTTCACTAAGCTGATCCAGAAGGTAAATAAGTATTTGAACTGCTTCATCGTCTTTTGAAAGAAGGTTAGATTCCCTAGTATTGATAGCTTTAACGGGAACGGCTGCAGACACTGCCGGCTGCAGATGCCGGTTGGTGAACTGTGTTCCAAGAGGAACGGGATACGCGCTCGATTCATCATCCTGGGTCGAAGACTTTGTACGGCCGATGTGAATGACTAGTCGATGGATGCAGTTTCGGCCATTGATGTCATCGGGCTCGTCCAAATCATTGACTTGGGTAAGGAGGTAAGTGATGCACTGCCTTGAACGGGCAGAGATGGATCGCTGAAGAAGATTGAGCAGCAAGCTGTGAGCAAACGAGTCTGAGCCTACATTGGCGTCTGTGAGTCCCCATTTGAGGGACGAGACATCGTCATTGCGAACAGCATGATCCAAAATGTCCAACTGTGACTGTGGCAGGTTGAGCATGGCCTTGGCGGAGGCACGACCGAGTGAGCGAGTAGAGCGATCCGACATGGAATCGTCAATTTGCTGAGCATCAGTGAGAACAGATAACCAGCGATTGATCTCAGCCAGCAATCGACTAATGTTCCCATCCTTGGCAAACTGCTTCGGGTCAACCTTGGTAGAGATGTAACGGTGTTGATATGAAATCTGTGGGACTCTCTTGTCAAGTTTCTTGGTAATCTTGACAAAGCCTCTGCGGTTGATCTCGCCGAACCATTGCAGATTTCTCAGCTGTGTTCGCAATTCGAGCAAGGCGCCCATGACCTCTTCAACCTCATCCTGGTCAAGAGTTGCCACGACGTCGGGGACGCGGCCATAGCGGTTGTGGAGGATATTCAACCGCCGGCATGCCTCTGCGAACTTCCTGTTGTAGAAAGAGTCGACATCTTCAAGATTACGGTCGAGGGCAAAGAAGAGTTCTGCAAGGGTCATGAGTTAGGGGACCCTGGGGTAGATAAAACCCGCCCAAGGCATTCTTCTCGTTTTGAAGAGTGAGGTTATACATGGCAAAAGAAGCCCACCTGCTGGATCTACCGTTTCTCCATTTCCTGCTTTCTGTGCCAGAGCTTTGACGAGTTTCTTGAGGCCCTTGTAGTTGATGTACGAAGCCGCCCACTCGGGGACCTGATTGCGCGGTAGGCTTTACGAGTTGCAAAGAGCAAGGCGCCGTCTCAGTGACTCTGCCCCTCCAAGATTTTTGGGGGTTCATTTAAGAAAAGACGGGAATCCTGGGGGAACTCACTTCCTGCCAAACTTCATCCTACTGACGATGGCTCTTTTCCAGCTCGAGAGAATCTTCTTTCTCTGGTCGCTCTCCACAGCTCCCCTATTTAGCCGCGTTCCTGGGAGATCAAGTTCAATTGGCGAGCAAAGGAACTCTCTGGCTTACCCCTGGCACTGGACCCCTTGTATTCCGCAGTCAGCCCCCCAAGTTTCAACTTGATGATTGAGCAGGGCCAAGGCCGGTGGTGAATGACGGACGGAACAGGACCCACGATGAACAAAATCGAGTGCGAGAAAAGATGCAAGAAGAAAAAAAAGAAGAACAAGATCAAGGACGAGAAAGAGAAACCAAATTACCAGTCAAAAACAAAAGTCGCCTCAACGAATGACAAAATACAAGGGACCGCGACCGCCGAGTGCCGAGCGAAGTTGTGGAGAGAGAGATGGGCCCAACGAGGTCGCGTGATCCCCCAAGCTATGAAGTTACGACAGCCGTTAGCTTTTTTCGATTAATTGACGGTATCGTGAGACCGACCGCCCCATCCGGAGGGGCGTTCACAATGCCAACAGGAGTAGGGGTTCGCTACCGGTCTTTTCGTCGTCGGCACCTGCGTTTGCGTCCGGCGTCCGTCGTCTGTCGTCCAGCAACGAATTCAATAGTGTGACATTGATGGAAAGCAGGTCGCCGCACCTTTTCAGAGGACGGGAAAGAGAAACCAAAAGGCCATTGGGAACCGTGTGCCTCGTGGGGACTTGACCTGGATTTCAAGAAAAAATCAAAGTTGGCCCTTATCCATGATGGAGATGTGGGGAAGCCATAATACACAGTATGCTTGCTTCGAGTTGACACGAGAAGCACGAACAAAGAACGAGCTTGACGGAGTGAGTGCAAAGTGGATGATGCGGCTTCACGGGCAAGTCAGAGAAGTTTCCCTTGTGGCATGGGCGTGCGTCTATCCGACCCGTCTTGTACAAACTCGCTCAAACTCCCAGCCAGTTCCAACCACTTCTTGCTGTTGATTGGCGACCGTGGACCAAGACCTGCATTTGACTGGACCAAGGCTGACGCTGAACGCCTCTCCAAATACCCTCAATACAAAAGTCTCCGTCGACAATCGTCGGTTTGGCCACGCCTCCCTCTCTCCCTCGAACGCCTCCAAATTCCGTGCTGCACCAATCCAAACTGCAAATCCAGCCAACGTGTCTTGCAGGGCCCTCCTCCACTGACACTGACACTGACACTGACACTGACACTGACCGACTTGCTTGACTGGCTGACTGACTGGCTGAGCCCGCTCGTCCTGACGATAGCCGGCATTTAATACATTTGATTCATCATGTCTCAGTTTTTTTTATTTCCTCTACTAATCACCAGTCAGATGTGGAACCTCAGATATGATCGCTACGAGGTCAAGCACCCTGAAAATCCGCTCACCATGTGATTGTACGACACCAGGATGGAATGTCAAAGACGGGGTACAGTGATAAGCGTACTGTACATATATGTACATTGATAATATCGTACATACAACTGCAGACGCTGTCTAATGCCATCATTCTCTAGCCCCCGGCAACATCCCACCACCACATTTTTGGTATCAAACATTGGTATATTGCTCAAGTTCCCACAGCCCATTGCCTCCCCTCAGCGTAGACTCGGTGTGAAGGCCGCTGCCATGTAAGCAGGCCTCTTGGTTTAAAACAAACATGCTCAGAGACCAGTCCGTCTTGTTTCCTACTCCAGCCTCTTGTAGCTATTTGCGCTTCTCGTAGTTTCGGTCCTCCTTCTTGCTCCGTCCACTCATCATTTACAGCCATTGCCTCCATCTCTTCCGACAAGCGTTCCTCCTCTGAGGGTTGGTCACTATGAGCCTCTCGCGGTGACTGAAGTGACAGTGATCCACTGGCTGGTACAACGTCCTGAAATTCCCGAGCCAGTATCACAGATCTCTGGACGGCCGATTTGCCAATATGTATGGCCATAGATGTTCTGAACGTTGATGAAAACTCGGGGTACAATAATTTGCTCTCGATCGAGTTTGTAGTCTTTCGGACAAACTCATATTCCTTCCACATACTCTCGAGTTGTAGCAGTCGGCTCTTTGACAGAGTCATCTCAGCACCTTCCCTCGTGCGGGCGTCTTGGAAGCTACCAGGGTGTACATTTACATCAGGTAGAAGAAGATTTGCTTTTGATAGTGATTCCAAGAGCCTGTTGAGTTTGGGTCCAGAGATGTCCAAGCTGATCAGGCGTCCCTCCGGTTCTCTGCGACTGCTGAGGCCGCAAATATCGATCAGAGCGAAAGCCCTGCCAACAAGATGTGCTGCAGTGTCGGCATCTTCTTGCGACAGGAGAATTTCCCACCTCTTCTGACTGTCTGACAGACCTCGAATCAGTCTCACCGCTGCTCTCCAATCAAGCGCAGCAACACACTCGTCAAAGAGCTGTTTGACGACGCTGGTACTCAGGGCGACTCCAGAACGCATGCAAGAGACGAAGAATGAAGCAGCCTCGTCGAAAAGCTTGAAGTGGAGGAGGCCGTTTATAATGGTTTCCACCAACGGTACATTGAGAGGAACATGTTCCCAAACCCAATTTCCTGTGCTTGTGCGGAGCTTAGTATTCGCTGCCCACTTCTCCATCCCCCAGCTTTCAATGTCTTTGATATGACGTCTTCCCATCTTCCCACCAGACCTAACATCTAATCCGGTAAGACATGCGAGGGTGCGAAGAAACTGCCCGTGGTTACGTGTTACTCGGTAATGGTTAAGAATCGCTGTAAAGGTGGACGGAGTAGGCTTCAAGAGCCGTCTATGGAAGAATGAGTAGACCAAGGCGTCGGAGAAGACATGATGGCCCGATCTGTCAAATGCAACAATGAGGGTGTTGTATGTATGCATGTCGGGGGGGTGTGCGGAGACGAGAAGGTTGAAGCAGACTCTGCCGATTTTCTCTTTCCAGCTGAGGTCATGGGTATTGACCAGAGATCGAATTTGATTATTCAAGGTTATCGTGTTCTTCGCCGCTTTGCCCGGGTCTACGGATCGAAAAGAAAAGTTTGGGTATCCTTTCGCCGCCAGCCCTCTAGCCTCATCGAACGATGGGCATTCAACTGAGCTATTGTCGAGTATCTCGGCGCGGCAAAGTAATTGTTCAACGAGATACTCAACACTGAGGGATTCGCGAACCAACTGGGCTTGACTAAGGGACTCCCGGGAGCCAATTCGACTATCTCGCTCTTCAGCCATGATTGCTCTTTCCAATTGGTCGTAATTGATCTGCCTTGAAGAGTGCAACGAAGGTTCTCCTGGGGTATTATAGTATTCTCTCTTCAAATTAGCGATCAGCTCAGATGCGTCGATCACCGCCGGTTTGTCGATTTCCTTCATGAATGGTCGATTTCGGTAAATCGCTTTAAGGCTTTTCCAAAGTGTATCCATCTGCTGCATTGACAGGTCTGGCGCATTGGCTTCCACCTGCGACGACGTTGATGACGACCTTTCCTGCAATTCGCTCAATTCCCTCCTAGCTGCCTCCAACTGCCGGTCCAGCTCCCTTCTGCGATCATCTTTTCGTACGGCATCCACGATTGCAGCCGTCGCAAAGACTGAGCTGTAACATGCTGTGAATATCTCTGCAAAGGTCGCTTTGCGTCGTCCAGTAGCTCCGGTAGCTCGTCTACCAGCAGCACCGATTGCGGTGCTGCAGGCCCTGCACCCGCAACGATGAGCCTGACCGGCTCTAGCCCAGAGCGATTGCATCAGGTCTTCATCTGAAGAAATACAAACGCCTCTGGCTAGGTTTCGAGGCGAGTCGGCCCAATTGGGGGGGAGGATATCAATTCGTTGTTGAAAGATTGCCTCGGGAGCAACTCGGCTCACGAAATGGGCTGATCCTTTTTTGATCACGTGATGACCTCAGGTTTGATGCGCGTGCACTCCACGCTCCATAATCCCCGCCAAGCGCCGCATGTGGCTCACAGACAAGGACTTGAGAGTCGAGACACCGAGACACCGAGACTAGAGAATACGCGAGTGATCGATGAGATCTGACATTGGAAACAGGATTTCCAGTGTGTGAGCTAGTCTGTCGTTCAAGATGTTTACATTAACCATCAAAGCTGAGCAGACGGGGTATGTGTCTTGAATGGCAACATCTTGAATACAAGTCAGCTAGCTAATATTGCCCCCAGAGTAACAAACCTGCGACCAGACGACACGCAGGACAACCCATTCTGGTATATGTTCAAGGTGCAATGTACGTCGTGCAGAGAGACACACGATAACTATGTGGGTGTAAACCGTTTTGTAAGTGCCCAAGCACATCTTAGCTTGAACCCGGATGGTCAGGTCGTTCTCATCTCCCACCTAGGAAACGAACGAGATGAGCGGCAGCCGCGGTGAGGCCAACTTTGTATGGAGATGCAAAAACTGCAAGGTATTATTTTGTTTCAAATCAGGCAGTCGCAGGAAAGAGGTCGCTAAAGCATCTGGCAGCGTGAATCATCGGCTTCTATCAAAGCCGCACCATTGGCATACGAACAATCTGAGCCACCCAAGGCGCACAGGATTATTGAATTTGATTGCCGCGGACTCGAGTTCACCGAGTTTAAACCAGAGGTGAGAACACGACTGAACGGCATATTTTCATTATTTGGACACGGTTCTGATGCTCATTGACAGGGAGAGTGGCTTGCTGAGGGTATTGACTCGGGTACCAAGTTTACAGCCATCGACCTAGCAGATGGTGAATGGTTTGACTACGACGAAAAGGCCGGAGAGGAAGTTAGCATCAAGGATATCGTCTGGGAGATTCGCAGAGCTTAGATGCTTAGGTCGAACGAAATCAAAAGATCTTAATTAACCAAAAATGTAGATATAGGGTAGCCGCGCCCTTGGGGCCAGGACGCTATCGATACCCCACCCGTAAGCCCATGCACACATGTGCAGCCTTGATACGACTCTGACCTGGTCAAAACTTGCCGAATGCATTCAACTTCGGGCCAAGGTGGACATCATTTCGTTAGAATGGCGTCAGACGAACTTTCAGCCGGCCTCAATTACCTCACCGACGCGGCGCATCTCCTCCGACAGACGGCCCCGGAAACTTCTGCGCACCTGATGAGGCAACGAGATGATTTGATGTTGCACAACAACCTGACTCAACACGAAGTGCAGCGGCAACATGTCTGCGGCGCCTGTGGACATATCATGATTCCGGGAGACAAGACGTTACTGAAGCTCGAGCTCCGCGAAATACACAGGCTGCGAAGACAGGCTGCCTCACAGAAGAAGAAGAGGCAGGAAAAGCCAAACACTGCTTCTTCAGGACCAACGAAATCAATTTCATGTGGGCATTGCGGTCGAGACACTACGATCAGCCTTTCAGCACCCGAGGCAGCGACACGCCGAAAGATATCGAGAGCGTCTACCGCCAAGAAGACGGTGCCGGCGGAGCCACAAAACCAGAAGATGACGGCGAATGCAAGCAGCAAGAAGAGGGCCAAGAACCGCAAAGGCGGGCTGCGAGCCCTGCTTTCTGCACAACAGCAGAAATCAGCAACCTCTCTCTCCCTTGCGGATTTCATGGGATGAGACGACACGGTCTGCCACGCACGACAGCTTTGTACCTAATGTGCATCCTTTTCGGAGTTCAAGGGAACGTCTAACATGGTCTGAGGCCGTCCCCAGGCCAGCACCTGGCTCCTCTCAAGTCTCGAGGTAGCGACGGAGTTCACGGCATCAAAACCCGCATAAAATGCGGCAACGCCATTGGACAAATTTTGCTGTTCCAACCTCGGCCTCCAATGTTGGGTGCCCCATTGGAAGCTTCAGTTGCCTTCTAGCGCACCCTTGAAGGGACTCCCCGCGTCACCAGACCACTAAAATGCCCCCCGGGTCAGCAAGCAGCCTCGCGCTAGCCACCTGGAATGACACAAGGCTGCGGAGCACTGTCCTGCAGATTTGCCCCTCCAAAAATTTCAATGCCCCTCCATCCGAGTCACAAACCTGCATGCCTCTAATTTTGCGACCGACATACACACCTCATCATACGCCGTCGCTCTGTGATAAAGAGCACCACAGCGCCATGTCTGCTGACGACAGGAAAGAAGAGACGGCGCAGAACCCGACCGAGTTCTTCGAGTCCATCGGTAACAAGGTTGCGGGCTTCTCGGCCACCACTAATGACGCCACCCAGGAAGACGAAGAGTATCGACCCGTCGAGGAGATTGAATCGCTTTGCATGAACTGCGGCGAGAATGTGCGTCCCTGTACCGCCAATTTCACATTATACTTCAGAATACTAACATGAGTTACATAGGGCGTCACCCGCCTCCTTCTCACAGCGATCCCCTACTTTCGCGAAGTTGTCATCATGTCCTTCTCCTGCGAGCACTGCAACGTGCAAAACAACGAGATCCAAGCTGCCGGCACCGTCCAGCCAAAAGGAACACATTACGAGCTTCGTCTCACAAGCCTCGAAGACTTTTCGCGGCAAGTCGTCAAGTCCGACACCGCCACCGTCAAGTTCATCGAAATGGATCTTGAGATCCCCCCGGGCCGCGGCCAACTCACGAACGTCGAGGGTCTGCTTACCACCGTCATGGATGACCTCGAAATGAACCAAGAAGCCCGAAAAGAACAATCTCCCGAAGTTGCCGAAAAGATTGCCGAGATCATCACCAAAGGACGTTCCATGCTCGCTGGTGACGCATTTCCCTTCCGCTTCTATGTCGATGACCCGGCCGGCAATTCCTTCATCGCACCCGACCTCAAAGACGGCGTAGGAAAATGGGAGAAGCGCGAGTTTGTCCGCACCCCGGAACAAAACGCCCTCCTCGGTCTCGGCGACACCACCGAAGCACCTGCCGACTTCACCAACCCGGGCCTCACGGCAGACGGTGAAATCATCCCCAACGAAGTATACAGCTTCCCAGCCAGCTGTCCTGGCTGCATGCACTCCTGCACAACGCATATGAAAATGGTCGACATCCCGCATTTCAAACAAGTCGTCCTCATGTCCACCGTCTGTGACCACTGCGGCTACCGCTCCAACGATGTCAAAACCGGCGGCGAAATCCCCGAGCTCGGCGAGAAAATCACACTCACCGTACAAGATGCCACCGACCTTGCCCGTGATATCCTCAAATCCGAAACGTGCGGCCTCGAGTGTCCCGAGCTGCAGCTCCAAGTCAACCCTGGCACGCTGGGCGGGCGCTTCACCACAGTAGAAGGCCTCCTCACACAAGTCCGCAACGACCTGCACAGCCAAATCTTCGAAGTCAACGGCCCGGGGCAAGGTGGCGACTCGCTGAGCTCCTCTGAAAAGACGCAGTGGGATGCCTTCTTCGCGGGACTGGATGCCGCCATCAAGGGCGAAAAGGAATTCACTGTCATCCTGACGGATCCGTTTGCGAGCAGTTTTGTGCAACCACTTGTCGATCCACCTGCTCCTGATCCCAAGATTAAAAGGGAGAATTATCAGCGGACTGAAGAGGAGGAGGAGGAGTTGGGGCTAAAAGATATGAAGGTTGAGGGATACGAGGAGCCTGAAAATACCGGCGGCCAAGATGAGTAACGTGCAAAAAATTTAGCGAGGAATGCGCATAGGAAGTGAATTTGAATAAGTGGGTTATAGAGAATATCATGAGCGGAGTTTGAAACGGGGGTATATACTCAAATCATAACGAAACCTAACCGTGTCTTTTTCTGATAATATCACGTAAATTGATTGGGAAATATCTTGAACTTTAACTGACTGCTCATATGATACCAACGCATGTCTTCCACATTGGGTATACTGACACGAAAAGCACATGGATGCTGTACAGCACGAAATGAAAAACAGATCAAACTCCATGCTCCGTGTCCACGTAATGCTACCACCCCGAATCCGCCGCAAAACCCATCCATCCTCATCCAGGACGGACACCCATGTTCATATCCTCAATCTGAGCTTTCTTCTCCAACGGTGCATCTGTACGAACCCGCAACTCTAAAACGACAGGAAAAATAAAATAAAAGCAAGCCCACGCCGGAGGGAATGTGTCACCGTCCTTTTTAAGCCTTCGATCCCTGATTTTGGGAAGTGTTGCAGTAAAAAAAAAAAGAGGTTTGACAAATTGTAAAACGCAAGGAAAGGGGGGAAAAGACCGAAATCAAAAAACCGCTTGTCGAAGGCCGGTTTGGCTCAAGCCATGATAGCAATGCAGCTTTACTCGATCCTTGCGCTCGCAAAACAAGTATTAAATGTAAAATTGGCAAAGAGTTTCTGTGTCAAGCGTCCTTTCTAGACACAGCAAAGAAGAGTAATCGGTCATTCTGCCCTCCAGCCAACCTTTGTATCGAACAGTCAGGCGCCAAGTTGCTCGGCATATTCGGTTATGGTAATGTTACTGGCCAAGCCAGGATAGCCATCTTTATGTAGGCAGCACCATTGTATTCGAACCGCATCAATCGTTTTTATACTCCATGCCAATAAAAAAACGCAAATATGACGCTTAGAAGAACGAAGGCTTTGTGAGGACGCGGTACTCGACATAGTCCTCACCATCGATATTGATAATCGTGCCCTGCGATACAAGCTTTCCCATAAAAGGCCCAGTTGCTTTGCGCTCATACTTGATGCCGTCGTAAATCTTGGCTTCGTCCGAACTGCTTTTCATGCGAAGGCTCTCCTGTCGAGCCCATACCTTGTTCAGCCGCTGCATATCGTCAGATTCGTGGAAGACCATTCGGCCGTTGGTGTTGTGATGGTGCTCGAGAGGCATGTTGGAGGCAGCTGCAGCTGCAGCGGCGGCGGCATTGGCTGCATCTGCAGCGGCGGCGGCGGCGGCTCTCTCTCTCTGTATGGCGTGACGATCTGCCCGGCCTTGAGCAGCTTCAGCTCTCGCAATTTCACGACGTGCCAACGCGTTAGTTCTCTCCACAGCCTCTACGCTCTGAAGTCGGCTTGCGCGTAGTTCACTCTCGCTGAGTGATGCCCGGATAGGTCGCGGCTCAGTCCGGCGCGACTGACGGAGCTCGTGACCACCATAACCATGCCGCCCATTCATGCGCTCATCGCCATCACCCTGTGGAGAGGCTGTAAACGTGGGAACTGTGACGTTGTGGGGTTGCTTATATGGCATTGTGCCGGCTCGGGTCTGTGCCTCGTACACAGCCTTGGTCTCATTCTCAATGCGATCGGCAGAGGATTCGCCATGATCTAACTGATATTGCCGAACGCGGCAGTATTCCTTAACCTCTTGCCTGTTAAGAGCTTTCAAATGTGGCTCAAATTCAACCTCCTCATAAGCAATCCATAAAGCACCGGCTCCAGATGGGAAGTTGCCATCCACGAATCGGCCATCCCTAGTCTCTCGCACGACCTTGACACGGAACATGTCATTCTGACCCAAGATACCATATACAGCGTGGCGATCCTTAGGATCAACTTCGCTCGACGGCTTCCAATATCCTATTATGATGCGCGTCGGTCGAGTCCCTGGAAGAGGATCAACAGAAAATCGATTTTGGTGAGCGGCAATAGCCAGCTGCGAAGCTGGAATTGCAGTCGGCTCGGGGACCATCTCAGGAGGAGCTGGGTTAATGGCGGCAAAACCACCACTGACACGCCTACGCTTGAGGTCAGGGCGGGCGGGGCCCTGGAGATGGTCTGGCATATCGATACCGTATGCGATAGGAGGAGGCTGTACCGGATTCTCTAAAGCTGGGTTCTCCTTGACGCGGCGGATCGCCTCTTTAACGGCAGCGTGCTCAGCAGCTATACGGCCATCCTCAGTTTCCTCAGGTGCAACCTCGGACCGAAGACGCGTATACTCCTTTACTTGGCAGTGGTCCAAGCCGACAAGATGGTCAGAAAAGACGACGCGCTCAAAGGTGACCCAGCTTCCACCTGGTCCTGGAGGCAGGGGATAGTCCTCAGCCAATGACTCCCCATATTTCGTGTTGGGTTGAATCCGAGTGCGTAGGCGATCTCGGACATCAATGAAGCCGATAACAGCGTGCCTCTTGTCCTCATCTGGCACGTGAGAATCCCTCCAAGTCCCCAGAAGAACACCCTTAACACCTGGACCACCGAGGCTTTGACGATTGGGTTTGAATTTGATCGTACTAGTGGGCGAAGTGGGCGACCTTTCAGGGGCCGCAGTGTGGGCGCTCTCTAGCTTGCTCTCGCTCAGATCATTGAAGATAGAAGTTCGCTTTCGCTTAGGGTAATGTGAACCAGCAGACTCCTCTGGAGCGTCTTCCATCGCCTCGTCCTCGTTACCCTCCGAAGTTTGGCGCCCGCTTGGCAACTTTGGCGCTCCCCTGCTGCTCCGGCCACTGACAACAATTTCGTCTTCCAGTTCGTTGAATGCTACATTGCTGTCCGGATCGCTCAGTTCACTATCGCCCTCGTTATCCTCCTGGCGAGTTTTGTTGCCATTCAACCGTCTAAGCGTCATGTTAGTCGATGTTTCTGGTATGTTCTTCGTTCTTGTGATGGGCCCTGAAGGCGATTCTGTGGCATGCATGCCTGATCGTTTCTATCTCGAGACAAGAATATATATATATATATATATATATACATATATTCTTTGTATATGTATATATATATGTGTGTATGTGTGTATGTGTGTGTATGGGTTAAAGAGAAAAAAAATGGTGAAACTTCTTTCGCACAAGGAACTATTGCTCGACGAGCACGTGATGTACAAGAACGGTGTCTGTGAAGTACAAGAGACAGACAAAGAAAAGGACAGTCGCAGCATGTGTGACTTGACTCCTCTTACAACTCGGCTGGGACCAGCGATGGTAGGAAATACACCGGACCTAAGGCGCTCGATAACACTTGTGTCTCATTCTGCGTGTTCTAGTGGCGGTGTAACAAACCCTCTGCACCGACTGGAACAGAAGCCACAAATCAAGCCCGGCTTCACAGGGTAAAAACCAGTAAAAGTGGCCGTATTGTGTCTGCGCGCATAAACCTCTGGCGTAACACGACATCAGTTCAACGGACACCAGTGGTCCATACGTCAGTTGAGCTATGCCGTGCCAACTGCGCTGGGGTGTGTCCGTGAAACAAGGCTTTTGTTTGAAGAGTCAGATTCCAGCCCAGCGTTGACCTTCGGGCGCGCAACACTGGCGTAGCAGTGAGCAAGAGAAGTTGCGTTTTACAACTGTCCACGTGGATAATGCAGCATCTGCCCGGCACTGGGCACTTTGCAGCTCCGAAAATAGGGCCCACGGCCGTGCTCGGTGTCAAAACGTTATGGTGAAGGCTGCTTTTTGGACCCTTTGCTCTCTCGACTTTGTAACTTTGTGACTCGTTGCAAGTACACGAGAGTAAACCGGGTTGAGAAGTGACAGAAAGGGTGCCGGTGGAAGGAGCACTGAGCTCAGGTTGAGTTGAGGAGTGTGGATCGGGTTGCTTCGAGGCGCAAGAGGTGGTGATCATACGAGATGAAAGAGTAAAGATAAAAGAAACTCGCGTATCATTTCGGACCAGTCATGCATGTGGACCTCCTTTTGGTGCCCGGCATGAGATTGCCGTTGCGGTTGGCAAAACGGAAAGAGCGATGTGCAAATGAAAGCAAATGAAAAGTGCAGGGACAAATCAAGCTTTGGTGCTGGTGGACGCAGCACCTGGCGGCCAGGGGAGCAGCCAGTTCAGTGCTCGGAACAGCTCGAACCAGTCCATGGCAGCCAATAATTCTCTCAATATTGGGCTTCCAAAGGCCTCCAATAGCCAGCACTCATGGTCGAGCGCAACCAGACACAAAGACTCGTCTGGGTCGGCGGGACGGCAGCACGGCGGAATTGCTGGCGTCCAAGGACAGATCGACATGGTGGCAACCGCCCAGCCCGGGCCTGGGCGTAGCTGTAGGGCCGAAGCTATTGATAAAACATCGAGGCAGCATGGAAGAAGGCAGGCCGCAGCATGAGCCGCGAACAGCAGAACCCAGACCGCCGGGTGCAACCGCCGACAAAGCCATCTCGAAGCGTTTTGTTTGGAGTTCCCGCCATGGTCAAGCTGTAGGCCAGCCAGATGCAAGTCTTGCACTGTCTTTCAAAACCGGGGGGAGATTGGCTACCAAAAGCAAACTACTAGTTTGCAAATGGGCTGAAGGGTGCACAAAGCCACCAAATCAATTGATGCGGCACAGAGGCGTAGAGCTGGTGGACCACGACTATCATGGAGCCAAGACCTGAGACCCAAGACCGGAGGAAACTGGGATGAGGAAAGGAAACAATTGACAACTCACCTAGGTGGCGTTTGTTCGCCTTTGTCCGGCTGCTCAGCTCCGCCGCTTCGACTGGATGCACCCTCGGTTTCGTGCGAAACACCATTCTCTTGCTTGGTTTGGGGGACAGACTCGGATGCAGGCGGTTCTTCCGAGGAAGCTCCAGAAATAGTTGCTCGATTTGCTGATGGCGCGGCTGCGGTGTCGGCTCCTTCAGAGGCTGTGTGCGCCTGTGCTGGCGTTGACGCTGGAGACTGCGACCTGCGCTCCGTCGACGTAGTCTTGTTGTTCTTAACACCAGGATCCTCCATGACACACGCGGGCGCAAAGGCCAAAGTTGCGTAATCGGTATGCGTATGCGAATGCGTGTGGAGGAAAGCGGAAATCGGGAAGCGAGTCCTCCAAGGTATGCGAGGAGACAGCGGGAAGAAAAGAAAGATGAAGAAATGAAGAAAACAAGGTCCAAGCAGGGAAAAACAAAAATAGAGTGCTAGTACTAGTAGTGATAATCAGACGATGAGACGTCCAAAGTGAGTCAAGGACAGCAAAGAATGAAAGACAAGGATGACCAAGTGGGAACTCAACCAAATTAACACTGTAATAACTAGGGCCTCGTTGATGTGATATAGCTGGTGGTTGCTATCTTGCAAAGGTTCGGCAACTCCTTGCAAGCGCCAGAATTTTTTTCTTTAGTTATTTTTTGTTGGCCCTGAGTTCCAAGGGTCAGTCTTTCTGCGACAGGTGAGGAATAACAAGACAGAAAACAAAGGTTGTATGGCTTGTGGGTTGAAGACGGGCAGGTGGCATGGGTTGTTTTTTTTTTGTTTTTTTGTCTTCAATGTGGTCCTGTGGTCCGGTAATGCTGTGGTAGAAATGGAATAACTCAAGATATAGACAATGGCAGTATCCGGCGAGAACAGCAATGGGCAAGAGGGAAATAGTCTAGTGCGGGACAAAGGGGAGAAGAGAGAAGGCACAGGATAGACCGGTAGTTTCGGAGGAGGACCCGAGGGTTTGGGAATGATGAGAAACTCAAGGGCCACGTTGAATTGGCAAGGGAAGAAAGGGAAACGATGCGACGGTAATTGGCTCGTTTTGACACGAGGCCAGATGCTTGAGGCCGGAAGGGTGCGAAATGTCTGGGTTGCCCCAACTAATAGGAACTAAGGATAGCAGACGGATGGAAGACGCCGACGAGAGAGCTCTCGACTGCAAAGACAAGTCTGGTGTATGAAGGCGTGTGAGAGGCGTGACGATCGACACCCAACCACTGTGGCCAGCGTGTAACGAATTGAGGCGAGCCGGGGCCTGCGACAAGAGACGCAGAGAGCAGAGCCATAGACGTCACGGAAGCTCACGGGCGGTCAACTATTGTCGAGTCACGCCAGTCAGTATACTACAATGTACAGTACGGAGTATGGGCGGGCTATAACATTGAATCATCCAAGGCAACAACGTCGACGTCTGATTTGATACTGGGCCCAGACAAGAGAGCCAAAAAGACGCCGCGCGCGCGCCAACCGAGTGCGAAACTTGCAAGGCGAATGAATAAATGGACGAAGCACTTGAGGGGAGGGCGCGGGTTCAAGGTTGCGTGCGTAATGTGCACGGGGGGCGTGTGGCCAAGGGAACATGGAAAATGAGCAATTGGCAATTGGCAAGCCAGAGACGCCGTGTCGAGTTATGTACTCCATGTCCGTATGTGCAAGTATCATGTAACCCGGATAATGTGTTTAAGTAAGTAGTGGGCGTGGCTTGAGCCGTCTGATGGTTGACTGGCCTGGTTTCATCCTTCTAACCTTTCCGAACCCTGGCGGCGGGAGAGGGAAACCCCAGCCTGCTTGTTGAATGCAAAGAAATAGTACGACACCGTACTGTGTGCTCTCCATGTCCTCTTGGCGCTCCATGTCGAGTTGCAACACCATCCAGGGTGGAACTTGGCCAAGAGTAACAAGTACTCCGTACTGTACGTAGGCGAGCTGATATTAAGGGACGACGAGACGACACTGCGCGCAACTGAGTTTGTTGTCAAGCCAAAACGCACAAAGCCAGGGTGTGTGTCACGTACCGAGTGAGTGAAATGACTGATGGGTGAATGAGGTGACGGGCCCGCGGCGCTTTGTCAAGTACATACATACAACCAGCAACTCATGATGCCAGATGACACTCCAAGTTGGTCTACTCCGTACCGAGTACCGACTTATAGACAGACTACAGAATACGTGCTTGTACAAAGCTTCCATGTTGCGTTATGACAAGGTATCCGATATACTACATACATACATGCGCAATGCGCAGATGAGGGCGGCAGAAACTGGCCCAGAGTCGACGGCAAGTGGTGGAATGTCTTGGCGGCATAGGTTTTCTTTTCCCTTCCATGTCTCTTTCTCTTTTCATCCCCTCTTGCCATTCTTCCAGTTTCGAGCTCTCCACGATACTCAAATACCAGCACAGCCGTCAAAAACGAAACGACAGGCACACGTCTGCTCCGTACAGGCGGTGTAATAAAAAGGTACTCAAGTACAAAGTACATAGTAGCATCCGCGAGAGTCCTGACCATGGCTAGCCCGCCAGGGGGCGCAGAATGACAAAGAGAGACAAGTTTTACTTCTAAGTTTGCAAGGGATGTGAAGACATGCCAATCACCACCCGCCAATAACATTTCCTGGGCTTGTTACGCCCATGCGAGGAACATTGAGAACACTACTACTACTAGTAGAACCAAACATTTCGAAACCGCCAACACGGAAACAAGACTCACTTGATATCAGTCTCGAATTCCACGTTTTGCGTGTACACATACGCACACGTACTATAGGCGCCGAGCTGACCTCGGCTGTCGTCGTCACCGTCGCCGTCGCCGCTCTTGTGCAACCTGGCAGACCAAAAGCAGTTGTCTGTTGATCCATAAAAAAAATCCCGACTCAAAAAGTCCCGTTGCCTGAGTGAGCTGTGCCTCCCATGCAGACCATGGCATCTAGAAGCATGGACGCGTCCAAAAACTGCAGGAGCTACTGAACATACGACCCAATGTTACTCGAGTCTGGTCGCTTTTTTTTTTTTTTTATGGTTTTGCCTTGTGCAACTCAGTCGAGGACCTTTTGAATTGTCACAGCCACAACTGCTTCCCGTTGCAGCGAATACTCGACTCAAATGACAAATGGATGGCAAGTACTCCGTACAGCAAGGACGACAACACCAGACTCAACCAGTTGACCCTTTTTCTTTCCCCACGGCCATAATCACGCCGCCCTGGTAATTCGCACCGCACCCACAGCCACCGGCGCGATAACCGGTCCAGCATCGAACTGCGCATGCCATCAAAGGCCGTCCGCTTCCTCTGGGCCCCTGGTCATGGATTACTACTACTACTACCAGACGGAGTACTAGTACAACAATGAAGAAGCTCCGCACTTTTCACACCACACCCATCCGTCCACGCGTTGCGCCTCTCTGGTGGTCATTGCTGTGGCGGAAAGGTGTGCTTTGTTCCCTCGTCATTGGGCAAATTTGGTGGACTACGCCAGACAAGCAACAAAAGCCACCCCGAGCCCACGTAACCACGACAATCCCATGACTCCCGGCCCAGGAACCCGCCGCAGCATCTCGCAATCGCGGCCTGGAGCAGGGAGGAAGGCTGCGACGTCATTTGATGTCCGCCAACCCGCTCAGCCTTGCAGCCTGGCCCCAGGCAGCTTTCTCTGGGAATTCACCCGCTGAGGGGGGAAGAAGAAATGGCCCGATCTATGTACGGCGTGCAATGCACCGTCGTCTGCATCTGGAAATTGGAACTACACCAGCAGAAACGAGTCGTGCCAGACAAGCTCGTCAGCGCGCATGCCAAACATGCCACTGGAGTTGCAGTTGCCACAAGTCCGGATAAGATCAACACGCCCCTGCAATATTACTATTTCGAGTTGATGCCACCGTGTTGATATTCCTTCATTCAGCCTAGCAAGGAGGATGGGTGAATGGCCATGAGGTTCTCTGCATAGCTGTATGACTCCGACAGGGCAAACCTCGGGGTTGACTGCGCACAATGGTGATTCTCTTGGGTTCAATGTGAACACGTATACGGGGTACCGGATATTTGTCACTTAATATAGGTCATGCGTATATGCACACGGTATGATGGGATTATCTACTCGCCTGATCGGCTTTTTTTTTTTTTTTTGCCGAAACGCAAGTCCTTCGTTCTTTGGCCTCTAGTTTACCTATACCTACCTGGTTACGTGAGCAGTCTCCAAGGTTATGCTTGCAACGCGAGTGGGCTTATGTAGAATTGCCAGTTCCAGGTGTTTGAATTAAAAACCCATATTGGCCAAGTCTACTTTCTTAGTTAGTCATGTCTGACCGGCTCATCCTTGAATCTATACCGGCTGAATCTGAAGCCTGGCAGGGCACAAGTCGACACTGGAGGCTCGTGGGTGTTTAGCTGCAACAAGGGGGGAGGAAAGTACTACTTTTCTTAATGTCTAATTCATTCATTCGTTAATCAATTTAGTCAAGTAATTCGTAACATGCGCCGATGCACGGCCATCCAATACGCTGCAGTTTCCTGTCATGCGACATACATGCTCCATACTGCGAGATTTCAAAAGTGCAGTGATATTATGCGAGAACCCTTTTTGGCATGATCCGCAACACGACGATAACCCTATACGAATATTGTAACACCTTCGCAACGCCCACGGTGATGGACGAACGGAGGGGACGGGCTGCCTTTTCATTCGGGGTCACCGTGTTGGACTCACACCCTTGACCTTGTAGTCATTAACAGTTGTTGTCTGCGCCTTGGTCAAATTATCGTCGAAAATTAGCCGACCTTGGCAGGCAGACTTCTTTGCCTTGTCAAAGGACGCAAGATGTCGCTACCGTTCGGCCCATCCAGTCTGTCTGCGCTGTCTCCTGCGTCTCCCCTACAGTGCGTAATGCTTGGCTTGGCTTGGTGTATTGTATTGACGTAATATCAATATTTATTCCACAGCCAAGAGAGTTTGCGTGGCTTAATCTGCACCCGCACGCTTCGGATTTTTTTTTTAGTGACGAGACCCATAACGTTTTGCGCCTGTTGCGATAATGTGCTCCTTTAATAGTAGTCTCATCCAATATTGGTAGGCAATAGTGCCCATACGACTGGCGTTAGTACTGCGTTTAGTTTGTTTGTGGCATGGAGTAACTTGGTAGATTTTTTCAACTCTTCAGCTTGTGACAAAGATGCTCTCCACGGCCGAGACCCAAACTCAGCTCCATTCCTGTGCTCCTTTTTTTTCATTTCTTTTTTTGTGGAATGATGTAGAACCTAAAACACCACGATGACAACGTCACGCTACAGCCCAGTTGGCTAGCAAAGCTGAGGCGTAAACCATACATGGGCTACACAACACTTCATATTGTGTTGTGTATGGGTGCACCTCATTTTCTCCCCCGTGTTGCCAGGAGCACAGAGACGGCGAGCCAGCATACGAATGAGCAACGGCGTATATGGAGAGTGCATGGTGCATGTGTGTTGCACACCAACAACTTCGCGTCAGTCCCGATGTTTCCGTTACTGGCTTTAGGTGCGTGATGGCCTTCCCCTCGGACCGCTGCGCGTGGTGTTTTACAATTGTTCCCTAGAATGCAGCGTGACATTAGTATAATGCGACAGTGCAAGCAACACTCGTTTCTGTTTGGCTCTGCGGCGGGGGATGCAATAAGAGAATGCGAAAGAAGGAGGGGATCGCTGACCAGATGCTGCCGTCTGGTGTGAATGGATTAGATACAGGGGGTTCGGGCAAGGGGGGTGGTTAATCTTGCGCGAGTAAGCTTCTCATGGTGGCGACGAGGTATTTGCCAACATGGACTGTGCTCGACTAGGCATTTCTCGTGTTTGTTTCCATGGAGAGCGATGCCGACATTGCGCCTTTGACGAGGCTAACGGCTTTGGACTTCCAAGGTCAAGTTGTCATGTTTGACCATGGAGGGAGTCATGTTAAGAGGAGACTGTATAAATTGGATTGTCAAGTCGAGGTACTTGGCAATACCGTAGTACATATTCCTCCTTGCCCGCAGCTCTTTGCCCAACGTTCCTTCCCTGCAGTCTTGAGACACGTTTGCCCTCATTGGCCGGCGTTGATTCCCAATTGCTCAACAAGTGCCCTTCCTACTGCCCCACTTAGAATATACCACCGAACAGTGTGAAGACGTCTTGGCCCTTGACCCTCATCAACCTTTCGACTGTCTCCTTACCCTCACGCATTGGTCAACAAAACCCCGCGGGCTATTGGGCAATAGCGTGTGGGTGTATGGGCGAAACTCGCTGTGGCACCATCTTGCATCATCGCTTTAACTTGGTGGCTGAAGTACTTGTCTCCCAGTGTACATGACCATCAAGCTTCACCCCCGGCTGGAGATGAATCATGCATGCTAAAGTTGTTATTCAACTGCGAGAGTTATGACGGGCAATGAAAGGCCGGTAGACCACCGCGGTCCAATAAGGGAGGGAAACTAACCACGTCAGCAACAAACAGGTATGTCCAGACCTTGAGACGACGGCGAGTCATTACTAATTGGTAGTACTATACGTCTATCGAGAATGTACATATTTCCTCCCTTGTTTGCTCAACTCGTGTCAATCCCTGCACCCGTCAAGATGCATGGGCAAAAATCTTGGCTACGTGGGCAGACGTCGTTGTGGCGCAGTTAAAGCCGATGCTGGGAAAACACCTGGATCTCGCAACATGACATGAGGAACATTATTTCCACGACCAGGCGCTAGTGCATGACTGCCTAAGCACACGACGTAATGGGGATGCAAATGAGAAGCTTGTCTTGAACATTCTGATCTGTGGCGCCACATTTCTGATCGCTATTGGTGCGCGTCCACCGCTTGTCTATATAGACCATCTCAAAGTTTTGACAAGCCATTCGTATACCAAGCACCGACCATTATGACTCTAAGCGTCAAATTCATGTCCTCAGTGACAAGGCACGATACGATAACGGCTCAATGGACCACCAAGACACTTTGGCCGGGTGGGCGAGCAGCAACGAGAAAAAAAAAAGAAAAAAGACACATTGAATAGTGTACCAAAAGTCATTATGGCATGGGGACTAGGCTGACAACCACCACCAGACAGTTCCATTTCGAATGACACAATTCGTGGTTTAATTCGCTCCGTTGGGCGTCGAGACGGTAAGACTTCGAAGCTGAGCGGAATTTTAATTTTATTGGATCCTCTTTAACGCACTGGATTGCGCTTGGTAAGCTGACGTGTTGGCCTCTCGACAAGCCATGATTTACAGGGATGCACGAAACAGGAGCGTAATAAAGTGATGTCGTAAAGAGAATATCCAAAAGACTCTGCTTCGAACTCATATTGTACACAACTTGGGTTCTTGAGCGCGTTTCATCGTGTTTCGTTCCTATCAACTTCCACACTCTCCTGGCATCCTACATACATTGTGCAAGGGTCGACCAACGCCACCAAAACATCATTTAATTAAGTGTGTGTCAAGTCAAGATCGGTACTAGGGCGGATAGGCTTTGGAAGCCGAAGGCTGACGGCAAGGATGTTGTCTTTGTTCTAGCTATCTTGTTACGCGTAATGTCGCAGCAACTACCGAAGCCCATGTCCTATGCTTTGAGCTGGCTGGCTGATCTCAGACTGGCGCTCACTGGCTTCACCCGTACGGAGGACTGATTGTTATTTCCACTGATAGAATGTGTTGTCGATGGCTCCCATAAAACCACGATTCTGACGGGGAAGCCTTGTTCTCCTGGTAGTAAAGTTGAGTAGAGCATTATTCCAACCACGTCGTACATGATCCAATCTTGCACATCTACAATGCGGCATTTCAAACACCAATGTCAACCTGAGAATAGCTGGCTTCCAAAAATACCTGGGGTTATGTCTGGTCAGACCGAGTTGCCATCCGATACTCTGGTGAGCAACTAACCATGAGACCATGAAACCAACAAGCCAGTTTGATCTTGGCAATATGTATTCCCCCATCTGATACGTCATTGCCCTCATACTTTTCAGCCGTCATACGCATTTCAAAACCCTTTCGCACTGTGGAAAAATCAACAGCGCCTCATAGCGGTATGCATATAAATAAAAACCCGTCATCCCAAGCCCAACCAACGACGACGAACATGGGAGGAGATCACCTCCAAGTTCAAGGCAGGGAGTGGTAGCCAAACCAACAGGAATCCTGGGCACCATCAACTTCCTTTCACTGAACAACGCACAGGGTGTTTACTCCCCACGAAGCAGGGAGGGTCAACGCAGTAAGGATGCCGGAACCAACACGCAACTACCAACTTTCATGATGTCAAGCATCCTGCCAAGGCGCCGAATATGACTGATTTAGGATACATGTTTCGATATGACGGTTGGTTGGTTGCGCCTGGCACCGGCGCAACCACCGCCACAACACGGAATCATTGGAGGAAGCTCAACACGTCACTTGTTGATGCATTTACCTTGTTGGATCGCTCAACTACATGCTACAATTTCTGTAGTCTCTCAACCTCACGCCACCGTTACCTTGTCGCCCGTCCCCCGCCTCTGCCTCTGCCTCTCCCACGACCGCGGCCGCGGCCGCCCTTCCTCCCACCCCTTGTACCGCTGCCTCGTGAATCGAACCTCTCAAAGAGCCGTTCTGCCCCAAAAGCTGCCTCTCCGAATCTCATAAAATTCACCAATCCCCTATCCACCACTGCCACGAGAACATTTCGGTGACCGTGTTTTAGTCGTTGATACAGCTTTCCTGGCCCTTGCCACTTCGGATTTGGCAAATCAAACGGTGTCGATTCCAGCAGTGCCTCAATCTGCTCTAGGGTAGGTAGTTTGGAGTCTGCTGTATCTGCAACCGCAATACGGAAATCAGGTGGCGGCGGGTTCTTCTTGGAGAAGGGGATGCCCGCGGGTTTCCAGACATGGAAATGAACCCGGAAGGGTTCTTGGACGTGGTGGTGTTCTTCCGGGTGTGCGGAGGGCTTGTGCCGTGGGATGACGGCAAGTTGTTGGTAGACGGGGAGGTATGCTCTGTATAGCCCTGGCGACACGAGGGGGCCGTAGGGTCCATGCCGCGATTTGCTTTCTCGACTGACGAAGGAGAAGAGCCACTGCCATAGTGACTGCGATGAGGACGACGGCGCGGTTGGTTCGGGGGGAGCATGTATCGGTGCGCGCATGACGTTGAATCCAGCTCGTTTGAGGTGCGTATATACTTGGTATTTCGACAACGTTGTCTTGCCACGCTCGCCTTCGTAGCCCACCATCATTGCATACGCTGCTTCCACGGTCAACGGCACCCCGGCGTCGTAGTCATCTGGGCCAAACTGGTTCCTGCCAGGTCCGTTGCCAACACCAAGTGGGAGAAGCTCTCCGAATTCCTTGTCGGGCCACCATATGTCCACGTTCCCACGCTCAATCAAGTACAGCGCCTCCTCGGGGAGCAGCCAGAGCCGGCCGACCCCGAGCTGGTCTTTGCTTCCGGAAACAGCTCGTCCAATGTCTTTCATCCAGCTCCCGCGCTCCTGCTCCACGGCTACCACGCGCTCGTGCAGCAGGGCATCCTCCTGGCTACCTTCTGGCCGCTGTTGAGTCCACCAGTCTGGGAAATACCAGGCTCGGATCCAGTTTTCGGGGCGGTGGACGCGGGTGTAGCTTAGGACTTCTTCGAGTGCCTGTCTGCTCGCCTCGAGGGTATTGTCCTGCGCTTGGGTGCCGTGGGATTCAAAGTCCTTTTCCCCCTTGCGGATGACTTTACTAGATACTGGTTTTTTGCTGAACATGGCCGAGAAGAGCTTGTAATCCGGAACGCCGTCTTCTAGGGCGTCTTCGGTGGTAGGCCCCCCGTTTGGAGTTTGCGCGGAGGGCTCAGCGGCAAGATTGTCGTCGTCGTCAAAGGGCATGGTGGTGAAATTTTGAAACGGCGATATTTTGTGTGTGATGTAATTTCTAATGGGGTTGAGTGGTGTTTGCGATGTGAGGTTTCAGTTCATGGTGACGCGATGAAGACGGAGTGAATGGGTTGAACACAATAAACAAAATAAAATGGTTTGACGGCCTTTTCCCGCGGGGTCCTGATTATACTGGAAGTATTAGTAGGGTATTGTGCAAGATAAATCAAGAGAATATCTCATAAAACAAATAATAGGTTCACACCAGGAGCAGGAGTAAGTTGAGTAACAGACAACACTCAAGCCATTGATGTGAAGTCAAACTTTACTGATATTGCACGAAGTTGAGTGGGTCCAAACCCGCGGTGTCGTCTTGAATTTCAATACAGAAGCTGTATAATGCTTACTATTGGTCACGCAGTCACCTGACGTTAGCGAGTCTGGCCGAGTGGTTAAGGCGTTGTGTTTAGGACATGCCCACCAGGGTATACGCTTGAACCGCAATGGGCATTGCCCGCGTAGGTTCGATCCCTACGGCTCGCATGAGCATTACTTTTTTGTACTTTTCAGAGATTTTGCCTGATTTCATTGCCTCTTTTTCTTCATTTCCTTTTCGGTGATGGTGCGAATTAAATACACTGTAGCTACCTATTAAGTAGATACCTAAAGTACCAGACATGATGCAATGCGCTGCCTCCGTCGAGACTGATCAGCCGAGCGTATGTCGCGACTACAGCTGCATGACATTCGAGCCAACCCAGCATGTTTATTGGTCGGATTGCTACTCTGTATAGCCACTTATTTTTTTCATCAATTAATTTGCTTGTTCTCGGCTGCGGTGGCGTGCGAAGTATTATGTACGCTCAGGAGTCTGCAAGTCAAAACAGTAGCAAACGTGTTTAGTTTGGCACTGACCATTAACCACCTAGGTGGCTGTCTGTAACAATGCTTCATCATCACTTACCAATCAAGTAAGAAAACAATGCAGATTCTGGCAGATGGCTCCAAGTCCTTCCGAATCAGCTTGCAAGGACATGGGATACTCAAGCTCCCCAGGCGCAAGTCTGGCACCGGGACGAGTAGTAGTACGGAGTGTGATAGTAGTACTTCCTCCACTGGCAGCGAGTCGTCACGTTTCCCCAGACTTGTCTGCAGGAAGCACGGGGCATACCCTGGCTGACATTTGTCATTCGCTTGCGTATTCGCGTGGGCGCACACTTGAATCGTCTCGTCGCCCGACACGCTCACGATGGACAAGGTACGGAAATATGTACGGAGCAAGTAGAGCACACGAGCACACGAGCCATCAAGCAACATCGGTCGGTCCTTCCCGCTGTCTGTCTGGCCCTGCCCCTTTGGTTTTAGGGTGCCCACTTGCGCATCGCGCCTGCACTCGACCACTCTTTAAGGTTGGCTGACACAGACGGTGTCCTCCATGTTCCGTCACGACATCGGCAGGTGTTGTCTGGTACCTGGTACCTCGACAACACTTGAAGGATGGCGCTGCACCGGCGTTGTGGTGCTGCTCAAGTGCTGCTACCCCACCTGCCCACTCTCGAGCTGACCGCGACGCAGAGCCGCCTTCCGCATCCTCCATGTTAGAAACGCCAGCATCCTGGCACCTTGTTGTGCATTTCAGATCGGCCTCGTCCTCGTCACCGCACACCGCGTTCAACCCACGTCCGAACCCGACGTCGTGTTCTTCATGACAGCCTCAATCGTTGTCGACGCCCACATCCCCCCTTCACAGTCGCCAACATCGTCGCTACCCTCGTTCGCCGCCACCAATAGCTCGTTGCTGGTGGCGGGAGCATCAGCGACATCATGGCCTCGGCGCCAGCCAGCGTGAGGGTCTCCGGGCCCCCAAATAGCAGCTTTCTCATCGGCTACCCTGGCATCTCAGCCACCTTGGTAAGTCACCGTCCTGGGATCTTTTTTCGTTCTCCCTTTACGCAAGCTACGAATGCCACCGCCTCGCCCGTGGTATAACAAAACACAAAACCATGCCCAGCTGCCCTCTGTCTTACCCCAAGCCTTCCCGACCGCCTCCTCGTCTGCTTACCAACCTGTGTCGCAGCCCCGAATAGAAGGCAAAGTCGAGATTCGACCGGGGCAAGGCTATTCTATGCCCGTACCCGTATCGTTAGTCCGAATATGTTTACAACGACGGGAAACTATCCACCCCGATGCCGATAGTTTGACGAAACGCCACCTCGGTACCCCACGAAAAGAGACGACGGATGTTGTTGGCAAGGAAGTCCTGCTATTCCGTTGCGCAACTGGAAAGGAGGCTGAGAGTGTCATCGCCATGGACCTACCGTTTGTGCTGTTTATCCCTTTTGGACGTGGCGGAGAAGAAACAAACCGGAGGATCCCCCCTGCGTCTCTGCAGCTCCCAAGCAGGACAGCCGAGACGTATTACGAACTTGTTGTCACCGTACAGCAAGGCCATAGCAATCAATACAAATACAACTTTCCGGTACCATTACAACGATACGACACGCTCTCCACATTTGGCATGTATAACAAGCCAGAAACGAAGCTCGTCACATCAGATAATGTCGTTCATCTGGGCATCAACCTACCGCGATGGAGTTACGGCCCCGGCGACCCCATCACCGTGTACATCAAGCTATCACCCAACCCAGACTGGTTGACCAAAGCAAAACGGGTTAGCATAGAAAAGATTACTCTCGCCATCGAGGAGGAAGTTACATATAACCACGAAGGGGATGAGCCGGTAAAGAAGGTCAACAAACTGTGCAAGCAGCTACAGACGGTCAAGATGAAGGTCCCAGAGGCCGGATACGCCACCAACATCGGACTCGTGTTTCCGTGCAAAGACTTGAGAGATCCCGATGGCATTGTGAGGAGAGGCAAGCCAGCATTTCCATTGTACGAGGTTTCGTCATTTACCACTACGGCATCACTCTACAAGATTGAGTTTTATTTAAGCATCAAGGTTCGTGGAGATTTACATTGGGAATTTGTAAAGTGGCTTTCGCTGACTATCGAATAGGTTCAGTTAAGTGGTGCTCGCGACGTCAACCTGAGACAACCCATCGTTATATGCCCTCTTGACCAGCAAGCTTGCAAGGAAGAAATGGACGCAATAGAGCAAGCAGCAAAGGATGCAGCTCATGTCGATCCCAACAATCCGATGTTGCCTGCTCGAACTATTATTTTGGCTAATGACCGGGACTCATTGCGGGCCCTGGGCTTGTGTCTTGTTGGAGGACAGAAGAAGCCGTTTATTGATTAAGCGTCTTGGGCAGGACCTAGGACTAGTGAAGCAAGTGTCTTTGCAACTAGACAGGCTTACCGACTGCCTGTTCCGATCATGATTGGCCACTACCCAAACATCTACGGCTCGCCACCTCGATGCCAGTACTGTTGACCGGGACTAACAGGACGGGTGTTTTACGTGTAAGAACCATCAACAGTACTGCATAGAGGTACATTAGAATGCGTGAAAATGCAGCATGCACCGCGTGATTCGAGGTGCACCTCGGGTGGACATGGCCACGACGCTGTAGATGGATGATCATGCATTGTTCTTGGGCATTTCGAGGACAAGGGTATACCCCTGAATTAGGCGTTTGTTTTACAGATGAATGACTGGTACGGCGAATAGGGGTGAGCTTCGGGCCTCCTTTAATGACAAAGACATGGAAATGGCGTTTGGGGACATGGGGCGGTCATAAGGATGTGATGCTTTTTTTAAAGAGCATTTCATACGCTTGTTCATGTATATATATATATAATCCATTTAAGCGATGAGCCAGAATACTAACAACCTCATTTATTTTCCACCGAGAATAATCAAGCCATCCATGCATCGGGCTTCTAGAATTTAGAATTAACTAATGTCTAGAACATGATGGACATTGGAATGTGACGTCTAGGCTGAATATGGTGGGGTGGCGGGGTGAAGCTAAAGCCAGATCTCATCGGCCGTATCTTGAAATGGGGTGGGTTGTTCTGGCATGTCTAGCATTTATGATTGGCCATTGCTCCAGCACTTGATAACGTCATGCACCAACAGTTCTTGTTGCTAGATACTAGGTACCAAGGTACTTTATGAAGCATACCGCTTCGAGTTTGGAGTATAAGGTAATAAAACATATGTAGTAGAGTGTAGTTCAGTAGAGTCCGGTATTATTCGAAAATTAATAGATATGCTAAGAGCTTTAGAAAAGGACGATTCTACCATAAAAAAAGGCCCTCTAGTCTGGTGTCGCCGGATACGTCAGACCTGACAACCAAGGAAAAAAAAAAAAATCCCCCACCGTAGAAAATAGCTGCCTTCGAATCATCACGACGTCCCGCCTCCTTGTCCCCCTTCCACCTCTGCTGCCCAAGCACGCCCTCTAGCCGCAGCCATGTCCGTCACCCTACACACCAGCCACGGCGACATCAAAATCGAAGTCTTTTGCGAGAGCGTCCCCAAAACCGCAGAAGCACGTCATCTCCTCCCTCCCCCCTTCCTCTTCCTCTACGGCAAGGTAGGCCACCCGCTAACTCGGCGACAGAACTTCCTTGCCCTCTGCGCATCGGGCTACTACGACGGGTCGCCGTTCCACCGCCTCATCCCCAAGTTCATCCTGCAGACGGGCGCGCCGGCGCACCCGGGGCCCGACGACCCCAAGGGCGGGCGGTCCATCTGGGACGCGGCGTTCGAGGACGAGATCCGGCCGTCGCTGCGGCACGCGCAGCGCGGCACGGTGAGCATGGCGAACAAGGGGCCCGGCACCAACGGGTCGCAGTTCTTCGTGACGCTCGACAAGGCCCCGCACCTGGATGGCCTGAATACCGTCTTTGGGAGGGTCATTGGCGACGAGGCCATGGCGACGCTGGCCCGGCTCGAGGCCGAGGAGGTGGACCGCAAGGCGAGGCCGCTTGCCAGGGGCGACGTGAGGATCGATCGTGTGACGGTGCATGCGAATCCCCTGGCGGGCTGATGTTTCCTTTTTCTCTCTCTTATTTTTGAATTCAGATATAGGGATAAGGCGTTGACATTGCCTTTTTTCTTCGTTTGTTTTGAACGGTTGGTGGCGTGTATAGCATTGGCATGATACCCAGGTGGATGATTGGGGGGGAAGAGGGGAACTGGCACTTGACAAAAGCAATAGACGGCATGTCATACGTGGGATATAGCTTTATATAAAACGATACGGCCATGTGCCCATATCTACAAACTACCAAAAACACCGCCCGCCGCACCCATCCATCCAGCAGCTGCCGAGGCTCATAAACCCGTCCAATACCAAAAGTTTCTCTTGTTTGTTTTTTTAAAAATCAAAGGCACAAAACCACGGCCCCTTTGCCTTCCCATGTACAAAACGCCTACGCTACCCTTCGCCTCTTATTTCCGTTCTTTTGCGTGGTATCAAAATCGTCTCTCTGAATCTCCTCGGTGCCAGTGGGACTGGGTTCCCCGTTCTTCACATCATCCGCTGCCCCGTCAATGCTAAAGTTGAAATCGTTGCCGTCACCGAAACTAGCATCGTTCAAAAACGCGTTGCTATCGAAGAATTGGTCCAGGTCGACATGCGGCTGATCAAAGTACCCTTCGGCGCCGTCTTCTAAGCCCGGTATACGGCCCGACGGACTCAGCGGACCGAGTAATTCACTGAGTTCGTGGATTTTGGCGTCCTGGTCGGATTGCAGGCGTTGGAGCTGGTCGAGGTCGATTTGATTGGTGCTGATTTGATTCAACGACGGGGGGGCCATTTGTGGTGAGCGCATGATGGGGGATAGAGAGGGGACGGCGGCGTCTGCTGGGGTTGGTGATGGGGAGACGCTGGCTTTGGCGGAGCGTGGAGGGACGGGCGTGGGCTTTGCAGTCGTGGGTGCGGACGGCGGCTGTGACGGGGGTGACGTAGTTTGTCCGGCCATGAAGTCGACAAACTTGCTTCTCTGGTCCTTATTCAGGGTGTTGGGGGCGTTGGTGACGAGCTCCGTGGCTTCGGGGAGATCCATGCCCGACTTATTCGTGGCATTGTGGTCGTTGATGATCTTCATCATCCGTTCGTGCGGGTTGGACTCTAGCTCCTGCCGGAGACTTGGAGGCGTGTCGGAGCCGTCGACCAACTCGGTGACGTGGCCCATTTCGGGGTTGTGGTTGCCAACGGGATAGTATGGTGTTGAACTTGTCGATGGTGACTGAGTAGCTGTTGGGGCATCGGCCTGGTGGTTGGGGATGGGCGGCAGCAGGCCGCGGGTTCGCTTGTGAGCACCCCCCATATTGGAGGCAGAATCCATTTTTGGTTGGAAAAAGTCGCCCAGGTCGACCACATTGCCTTGATGGGATGGCTGGCCCTGGTTGGTAATCATGCTTGAAAGGATGTCGCCGACACTCTGCGTGTTGCCTTGGTCCTCCAGCGTCTTTCTAAAGACATTGGCTAGGAAGTTGAGGATGGCATTGATGGAGCTTTGGTGCCGGTCGTGTTGCGACTGGAACATGAGTGCTTGGTTGTACAAATCGTTGTTGGTGTGTTGCAGCCGATTGATTGCCTTGTGAATCAGTCTCTGCTGTTCTCGGACCTTTGTCAGCTCCTCTCGGATCAAGGTCATTTCTTTCTTGGGCAGGGCCTGCGGCTCTGCTGATGATGATGCAGACGCCGGCGGCAGTGACCGGCCCGTAGGGACGTTGGGTCCGGCTGCGGTGTTCTGCGCCGTCACCTCATCCTGAATCTGATCCTCGTCACTGTCCAGCTCGCCGATCTCGTTCTTATTGGACGACTTCTTGGACGTGGCCCTGGTCTTGGGCTTGTTGATGAGCCACAGCAGGTTGGGGTGGCCACGGCGGAAGAATGGATTGTGGTACTCGCTGGGGCTCTTGTTTTTGCGCTCGCTCGCTCGCATCGAGTTGTCCGACAGGCCAACACGTTTGTGAAAGCCATACATGTTGAGTTGCCGAACAAAGGAGGCGTAGTTGTTGTGCTTGAACAGCTCTGGAATCAGGGTTTTGGCAAACTCGTCCTCGTCAAGAACAATGAACGAGTCTCCCTTTTCCGACCAGCGAATGAGATCTTCGTTTTTTCGTTCCTCCAAAAAGCTAGCGAAAGGGACAGACTGAGTTAGCATCAATGCCAATGCACCGTGATGGAACTGTCCAGCACCTGGACAAGCCCCAGCTCAAACCACTTACCTGCTGAGCTTTTGCACAAACGGCGGAATCCCTTTCCGCCTGCCCTGAGCATCCCGCTTAGCCTTCTGCGCCATCTCCTCCAAGGCCTCGACGTTGTCCTGCTCAATCAAGCCCTCCTCATCGTTCTGTGGCAAAAGATTGTTGCCGTCGCCAAAGCCGGCCCACGGCTCGACGGAACCGTCAAAGCCTCGAGTGTGCGTCGGAATCAGTGCCTGGTTCATGTCGCGTCGCGTAAGGCTGTTGGACGGCGCGGGGACCTGGGTGTACTGAGGAGGCGTGGGCATCATGCCATAGGGATTAGCAGCATGCGCAGAGCCATCGACAAAGTCGGCGCTGTCACCGTTCCATCTAAGCATATTGTCTGGAACGGCACTGTCTGCTGGGAACGGCTGCTGCATGCGCTGCGGGTAGTTCACCATTGGCGATGCGCCCGGCGCCGCTCGCTTCCTCGAATTCGGTGTTGACATGGGGATGTGTGAAGGTGCGCCTGGATATCAGGCTGTGGCGGACTCGGTCGGTTGCTTGTGAAGAAACTGACGGGCTGTTTGGCCCAGGCGGTGACGCGTTGTGCGGCGTCGTTATCGACTTTTATCTTGTTTGAACGGCCGGGCGAATGGAATGCTTTATATTTTCGTAGATTGGATTTTTTTTACAATTTATTCTTCCTTTCTCGTTGTTGTCGTTCTATCTCCCTCGTAGGTTGGTCCGCTCGAGTAGCACAAGGTGGGCGAAAGGCCACTCAATCTCGTCGACTAGAAGGCAACGGGCGGGAGGCTGACACGGTCTGCACAATGCAGAAATTTGAGAGCGCGCAACAAATACGTTCAGGATAGGCAGCGAGGACGGCACTACAACGAGCACCCCTTCTCGAATGCCGTTCCGTCAACGAGGCGGTCTGGGTTCGGTTGGAGAATGTCGCTTTTCTCTTCGATTTCTGCGGGTCTGTCGATACAGGCAGAGCAAAACACCACGGCAGCAAGGCGTTGCACGGCGGCAGTCGGTTTTCTTTTCCCCACCGTTGTATCTACTGTAACGGTATTTTCTCGATGGTTTCGGCCTTGTGGGAATCAAGGCGTGGCGCCACGCCGTCTTTGCCGGAGCAGTCGCTATGTGGGAGGCAGGAGAATATCAAATGATAACAGATGATGACTTTCCTACGCTCCTACCGAGTTGGTTGTCAAAGGATGAACGAGCGGAGCCTCCGTTAGCTATCGATTAGATCATTTTCCAACCACTTTAGATTCGACCAGGGCCGCGTCCTACCAACGAGCCTTGCTTTGACAAAAGTGTTTCCACTTTCCGTCCAATCCGTCCAATCCGTTCGATCCGTCCACTGACGGGCGGGCCAGACAAGCAGTGCCGCGCCGCAAACCTGTTAGTGGCCTCGGAGTACGGCTCGTAACATCAAATACTTGACTGGGCACTGGTACCTAAGAACTTTGCATACAATTTATGCACTTGAGTATGGGCAGGGCCATGCGGGTCTCTTGGTTGTGCCGCTTGGTCCGCCTCACATTTCAACTGCCATCAATCCTCTCCGACGTCGTCCATTGGTCCACCACATAACCCTACATACGGAGTAGTCTTTTCAAAATCCCGAATTCCAAGCACAGGACTTACCTCATCGTCAACGGCATGATATGCCCATGTACTCGTCAGCTCGATACCCTGACATTCATATGATAGTTTCTGTAGTCTTGCATTACCAGTCACCAACACACCTTCCCTAATCCTCGCCATCCCACGCCACACAGCACTGTCATTTATTTTCACCTGGCATCACTCGACATCGTATTCTTGGGTATCGCTTATATTCAGTCCGGACACATGATAATACACCACGCTCCTCGCGCCTACTTGGCCCCCCTACCTGCAAGCGAACTGACCCTCGCCAACTTCGCATTGCGAGCCTGGTCCCTCGCTTGATCCCAAGCCCGCGATCCGCCCATCTTTGCTTCCCGGTCCGCCCGTTTGTCCTCTTTAAGCGTACGGGCCTTCTCCCGCGGATCAATGACCACCAGTTCTTCCTCCGCCTTCTTCCGATTACTCAGGTCTTTACCCAGCCTATCTGCTGCAAAGGACAGCGAGTGTGACATCCAGCCCTCGTCGTCGCTCTCCTCCTTGCCCTGCTTGTCCCAAGCCGTGCAGCTCTGGCAGTTGGCAATAAAGTGCAAATCGCAAAGCTCTGCTTCATCACCTGCGCCTGTTGCGTCCTTGCTGCCCTCGTCTCGCTTTTCTGCGGATTCAGTTATTTCCTTCTCTGGCGGAGCCTTTTCCAACCTCGACTGAAAAGCTCGCAACAGACGCATGGCCGCTTGATCATCGCTTCCGCTAGTATTGTTGCCTCCTGGTCGTCGCTTCCTCGCTCGCATTGATGACTCTGGTATCATGGACTCGAGAGCAGACTTCCTCTTTGTGTCTTCTGCCGGCTGTTCCGAGTGAATGGTTCGACGCATCGAGGCCTTTAATGCTGCCAGCTCTTCATTGGCTTTTTGGAGAGCCGTCTTCTTTGGCGGTTCTGGCACGTCTGATAATTCCTCCGCCTCTTCTCGGACATCCTCTTTTGGTTGGCTTGTTTGCTTGATATTCTCTGCATTTGAAGCAGGTCGTTCCTCGTCAGAGTGCTCCTGCAGCGTAGGCTTCTTCTTCTTCTTGTCTTCCTTGGCAGAGTTCTTTTTGCCGACCTTGTCTTTCTTTGGCTCCTCCGCTGGCTCCTCTTCCTGTGCAATCAATCTCGTATCAAACTTGGCCTTCTTAAACACCGGCTCTTCCTCCTCTCCCACCTCCTCATCCCCAAAGCTTAGCAGCTGTTTGCCTCCCTTCCTCTTCTTCTTCTTCGATTTATCCGCAGATAGTGATTTTTCCACAGCTTGTGTCGCGACCCTCGATCTCTTTCTCATGTCCTCAAACGGATTCACCAATATTTCCACCTTCTCAATCTTCACTGGATATAGCGGTCTTTCACTCGCTTCGTCTACCTCGGACTCTCCAATCTTGGCCAAATTATATATCGTATCGCCCGCGACCCGTCCAAACAATGTATTCTTCCCATTCAACTCCTCGGTTTTATCCAACGTAAAAAAGAACTGGCTGCCGTTTGTATCTGCACGACTCTCGTTGGCCATACCTAGCAGACCTCTTCGGTTGAACTTGAGACGTGAGTGAAATTCGTCTTTGAAGTTTATGCCTGTAGGACCTGCATTTTGGCCCCTTCGCTCGTCCATTGGCCACGGATCCAAGTCGCCGCTGAATGCGCCGCCGTCGTAGATGGACTCGCCGCCATTTCCGGTACCTGTAGGATCACCACCCTGTAAAATGAAGTTGGGGACCAATCTGTGGAAAACTGTGCCATCGTAGTACCCGTCCAGACTATGTTGCAGAAAGTTGCGACAGGTGAGAGGGGCTTGTTTGGCAAAAAGTTCAACGAGGATCTCTCCCAGGGTCGTGTGGATGATTGCCGACGCCGTTGGCTGCGGCTCGAGATTGTAAATCGCTGACATGATTCGCCGTGATTTGATCCAGCTGCAGTTTCTCGGTGGTAAAGACGAGCTGGAGCGAGCTGCCGAGGGCGGCGCTTCTACTGACGCGGAGTTGTGCTATGGTGAATTGGAATCGAAGCCCAAGACGTGAGCAATTACGACGACCCACAGTTCGCTATCGATAAGCATACATTGGAAAACAAAAGGCACGAGATGAACTGAATTAACCTAGAGGCTTAGAACATACAGTGTAGAGTTCGGTTCAGAATTCTCCATTCCAATCAACACAGAGATTGATTACCGAAAGGACCAAGTTCTCTATTTTTAAAAAAAAACTGTCCTGCTTAGACAAGCCTGCGTATATGAAGTCTTGTTCCGAAGCTATCCAATGTACCCACCCCTTTTGCACCTGTTCGAAGTCTCAGATAACAAGACTAACTTCTTCAAGCAATCTGGGTACATGGTTCTCTTCGGATCATTTCTTGACCCTTTTTGATGGACAATATGTGGGAACTTATAATGGGGATTCGATTGACACGATTTGGTCAATCCCTACTATGGGTGTTCCTAATTTGTCTGCTTAAAGGGATGTAGGTAGAAGCTAAAATCAAGCCAGCTGTTCGTAACTCGCAGCTCTACTTCCAAGATATCATCTTATTAATTGGAATTTGGAGTTTGGCTGGTGGTAGCTCTTAGCATTCATGCGAAGAATCAAGTCAAAGTCAACCAATCGAACACACCTATGTGCCATAGCAGCTGCTATGGAGACCAACAGGGCTTTTGGGCCAAAGGACATGGAGGCGCAACTCCTCGGGATGCCGACTTTTAGCTATTCCCAAAAGCTAGCGGACTGGAACGATGTGCCATACTACCAAACGTGGAGGAACGTCCGGTGGTGAGCACAGCTTTTTTTGTTCGTTTGACATGATATAATGTATAAGCGAGCAATCCGTTACAAGTACGGTTGACCGTGAATCCCCATCGAAGGGCAAGTCCACACTGCTCACATTGTCAGCAACCTAGTCGCCCAGCCGGCCTCGTCATGAACCAGTGCCATGTGATACTATATTAGATCGCAATAGCCACAAATTTGTACCACGCTCGGCCTTTTGGCTGTATGCCAAAGACTATGTGATTGCAAGGCAAATTAGCTTTTGGATGTGAGGTGTTTGAGACTCTTCTAAACTTCGACGAAGCTTTCAGTTTCATCATTTGTTGACCCGGGACTCGTTGTATCTTGTCGAAGGTGGTAAGGCATGGTTGTCTGCACTCGCTTGCGCAGCCTTTCAAACCGTTGCTCGAAGAAGAGTGCAATCTTGGTCCAACTGTCTCCTCTGAAATCTTCCCGATAGTTGTCAATCATATCTTCCACTTTAGCCTTCACATTGGGATCATCCGTAGTTGCCCACAGAAGACATAACGTCTTGGGCATATATGTTGTGCCTAAAGGACGGAAATTCCAGGCCCGCGCTGCTGACGCGAGAACAACGTTGGTTGCACTCTCCTCGTGTTCTTTCAGAGTGCTGTCGTACGGGTGGAAGACCAGAAGTGTCTTCCGAATAATGGCCATTAATGTGTGTAAGACACAGATGGAGGACTCGCAAATGGTATAGCCTTTGTAGTAATTCATGTCAAGGCTTGTTGCACAGGCCTCATGCAGTTGCTTGGTGATTGGAATTATCTTTTTCACTTCCACTCTCATTAAGTCGTAGGATGAGCGTAGTTGAACAAGGTGGTATTCGGGTTCTTGGAGAAACATGGGCAGGTCTATGAGGTTTGCCACTGTCAAATTTGTTGATCTAATATCGACCACAGAATAGTTGTTCAGCGGTCCATAATATGATGTTTTCCTCAGATCCGCATGCCATCTTTTAATCTGTACCCGGGGATCAATGACGCACTCGGTGATCTGGGCGGGGAGTCAGCAAACCAGGCACAGGTATTTTGTCACATGCTGACGGGAAGGATGCTCTTACGGCTATTATCGACGCCAGGTCAACCATTTTTGAGCTGAAGGGGTCTTGGTAATCTCGAGCTGCTTGATTGTTTAAAACGTACAGCAACCCTTGAAGATGGACCAAACACTCATCGTTGTGTCCGCCAAGAAAATACTGCAGAAAATGAATGAACCTTTTAGTTGCATGGGCAAGAGAACTTGCTACTAGTATTCAAGCATACCTGAGACAACAGAAGAAGATACACGCCACAGAGCGTCTCCGCCTTGCCGACTTGGGATGGATCGTTAATAAAGCTGCTTCTCATGCAGGCGAGTGCTGTGCCGTAGTCCTTGAGAGCTTGCACGGTTGCTTGTCGCGAATGAACTGCTGTGACGGCACTCGAGAAGGCCATGGCTGCAGTGCGAAGAATCTGGCTCCTTCCCAAGCGGCACGGCACATCTTCAAGAAAAGGACCGAAGCCAAGAACCGAAAACTTGGGGTCGGAAATCTGCAAGGTTGAGATGAAGGCCCCGGTTGTTGACGTTAATTCATTTCCGAGTGGCCGTGGCGGTGACAATTTAATCTGACCGTCAGCCAGTATTCCACCTCTGGACCGTGCTGTGACTGCTGTCCGGGCCACCGGGACGCTTCCCGTGACTGTCGCATTCTTAAACCGGTACACTCGCTCTCCAGATCCAACGCAGCGGATGCCATAGCGGAGGCACCTAGAGCATGATGGCTGCGCAAGATCACACTGTTGACAGAATTTGTCAGTCCTGCAATATAGAAATTCACCCGCCAAAGACGGCAGTCGGGCGTCGAAGATGGATTCAGTCCGTCGTACCTTCTTCTTGCGTTTCCGGCAGCCCTGACAGCCTCTTCCCGACGGGCCTCCTGGCATGTCATGGGCGGAGCCTGCTTGCTGTCTGCAGGCAGAGATCAGCCGAGGGCTATTGGCGGCTATGGACAATTACAGATGCATTGCTGCAGCATTTGCTGTGAGCTACATGACTCGATGGGATCTTGTGCTGTCAATTGGGTCGACAGTGTCGTGCCGGCGATGCAGCAACATTGTTACATGAGAGTATGGAGCCACGTGATGCACCATAAGCAGGGTTAGTCATCCTCCCCTACTTCGTACGTTGTCCTCCTCCGTCCGGCCCGTTTGCATCGACACCGACGAGCTCGGGGGCTCAGTTTCCCCAAGCCAAGGGCCAGACTAGCGCGGACAAGCTTCTCTGGCCCCTACCCTTCAAGCAGGCTGATCTACAATCCATTTCGAGCCTCATTACGGAGTACTACGGACTAAGGGCTTGTGGGGTGCCTGCGGGGAGGTGGATCAGTTGATATGGCAGGGCAGCAATGCGTCGCGATTCGAACGACGAGTGTAAAATTATCAAATTCATCGAGCCAACCATCCGCCATGCCAGATGCTATGCGCCGAGCAGCCCAGACTTGACAACATAGACGTGGCACTCCGCAACTATCAAACGACTCGCCTCTTTGAGAGCGTTCTACAACATGGGGACGGGGCGAACACGAGACCTTGAAGTCAAAGAGATGCCAGCCTCGATAAACCCCCCCTCTCCCTCACGAATATTGTTGCTCGGCCTGCCTCCTATTGCAGTGAAAAGCCAGGCCCCAGAATCTCCCAGCATGACGTTATCCACGAGACACTCGATCCCGTTGGTCACAGGGAAGCATTTCTTTCCCTGGACTACCCCGCCAAGTCGGAATTTAAGCATCATGTTGTGAAACGCATCTCCCTGCTCGAGTCTGACGGCGTCATTGCCATTTGCTCATTAGCTTCGCGTCGGAGACAATGGAGATGGAAACTATTCGCCGCCAACAAAATTATATGGGCAAAGAATACGGGGTACTAGTACTCTAAGCACAAAGTCGGGCGCAACGGCCGGCGGCAGTCGATGGGCGACTCGGAGCTACCCAGTAACCTCGACAGGGACCGACATTCGAAACAGTTGGATACGAACACCAAGCAAACCTGCAGGCCATTTCACATGTTGAGCGATGTGATACCTCAATTCACGGCAAGAAGGTGTGACCGAAATTCGTGGTTATTTCCTGCCTCATCGGGAGGCGGACTGATGCCTTATGCATTGTTGCCAATCATGGCGTTGACACCGGTCCAAGCTGCCCAATGGCATTCGCCAGAGCCATGGCAAAAGTTACATGTCTAAAAAATCATGGTGTGAACCCTGATTCTCACGCTCTTCCATAATGCATCGGCGGCCGGGGGCTATGACAAAGCAGCATCGGGCCTCATTGGCGGACATGTGCCGCGTTCGGACTGGGGAACAGCAGGTCACCCAACATGGTCCGAGGCAATCCTAACTGGTATTGACGACGGATTGAATCTCATTAACCGATGGCTGCGACGTCAGGTCAATTGCATCACTACGGACCCTGCGCGCTTATCGGCTGCATTGCATTAGGGAGACCCCGGCCGAAAGGTGAGTCCAGGTCGGGAATATAATATAACAATGCTGTTGGCCCGCCCTCGCCCTGTTGGACAAAGCTTGACTCGGACCGGATTTTTTTGAATTTGCTCATCCAACCAACGGGCTACTCGAGATTCACACCATTAGACCTCCACTACCTAGACATACATACGCCCTTCCCATCTCAATGGAAGAAGCTCACACCAAATGTCTTGAACAGCATTTCACCTCATCCCCCGATTGCCTGCGGCCGCTCCTCGTGTCCCTGAACGGGCACAACTCCTGGCTGTTGTCCATGCCACGACCATGGGCTGACCAAAAGCAATCGGGGAGGGCTTACTTCCATATCGTCCTAGAGCCATGGCTTGTAGGACCAGCTGATCTTGTTGGATCTTGGTTCATCCACATCGACTTGCCCTCAGCTCCTGCGTTTCCCACAGCCGATGCCGTAGAGGCGGCTGCTCGCCAGATTGAAGACTTGGCCTCAGAGCACGTCCTAAATAGACGCATGTCTAATGAAGTCTTCAATCCCGCTCGACACATTGACGCCATCCTGCTTTCTTTTCACTACTGTGATCATTTGCATGAGGCCACTCTCAGAGAGTTCCACGGAAACGTGCCCGTGATTGCAACTCCCCAGGCAGCTCGCATCATCAGGCCTTGGAACCACTTTTGTACCGTCGCCGTCATCCATGATCTCAAGCCTGCAGCTACCTCGTGGCGCGTGTCAGATTTGCATCCCGGGCCATGCCTCCCCCCGTGGCTCGCGGTGCTGCGCCTCCCAGGACACCGCGAGATGAACTTCTCTACCGCTATTATCTGGACACACGTGGAAGACGACGGCACCGAGGTGCATGAAACCATCTTGACCTCGCCACACGGCACCTTGTTGGACCAAGGCCCTTTTCAGGCCTTCCTCAACTCAGAGCCAAAGACTCGCAAGCTCGCTATGCTCCACGGCAACAAGGAGAGCCACATCGGCGGCAAGCAAACCAGCTTCGGTGCCAAAGGCGGCCTGGGACTCTACCGAAAGCTCGGGGGACCAAAATATTGGGTTCTTTCTCATGACCTGCCACTGGCTTACGCGGGCATCTTTATGCGCCTGTCGCGCGCTGCAGATACTCCACGGACGTTGGAATGGGCACTAGATCACGAGTTTCTAGAGCAGGGTTTGCATAGGAAGCGACCTGACGTTTTTAAAATGACAAACGGCGGTTGTTTAGTTTTGGAAGCATAGCGCGACTTTCACATTCAAACACGAGCATCTTGCCGCATTATTCATGTCTCCAATAGTGGATATCTATTTACCAGCAGATAGCCTTGCCTTCGTAATTTAACAGATTTCCCCCTCCCGGCCATTGTCCTATCACGATCGTCCACCTGCGCCGCTCTGTCCGGGGCATATGCATCATGGGGTCCTAAAGGGCTGCCCTGGCATTTCCAAGGCCCTTCTACAGAGACTATGTACATAAGCAGCGGCTGAAATATCTCCAATTTATATCGGTGCCTTTCGATAAATTTGACAAATTTCTGGTGCAACACCAGTTGCGCTTCAGCCTGCAGTACATATGCCGCCGTGCACTCTGTGAACCAAACAAACCATCGGCAACACGCCACAGACGCATTAGCCCCAACAGAAAATCGAATCGAGACCCTGTTTCTAAAATTAAATAAATGAATGAATGAATAAAAATAAGACAAATCATGCCCGGCGTCTGAGGCCGTCCTACCCGCGTATGTAGTAGTAGTGTGAGGAGTAATGGGAGGCCTGTAATTTCGGGCCATGTCCGTGAATCCGGCTTGCACTCATATCCCGGCCTGCAGCAATGCACATTTGTTGCTGCACATGCTACGCTTTCTGCGTGGACAGGTACATAACCATGCGGCTTACAAGTACAGAAATAGCAAAAAAGATGGCGATGGTAATGTGTCTGGAATATAGCTGGCGGTGGTAGCTGGACGCTGTAGGAGGTAGAGATAGACCTACTTAGTAGGTAGTAAGTAGATGGCTAGGAGAGACTTTTACCAAGGAAAAAGAGGGCTATTTTCGCACAGTCGAAATCATGAATGAAAGGAGTGTTGTGCGGTCAGGAGAAACAACACGACATTATCTGCGTACAAGTACCCCGTCATGATGGCAGCTTGTCGGCGCATTGGCAATCTAATCATGCTAATCATGCCACCCCCAAGTGCTTATGCAGATATGCACATGTACTACTTAAGAAGCCAAAACGTGCCACTTGCCAACCGGACATGTTACTCTATGCAAGTCTTTAAACCCCGACTGTCGACCGACCCCACTCCAGTCTACGCAATGTCACAATAGGTGCATATGTTTCAAGCACATTAGCCTGATGGATTCATTCAATTTCGTCACGCGCAGAGGTTTCTCTCCTACATTTTGTCATTACCCATCCCATCATCCATACATTCTCAGACAATCATTCCTCTCCCACCAGCCGCGTTTAGAAGATGGCACCACCAAGTCTCACAGCAACACTCTTGTTCTGGGTATAGTTGGCAAGGGCAGCCTCACCAAGTTCGCGGCCAATACCGGACTCCTTGAAACCACCGAATGGCCTGTGTGTAGTGCGTTAGCATTTACTATCGCAAACCGCTTCAGTGATGCAGGGGGGCAACTTACAGTTGATGTGAGAGCATGTTGTAGCCTGTGGCAGAGGGCGCGTTAGTTTCCAAGTCGTATTTCAAGTACTTGAGTTGTATTGACTTACAGTTGACCCAGACGGTTCCAGCCTTCAGGGCATTGCTGACGCGGATGCTAGTGTTGAGATCCTTGGTGTGAATGGCAGCAGCAAGGCCATAGGCCGTCTGGTTGCCCAACTTGATAACTTCCTCCTCATCCTTGAATTTGGAGATGGAGCAGACAGGGCCGAAAATTTCCTCCTGCATGATCTTCATATCGGCGTGGACATTGCTAAAGATGGTGGGCTGGATAAAGTACCCCTTGTCACCGTGGCGCTCACCACCGACCTCAACGGTGGCGCCTTCGTCCTTGCCAGACTTGATATAGCTCATGATGCGGTCGTACTGGAGCTGGCTGACCTGAGGACCCTGGAAGGTGTCCTTGGCGAAAGGATCTCCGACCTTGTTCTGCTGAGTTCGCTTCTTGAAGGCCTCAAGGAACTTATCATAGATGCCCTCCTGGACAAAGATTCGACTACCGGCGCAGCAGCACTGTCCGTGGTTGAAGTAAATGCCAAAGTTGACCCATGAAATAGCCTGCTCAATATCGGCATCGTTGAAAATAATGTTGGGAGACTTGCCACCAAGCTCCAAGGTGACTTTCTTCAGGTTAGATGAAGCAGCGGCCTTCATAATGGTGCGGCCAATGACGGTGGAACCAGTGAAGGCAACCTTGTCGACGTCCATGTGGGAGGAGATGGCGGCACCGGCAACCTTGCCGAAACCAGAAATAAGATTGAAGACACCGGGAGGGAAACCAGCCTCCTTGATCAGGTTGGCGAAGACGAGCGCTGACAGAGGAGTTTGCTCAGCGGACTTCATGACAATGGTGTTGCCAGTGGCAAGTGCGGGACCAATCTTCCAGGAGAGCATGAGAAGCGGAAAGTTCCAGGGAATGATTTGGCCGCAAACACCGAGCTATAGCAAAGAGGTCAGTTTTCTCCCTGGCCTTGTTTCTTTCCAACTGGCATCCAGCAACGTTTCAAAAGGCACATGCCAAACTTACGGGCTCTGGTCGGGTGTAGTGAAACATGTCGGGGGCAATGTCAATAGTCCTGCCCTCGATCTTGTCGGCCCATCCACCATAGTATCGGATGCAGCCAGCAACAGCACCAACGTCACCCCTGGCCATGGTAATGGACTTGCCATTGTCGAGAGACTCTACAGAGGCGAGGAGGTCGACGTTCTTCTCAACGAGATCGGCAAGCTTGATCATCAAGACGGATCGCTGTTGGGGAGTAACCTGCTTCCAGGTGGTTTCGAAAGCCTTGCGGGCGGCGGCGACAGCAATGTCGACATCCTTCTCGGTGGCTTCACAGACAGAGGTAATGACTTCTTCAGTGGCGGGGTTGATGACCTCAAACCTCTTCTTGTCAACACCCTCAACCCACTCGTTGTTGATGAAACTGGGGGAGACGTGGCGGTTAGCTTCTCGGACTCTTTGTGACTGGAATCATGCAGATTGGGAGCGCTGCCCACTCACAGACCAATGGGCTGCTGGTAAGGGCCCGTGATCGGGGTCTTGAGCTCGACGGTCAGAGTCATGATGACGGTTCGTGTGCTCGAGTTGGTCGTATTAATTAAACAGTGTGCTCGAAGGGGTATCTTGAAAGAGACAACCAGGGTGTTTCTGACTGGGATAGAGAAAAGAAAATGTTCAAGAGAGGAAAGAGGTAGTTGGAGTGTATTCAGGAATCAGGAACCAGCGGGTCTCTGTACTTTAAGTAGTCAGGTAAGGGCGGGGGAATCGGGCCCGTGGAGTATCTGCGTAGCAGCGGCAGACATCGACACCGAGGCCATACTCCGTCTTGACTACGTAACAGGCCCCCTGTACGGAGTGGAAGCTGGGAGGTAAGCTGTGTGATGGCGGTGGTGGCGTTTTACCGTGATGGATTGCAAGTCGCGAAGTGACTGGACCGGAGAGTGCCCCGCACCAGTTGGCCACTGCCACACCCCGCCACCCCGCCTTCAATGCTGGAAGCTTGGTATGGAACCGGAGTTGATACGTAGCCCGATACAGGGATGCGGAATGAAAAACGAAGAATGAGTGCAAGCTGCAAAGGACGTAGCAGCAGCTGTCTCACGGCGCCAGAACGTTCATCGTCATATTTTCCCGCCATCTCCCCAAAATACATGCAAAAAAGTTGTCCACTTTCCGCGTCGGAACCGCGCTAGGTCTAAATAGGCAGATGTAGCTCAAGCGCTGGCCCGCCAACGAATCATACGGAACTCTTCTCCGTACGGAGTACCCTCACAGCTATCCCGCCGGGGCCTTTCTAGGACGCGCTGCGACGCTACCACGGTAACTTGCTCGCTTGGCTCCATGTCCGTAGGCTAGGCACCAGTTGACTTCTAATACTGGTCGTCCCTCCCCAGCTACTTAACCTAGGTAGGTCAATACTTCCCCTCAACCCAGCGGCCATTCCACGGCGCTCCACGGCCGTGATTGACGGACATGGATGTCCCCAACGGCAGATTGCTGAGCAACTGGCACGCGGCACGCGGCATACAACACAACACCCTCTTCGGGCCTTCGCCCCGCCTTCCTTCCCAAAGCCCGAACATGTCTCCCCCGCAGTCGGCCTTTGGAACATCTGTTTGGCAAACCCCGTCACTAGGCCTGGGGGAGCCACCATGATGAAATTCGTTCTCGACTCCTCGCTTTCACGACAATGATATTTCCACGTGCATGAACGCTACTGTGACCAGACATGTTTGGCACCAATTACTGCATGACTACTCGCTGATTGATCACAGCGATTTAACCCTAGAGCACGACGAGGTGCACACCCAGCCCTTCTTGGGACAGATGGCAAAGAAAGGATATCCTTCGGGACACATGGTCGCGTACGCCACTTTGAGCAATCGTTCCCTAGCTCCTGTTTCTCCCGCGGCCTGTCCCCCAGGTGCTCAAAAAATATCCTATTCCGTTGGCGTGCACCTCTCGCGCCTCAGACACCACCGGTCCACCGGAAGACCTGGCTTTTTTCAGCAGAGCCAGGCTTGCACGGGACCAACATTGAATCTTCGAGCCTTCGCATGGCTGGAAAGAAAGGGACCCGCAGTCTTCACCTCACCGAACAGGAGCTCCATGAACGTGGTTTTGGTCATTCCACGCCCTTGATACCGCCCCATTCAAACAATACATACACGATACCCGATCTCCTGCAAATTAACCAACAACCAACTAGGCGTTGGGGACCCATTCTGGAGGCATTGTGGAGCTGGATCCCGGCATCCAAGCCACCCCCTCGTCTCGTGCCCTCGGAATAACCGTTGTTGAGGGTTCAGATAAAGTCTGGCGACTGGAGACACTCGGAATGGGATCGGAATTTGGTAATTCTAATTTTATGCCAGGACTGCCACAGACACCAAGCACCCTACTCCTGATGCTCTGCGTCCTCTCTTGGGGCTGTTGGACTTGATACTGGATTGTTTCTCCTCTGCCTGCTCGGAACTGAGCCCCAGATGCAATTCGACCGTGTGGCTTCGAGGGTCTTTTCGCCGGAAATTTTGCGGGCAGGGCTAGGCAATGGCCTGCATGCTTGGCTCTGGGCTCTTGGGTATGGTCGGCATGTCCAAGATCTACATCATCCTTCTATCCGGCGCTTGGATGACGGAGGCCATGTGGCAATGGAGAGGCTTGCAAAGACGCCACGCTTATTTGCCCCAATAGTTCTGGCTCCCATCTGTGCGTGGGCCGAATCTGGAAGAACAGGAACTGAGCCGAGACAGCCAGAGGGATGTTTGCCATTGGAGTACCAGCTCGAGGTCGGCCTAAGATAATCCAGCGTCCCAGAATCACTCCGTAGCGGCCGGGGACAACTTTGTTCACTGGGGCCAAGTAGCTTCGGAAGATGTTTATAAATTCGATGTCACTCACAGCGAGAGATGGCTGACAGTCTACACAAGGTGCAAAGGACTTGGAGGTTGTGGGTCAAAAATTCTCGCATAAGGTCGTTTATGCTGTGTCAGGAGTCGGGACTGGGAAATGACAAGATCGCTCCACGAGATTCGCTCCACGATTTCTCCACAATGGTAATTTAGCCTTAACAACAGACAAGTTCATTGGCTGTCGTGTAAGTGACGGCACCTGGGTTGGGGGTTGGAGCATAAAGAGCCCGGGAATAAGTTGGTGAGAAAGTGAGAATGCAGATGGCAAAAGCTGGTCTGGTGTTGCAACACTCGGCGTTCGGCACTCGGAAGGCATACGTTACTCGTCATTGGACACATGTGCTATGTGTACACTGTACGGGACCTTGATATATACAAGGTACCTAGGCTCTGAATAAGATACTGCTGCTCATTTGTTTGAATATTCTACAACTTCAATGTCAGCTTCGGATCAACGACCATTCAACTCCCCCGAGGCCCTGGCAGCGCCAGCTCAATCTTCAAACCATGCACCACTCTTATTCCAAAGTTGCATCAACCAACGCGCTGCCAACTGCACGCTGATTGGGGCAAGGCACATGCGCGGTCGCTCGGGCAGTTGCTTGCAGCTGGCAGTATGACAAGGCTGCTGAAGCACTCAATGCTTGCTCAAGCACTCCAGTGCTTTGGATTGGCACTTGAGTACCTACTTAGTAGGTAGTCACTTGGGAAGTCACTTGATCAGACGGACAGAGCCGTTAGATCGTGCGGTTAGTAAGTCGAAACCAGGTACCGCTGTGCGTCGTCCAGCGTTCAACTCGCACCCATCTTGCTCAGGGCCGTTTAAATTGCAGGTGCCAGGCTCGAGGTTGATGATTTGCAGACAAACTCCCACCGAGCAAACCATTTGGAGCAGTTGTGCATCAACCCGCCCTCGCAAAATCATCGTCAATCGCCAGCGCCGTCGTTGTGTGTGGCCAGCATAATGGCTGTCATCACCAGTGTTCCCGGCATTAGCATCACTGTCCATGTCAATGGAGAAGTTGCGCAAGAGTATCCTCCTCTCGATCCGACCGATGAATGCACGCCGAGCCCTCCACCGCATATTTGCTACATAGAGTCCAAATCGAACCAGAGCTTCTTGGTTAGGCTCACTCTCTCCCCAGAGAGGACAACTTCCGAAACGAATGCAATCCTGTTCACCGTATTTATTGATGGCATGTTCGCTGGGGGGCATATTGTACACCGTCGCTCCACTTGTCAGCTGGGCTCTCCCATGACTGTTGATATCAAAGACCAGATTATTCAGTCTGATGTGGCTGGGCATTGTATCCGACGATCATTCTCCTTCTCGCCCGTTTCTCTAGGTTTGTGCCTAACGTGCCTTCATAACCTTCCATTTGGCATCTTTGGATTTTGACATCTGAGGCTAACACGGTTCTTGACTTTACAGTGGAAGAGACAACTCAAGCGACGGTGGAACGTGACTCCAGAAGAGCCGAATCTTTAGGCTGCATTGTAGTCAACCTTGCGACCTGCAAGCGTGGAGCAACGAGGGTCATGCAGCCTCTGGTACCAAGGAGAAACTCTGACTTCTTTTTGGCCGAAAAAGCAATGAAGGGCAAGGAACTATCCCATGGGACGAGGTCAGTTATCAGTAGGCAAGATACAACTTGAAAGTTGACTGAGTAGCCCAGCTACACTCAAGAGATCCTCGCTCCAACCCCCAGCTGTGCGGACGCACATGACATTAAACCCCTCGGCAAGTACATTTTTCGATACCGGTCTCGGGGTATGTATACGCAATGTTTGCTCAAATCTGCCTGCATTTTTGGACTTTGCTAAGGTCGTTCAGCTGCACTGCAGCGGGAACTGATAATCCCCCAAACACCGCCTCCACCAGACGAGTCATTTATTACCTCGGAACTAGGCTCCATGTCCGACGAACATGTTCGATACTTGGCGAAGGAGTTTCTCCGCATTAAGCGGGAGAGGGAAGTAAAACAGGTATGTTAGATGGCCACTAGGTCTCGTGTCCGTCATGACGTGGCATATGCAATAGTCCACCGGTTGGCTAATTCTGGTCCAAGGAAACACCAGCGTTGAGCTTCAAGCGGACTATTGACCTTACGGACGACGACGTGGTTGAGGTGAATGGACGTCACCCATTTAAGGCGCTTAAGCGAGAGGGTGACAACGATGTGATTGAGCTGTCAGACTAATCGTACCAGATGGATTGCAGCCAATGACTTTAGGACTGAAAAGTTAAATGCTGTGGGAATATGCTTCCGATAATACCTGTTCGGGTTCGGTTCGGGTCGATGAAATGTTTCGAGCATTTTTTATGGAGGAGGGGGGTTGGTTGCAAAGCAAAAATACTTTGACCCAGTGTAATCCGCCAAGGCGCCAATATTGATTGACTGTCAGTATCTGCTGGGAATGAATCAGATATTGAAATGTGGCAGTCGTGCCTTTTACTTTTCATCAACAAGTAAACAGCATCCAGCATGTTTGACCGTTAATACATAAAGCTCATGGTTAGCAGATATAACTTCAAGTTGCTTTAAATATTTTCGAGAAACGACACAACCGGCCAGTATTGTCGTTGATGGAAGTTTGGATGTTGACGGTCCAAGTTGGCCCGCATGATGGTCCACTTGTCCGCTGGTTGGTCCCTGCTCGGCCACCAGTTGACCTCCACCTTCAGCTGACCCTGCGAATGTCCCGTAGATGTCAGCTCATGCAAGCATGTGACGTTTGGCGGGAGCCATCAATTTGATCCCAGCACCCCTGGCCATCATCTCTGGACAACACCTCTCCATTTCGATATCGACGGCCGCGATGCCGCGTTTGCCATTGCCTGGTTGATTGCATGTTCCCTTCCCTCGCCGAGGGCTCTCTGTATTGTCCGTTAGTCCTCTTCTGCTTTGTTCGACATAATGCCTCCCGACATATCCAGCAACATCCGCGTCTTCGTCCGCTGGCGCGACCAGACCGTCTTCGCCGGCGAGGACGTCAAATGCACCGTGACATTCAAGAACGTCGCCCCGACACCGAGCCAGCAGCAACGCCAACAGCAGCAATCCCAACAGCAGCAGAAGCCACATGGAGAAAGACAACGATTGGCGGTGCCGCTGCAGGCCCGGGCGAAGGCCAATGTCGGCCTGGCAGCGCCGCCTCCGACTAACGCGACAAGAGGGCATCGGAGGTCTGCTTTGTCCCTTAGCGTTTCATCAACCAATTCTCATAGTCGATCGGGTTCAGTACAATGGTCACAGGCTACCGGTAGCGGCGGGGATTGGCGGCCGGGCCACGCACACAAGCGGTCACTGTCCATTGTATCGATTGGGTCGGCGAATAATGCAGAGGATCATGTTCAGCGGAATGAATCCCCATCAAGGCCGCACCGGCCGCATCGGGGTCACAGTCGTGCGGCGAGTTTACAAATCTCAGCACAAGGCGCGACGTCGCCAGGTCCGGGACCACAATCAGGTATGTTGTTACATTCAAGCATGTTGACGTGAATACAAGTTGGACTGACCGTGTGGTTAGCGCCTTTCTTCCCTCGACATATGAGCTCCCCGCTTTTCAATGCATCATATCCTCCTGATCGCTTTGGGAGGCTCTCTGGAGCTTCCACTGCGCCGAATACGCCCGGGCTGGGTGGCCAAAGACGAGCACCGAAATCACCAGCGAGACGAGAAATGCCAAACTTTCGATTCCCTGGAGGCCCTTCAACCAGAAATGCAGAGGCTGCTAGTCCGAATCTCAAATCTCCTGATGGGCTTCTGAGTCCGAGGCAAGTTAGTCCTCACGAGAGTAACGGCTTGGCCGTGCGGTTAAAGGAGCAGCCGCAACCGCCAAGCGCCGTGGACCGACCAGCGGCGAGGATTCTGGCGAGCAATACGATTCCTGGGGGCACACCGCGGAGTAGTGGAGAGTTTTATTCTATGAGCAACAATTCGTCAGAAACTCTGGTATCTGAATATGTGACGCAGCCGCTAGCACGGGGTAATGGCCGTTCACCACACACCAGACGGAGCTCCGGAATGTCGCCGCAGCAGCAGAAAATGCCAGAGTCATTAATGATGGGTTATGCCCAAATCCAAGGGTCCTTCATTTTGGATGGTTCGCTAATTAGTCTTGGTCCTTTCGAGCAAGTGAAGAAGAAGGGTGCAGTAGGCGGACGAGGTGGTGGTGTTGTTGGCCTCGAGCAAACGAAACGAGACACTGGCTTCTTAGGAAGTTTTGGCTGGGGCAACATTAGCAACTCCCTGGGTTTCCTCGGCGGGGAAGAATTGAGCACAATCAAAGAGATTCGCGGAGCTGTCAATTCTAAGTCTATCCCCTTGCTCAGCACGCCTCAGTCTATCCTGTTTGTCGACTTACAACTTGCTCCGGGAGAGAGCCGGTCATACGAGTATACCTTCCGGCTGCCAAAGGGTTTACCCCCGAGTCACAAAGGCAAAACAATAAAGATATCATATAGCCTGGTCATTGGCACGCAGAGAGCCGGAGGTGCCAAGGAGCAACAAGTCAGGTCTGTCGAGATTCCATTCCGAGTATTGGGCAGTGTCAACAGCCATGGTGAAATTCTTGGTCACGATCTTATGAGCCCGTATATACTGCTCCGAGATGCGGCGGAGGTCAAGAGCCTCGGCAAGCATGTTCGAATGCACAAATCGAGGGCCTCATTTGGTCCTCCAGCAACAATGAATGAATTCCTCAACTACGTGGATGACTTGGCTTCCAGGCGGCGAGACTCGACGGGAATTGCACTGCTGTCCCCAACAGAGTCGACTGCCCAAAGACGTCCATCGACATATGAGGAAGTCGGTACGGCCAAAGAAGCCATCCATCTAGCAATCATGAGAAGCAACATGGCCGGAGACGGCCAACAAAGCGCCAATCGTTTTGAAATTGCACGCAACGGCCAACGAGTTGGCGTAGTAATGCTCACCCGGCCGGCGTACCGCCTAGGCGAAGTTGTTACCATGGCCATTGACTTCACCGACGCCGATATACCATGCTACGCAGTTCACACAACACTTGAAACATCAGAAAAGGTAGACTCCTCCCTAGCCATCCGCTCCGAGTCAAGCCTACAGCGAGTTACGCGAAAAGTGTACGTTGCCTCTTCCGAAGCAGCCATGTACTCGCGCCGCGTCGTCTTCACGCCCACAATTCCCATCTCCGCTACCCCAGAATTCGTCACCACAGGTGTCAACCTCGAGTGGAAGATCCGCGTGGACTTCGTGGTCCCCTACCAGGGATCGGATACAACTCATCTTGGAGAGCTGCAAGTTCCTCATCCGCTGCTGGAGCAGATTTCGCAGGATGAAAAGGGTGGGCTCGTGCTTGTGGCAATAGAGAATCTGGCGTGTGAAAGCTTTGATATTTCGGTGCCATTGAGAGTGTATGGGGCCGTGGGAAGTGGGCTGGAGAGGCTGGAGAGGGATGAAGCTTCTGAGGAGGGGTTGGTGGTGTAAATGATGGGAGGTATTATAAGTTCTGGATAGCGAGTACATGATTAATCGGTGTATTATTTATATCGGTGCATGGTGTTGAATCTTGGTTTGCGATGCTGAAAGACGGAGCTTCACGATGGGGGACATGTTGTAACCATGAACCCCAAGGATGCGTGCTTGTACTCCGTCGAAACAAGTGGCATTGCGTCGACATTCGCATTGTACATGAAATTAGAACATGAGCATTACAGTATAGTACTATGGGCCATGGAGTACAGAGTAATCTGCAAGACTACATTCAATGTTGCGAATTGCGAGGTTGTATCCGTTGGCTTGTACGGGCCAATCTACCACGACTGTGCTAGAGCCATTCATCCCTGCATGCTGGATAGATGTTATTTGCGACATCTGACAGAAGTGGTTACGCTCTTTTATCCAGATGGGCACAAATCTCACCTCATCACGGAATCCTGGGCAAGCCGTATCAGCGACAAAGCCACTGTAACGCTGGGCGTTTTGGTAACACCAATAGTTGGTCGCTCCAATATTCTCTACTTCTACTCCTGTACTCCGTTCTATCAATAGCATCGTTCAAATCTCGCACGAGGCCTGCCAATTAGAAATGCGCACCCCCTCCCCCTTTTTCTCAGGAATCTTAAGCAATCAGTCTGCTGCAGAAACAGTAAGTAGTAGTAGTGCTCATTTTTTTTAAAATTAACGACATTGCCTTTGCCGACCCCGGTCTGATGACGAGCGGTTCACCAAAAGGGGATGTGACAGGGCTATGATGGGCTGGGGTGCCTTCGGTACGACCTGGCTGCGCATCCTCATGTGCCCTTGTGTGCACGGGCGGCGGCGGCGGCAGGGCTAATTAGGATTTGCGCGTGGAGTTTGGGCATTGGAGATATTTGGGCTGTTGCCTGCGTGGAGGTTTGGCGGGCGCCGATTCAGGAGGTGGGCAGTTCTGTGTTGTCAACTCGTGAGGACGACAAACATGCAAGGGGTGGGTTGGAGCATGTTGGATCGCCAATAGTGTGTTTTATTGAGAAAGCAGGAGAAAAGGGGAAGTAGTACATTGAATGATTCTTGCATCGCGGTGATGAACAGTTGGTAGTATAGTAGTATGTAAGGAGTACTCAGCCAGTAGGGAATATTGTACATATGGACTACGGAGTAGCTTGTAAACAGGTGCCGGTAGAACAACAGCACCATGGACAATGTCAGTGATATTTACCCCGTGCGGAGAATGGAATACTACCAGACAGCCAACGCGTGCCCATTGTCCAATTCTCCAATGAGGCTCGCGACATCAATCTCGGTGCGGTGGCCCGGCAACAGGGGCAATGGCGACCCCGGCCAACTCGGCGATTGCGACGTTTGATTGGCCGTTGGCTCAAGGAAGCGGGGCACAGCCGTCCACTTTGGGCTTTGGTGTGGAAGACTGTGCAATATTGACATCCCATCAGACCAACCCGAAGCTCTCGCAGCTCGTCCCTGTCTGTCCGTGACGGCAATCAAATCCATCTTTTTGCTGTGTTCCGGGGTCCTCTCTTCCCTTCCCCCTCTGGCTCCCACCAGCCCTGGCCCAATGCGGGTCCCTAGCCTCCGGGTGCGTGCAGCTCCAGATACCCCATGAGCCCTGGCCAGTCGAGCTCTGCTGCGCAGTGCCGTGACCAAAACAAATCGGGCGGGCGCTGCAGCTGCTGCAGCTGCAGGTCAGGCAATTGCCCAGTCCGCGTCAACGTGACTTGGCTCGGCTTTTTTCTCTCTCTTCTCTTCCTTCTTTATTTACATCTGGTCTGGTGAGCTTGAGAAGTGGCAATTAGTGCCACGCCTTCATCGTCCCTCTCTTTTATTTTATTTTCTAATGTTTTAATTTTTCGGCCGTTAGCCAACCACAATCGTTGTGAGTTTTGAGCTTCATTTCAATGCTCAAGCCTGTGTCGTTGTCTAGTCGACAGCGCTGAGCAAGCCTAGGCTTCGGCGCCGAGCTGCAATATACCCGACATTGGCTGACAGGAAAGACCTACTTAGGTATTCCGTACGCTCACTCGTCAATTTTCTCCTCCTCGGCAAGTCTTCTTGACAGTTCGAATGCGCAAGTGGCCTCGAGCCTGATGCTCCTCCCGCTCGTTTGAGTGCTGCTCTTCGACCTGGACCGCCGCCGCCCCCCAGCTTTCGCTTCTCTTGGTGTGACTGAAGCGGAGATTGCTAGACATTGACTTACACCGCCGCTCTCCTCGCTCGCCTTCGTCTATGGTAAAAAGCACACATACTTGCGCACCAACGCCCATTTCTACCGCCGGCCAGTTTTCTATCGAACAAAAGAAGCATACACCAGTTACACCGAGAATTGCCTAGAATAGCATCCTGTACGCTGCTTTTCTGCAACACCACCGAAGACCGCTCCCTGGGCCTTGTCTCGCCTCTCCCCGGTGGCCTTGCTTGAGTGCTTGCTGCTGCTCGGCTAACCCGTCAGGTTCCTTTTGTTTGATGAGGCCCTTGGTCCCACTGTACTATTCCTAAGCGGCAGCTGCGCGGGTGACTCTCCAAAGAGTCAATGGCGAAGAGATGGCTGCGATTGTTACTCCCTCCAACAACCGGCTGAAGCTGACGCCGTCCAACTCACCATTTCTATCAAGGCCGTCCAGATCCCTAATGCGTGGCCGTTCGATGCACGAGCCACGGCTGTCCCTTAGGAGAGTTGTCGGCACCACTTGTCGCTCACCGACGGGCTTTGATACTGTCAATTCCTCCTTTGCCTACATTGCTGGGGGTGCCGTTGTGGTTGTCGATGTCGAGGGCCAGCTTTATTCACAACGTTTCTACAGAGCTCGTCCTACAGCTGTGCCCATGTACTCAGTATCAAGCTCGCAGAATGCTCCTTCGACTCCGACTGCAACGACGCCTAAAGCCAACGACAGCCGCAATCGAGTGGCTCCCAACTGTAGGGATTCAGGTTACAGCCCGGTGGACTGGGCGACTGATCCGCCAAGCGGTTCCAGGACGTGGACAAGCCGGGAGAGGATCAAAGCTGCTACGTGCCTAGCTTTGAGTCCGGACGGCAGGTATCTGGCTGTGGGTGAGACTGGATATGCCCCCCGGGTTTTGATTTTCAGCCTTCTGGACGTGTCGTCGGACACGCCGCTAGTCTCTATCAGCGAGCATGCCTTTGGGGTCACGGCGGTCGCTTGGTCTGAGGATTCTAAATATCTTGCGTCGCTCGGTGCCGCAAACGATGGCTTCCTCTTCGTCTGGAAGATTGACCCACGAACTGGAGCTGCTAAGCTCTTTCAGCAAAACAGATGCACATCATTTATCAGAGACATGGTTTGGATTGGTAACAGCCTCATTACCTTGGGTGTGCGGCACGTCAAGGCGTGGAAAATTGAGGATGGAGCCTCTGTCTCGCCGACCAAGCCCAAGTTTTCGGGCGATGGGACGCCATCCACCCCAACATCACAAAAGACCTTGCCTGGCCGAAATATGCTCTTGGGCAGCTTGTTGGAGGCCACTTTTAGTTGTGCTGCCGTTGACGGCAAGAGTCTTATTCTTTGCACGGAGGCTGGTGATGTCTGCATTCTCGATGACGACGATAGGCAGATGAAATTGACAAAAGTCTTGAACCTGGAGTTCACCATCACGACAATCACAATTCGTAACAGTGTTGCATATATTGGAGGCAAAGATGGCCATTTCGCAACACTTGATGTTGAAGGCGTCATGGATGGCTGCGCAGCGAGTGTTTTGACGACCAGCCAAACATCGGCTGGTGTTGTCGCTCTCGGTTTTCTTCCGGATAAGTTGGTGACCATTGATTCAAAGCAGTCAATTGATATTTGGAACCCTGACTATTTACTCGGACAACATGTCGAAGCTGTCGCTCATATCCCGATTCCCGGGCATGGGGAGCCCATCATTGGCGTTCATTCATTATATCGACCGAACAAGGCAAACGCTGCCTTCGTCACCTGGTCTGCGTCAGGGAACGTAACGTTTTGGGACGTAGATGGACAGGTCAAGCTTACTCTCGATGTCCCTGTCGACAATTCAGATTCAGACAATGAGCTCACTTTGCCAAACCAGCTCACTAGCGCCCGCACCACAAAGAGCGGAAAGCTACTAGTGACAGCGGATCGTCAGGGAATTGTGAAAGTCATCGACGTAGATTCCAAGGACTACCTTCTGGATATCAAGGCACATTCGTCAGACTGTCTTTGCATCAGTATATATGATGAGGAGTCTAAGTTTCTTATGGCCTGCTGTGGCAGAGACCGGACTGCCCAGTTATTTCACCGAGACTCCACTGGTCGGATTGAGCATTTCCAGACTCTTGAGTTTGCTGCAAAAGTTATCCAGGTGCTCATCCCGACAGATAACAAAGTCATCACGTGTTCACTTGACCGCACGTTGCAGGTACATGACATCGTCTCCCGAGAGGGAGAGCCTGATATTATTGCAGCTATTCCCTCCAAGGTTATTTCTTTAAAATCATCACCTACTTCAATGACCATGGGTCCAGACAACAGGACTATTTTTGTTTCTTCTTTAGATCGGTCCATTTATCAATATGACTTGGCAAGTGGCAGACAAATTTTCTGTTTTAAATGCATGGATGAGGGCGGTGTGGAAACCGCCGTTTTGGATTCTCTGTTTGTAGGCCAGTGGCCCTCCAAGGACCTTGACTTCTTGCTGGGGTCATCAAATACTGATAAATCCATACGACTCTATGACGCCAATTCAGGCGCATTTTTGGACAGAGAATGGGGCCACACAGAAGCAATCAACGGCGTCTCTTTAGTTGAAGATGACGACGGCACGAGGAAAGTTGTCAGCGTGGGTTCGGATGGAACGATTATGGTTTGGACGCTGGATCTAAACGATCCTTCACCGAGGTCGATGAGCAGGGATCCATCGCCGGTGAAGGAGGCAAACAACAATAGTAGTCGACCGACGTTGCGAAAGGTTCTATCTAAGGCGGAGCTGGCCGAATTTCAACGTCCATCACCATCGCCAGCCGGACGTCGGTCACCTCCACGATCATTGCGCCGCCGAACATCTCGGCTCAATCTTGGAACCGCCCCGTCAGTAAATCGAACACCGGCTGGAAACCTGGCAACCAGCCCAAGTGACAGCGCAATCAGTGAAGACACCCCATCAAGGAGAAGGCCTTCGGAGATTAACAGGGGTGACAGCCCTCCTGCCAGTCCAAAGTCGAGGGTTAGTAGAAGGCCCTCCATGCCAGTTTTGTCTGCTGTCGCCAAGAGGAAGTCCTCATCAAATCTTCGTGGGGTCGGCTCTTTGAATATGGCAACAGAGCAGGCTTGCCGCACTCTGCGTGCATACAGAAAGAAACTGTCGTCTGCTGAGCCCATTACTGCTGAAGGCTTGACAGAGTTGGATCAGGAATTGCGCCTCACAGCTGCTGCGCTTGGCGATCGCGCCATCAGAAGCAAGGCTATGAACGAGACAGTACTCAGTGGCCTTTTAGACCAGTACTCGGAGAGGCTAGTGACTTTATTGGATGAAAAACTGCGGCTTACCAACCAGCTGCCCAAGGATCGGGAAATTGAGACCACCAGCAGTGACGATCGACCTCGCAGTGCGGATGGCTCGTCAAGCTCCTCGTCTCCATAACATTCATTTCGTTTCATGTGTTATCAACGAGATACTTGCTTTTCCTATATTGAGCGTTTGATGGAGGTATCACGCTGGTGATTCATTTGCTTTGACATGGGACAACGGCGTTTTAGGTTGCAAACTTATTATATGAGGGGAGTGGCGATTGGAAGAGCTAACTGAAGGGAACCAGAACCGATGCTCTTGACATCACTTTTTTTTATAGTGATATGATACCACTGGGATTGGCGTTACATGGGTTTAGCATAAACACCCGGGATGGGCTCAACCCGAAGCTTAGGGAATATTACTCTTCGGAGGCATTACTACAATTTCCTGACATCCCTCATTTTTGTGACAATGTACTGTTATTTCCAAATGTCGCGTCTAATTCTGCACCTAATGTGCTTTAAACCTGTGTAGAGGCTAATCATCCCATTAACCACTGATGCTGGTGTAAGCGGTTATGGGTGTCACGTGATACTGGCCGTTTCGTCTTGTTTTCCGCTTGGGCCGTTGATTCCATCTTCTCCCTACAAACGCTCCAAGTACAACACCAAAGCAATACGAAGTCAGCAGTATCACGTGATTTTTTGGGCAGCCGGTCGCAACCAAAAAAAAAAAAAAGGACACTACGGCAAGGCAGAGAAACGGCCATCGCAGAAAAAAGCCTCAAAGCGCGTGACAACCCTATGCAATTGCCGATTGGACGCTGTTAAGGCTTTGTTGTCGCTCAACACGGTCATCAACACGTGTTTTTTTTTTACGAATCCGACCACTGAGTGCATGACGTATGTGCGTCCCCTGAGCACCGCTCTTCCATATGGCAAGTAGTCGAGGCGCGAGCAAGAGCTAACCTTGGGATGCAAACTCTTCACAGACCCTGGCGCCGATTCATCTTGCTGCGAAGCGCGAAGGTCCTCTCGGTCACTGGCGAGGTGGACCGCGGGGCATGAATCATCCGACCGCTTATACGCCCCTCGAGTCGCTCTTCCTTTTCCAGTCGCTACTGACACACGGGGCCGACACGGGAGCGTTTGTTCGGATTTCAGAACTACTTAGAAACAATGCGCTTGTCAAGAGCGACAAGTCGTTTGATGCGGCGCGGCTAGCTCCCGATGCGCTGCAGCAGCTGTTTTTGCTGCTGCTGCGAGAGGAGGTGAAGAGCGGGACGGGCTCGACGACGACAACGACGAATGCTACGACAGCAACGGCAGGTCCGAGTACAAATACAGCAGATACGTCGGCTTCGCCGGCGTCGCGGAAGAGGAAATTGGGGAGTCCCCCGTTGCCGTCGCTAAAAGACGCTTATGAGCACATCGAAAAGGTCCCGGCCTTGCTGGATCGACTATACGCTAGATATCGGGATACCATCGTAAAGGAAATTAGGGAAGATGAAGAAAAGTTTGCAACCGTTCAGAAACACATTCAGTTTCTTGAAAAGAACGAGAAGGAGAGATTGGCAAAGGCTGCGGCGAGCCAGAATGGCGCATCGATGTTAGCCCCTCGGGATGGTCGTCCGATTCCTGGTCAACCGCCAACTCCTACCCCTGGGCAAGCTGGCGGCATTAAGAGACCTGTGTCTACCACACCAGTTTATCCACCAAGGCCTCCTTCAACTTCGACTACGCAACCAACAGTTGCAGCGCCGAGTCACTTGCAGTCGGGGAGCACGACGCCAGTCCGACCGCCACAGCCATCGCCAAAACCTCCGACTACCGCCGGATCAGGACTCCAGGCACCGGCCGGAATGCCCCAGCCTGGATCCAGAGTTCTGCAACCGCCTGGCCAGCCTCCGATGCCGACACTCTCACCACGTCCAGACGCTACTGTCGCTCTCAAGCCGAAGGAGGCCACACCGGCGGCAGCCGCCGGGCAAGCGACAACGGCGGGTACTTTGAAATGGGAGAAACCATATCAACCCCCGATACCTCAAACTCCCGGAACAGCGGGACAGACTCAGCCTTTGGCTCCCGCCAATGCGGCGGCTGGGGCTTCAAAGGAATCGCAACAGCAGCAGCGGCTTCCACAACAACAAGGACAGTATGCTGGCCAAGTGCTAGCTCCGACTGTGGCTGCCCAGGGTCGACCTATTCCAGGAAAACAGGTTCTCGTGGCTCCCCAGAATGCCGGACAACTGTCTACTCCGTTACAACCAGCTCCTCCTCGACCGGGTGGCGTTTCTGCATCACAAGGTCAACCACCACAACAACATCCCCGACCGATCTCGACAACACCCGTCATTCCACCTAGCCGACCTCTCCCACCTCAGCAGGCACAACAAGCCCAACAAGCGCCGAGACCGATTGCAGCGGCCTCGCAAACACCGCAAAAGGGTGTCACTGGACCCGTTGCAGCTCCTCAAAAGCGGACGCCAGCCCAAGCTGCACAGAAGCAGCAAACACAGCGGCCGTCACCCTCGGCATCCCCCGCGCCGTTGGCGCAGAAGGACAGGCCGTATGCCTCCTATAATAGGGAGCCGCCACGACCAGCCATTCCGGAACACATTATTCGACAAGCAGCGGTAGCACAGGCTGCGGCTGCGGCTGCCACGCCAAACGCCAAGAAGATCAGCCCGGTTACGGCTGCTCCGAGTACGCCCAGTGTCACCACTCCAATAGCTGCGCTCACCCGCGGGTTTGGCACCAAATGGGCATCTCATTCTACTCCTTCTACGCCACGACCTATTACAGCTGAACCGGAGAGCCCGGCATATGAGCCAGTTAGCCCGCCACCTCGTGATACGTCAATACTGTCTGATACGCCAAGATCTAGTTCAAAGAGAGACTTGACGAAGGGCGGCTTGAAGGCAGACGCTGTCAAGGCGAGGGGCCGTCCACCCAGAATCTCGCATGGAGGGCGTAGAATGAGCACGACTCCCTCGGTCAGTGGGACCAGAAGAAGCCAGTCCGTTGTTTCGCAAGCCGATGAGCTTGCCATGGACCATCCAATCAGCTCCACAAAGATTAAGCATGAAGTTCTCACCCCGCGGCACATTGAGGAAACGGGCGATACCACGGCAGACGAAAGCGTCCATGGTCGAACGAACATGGCAACTCCCGGCAGTGTCTCGTCGAGACTTGCTAAACGGAAAAGACAAGACTCGCCATCTGTACCTACTGCACCTCCGACACAAGTCTTGTGGACCCGCGGTTTCACCAAGGTATCTTCCTCGGCTCTCGACCAGATCTCAAGCCACCGCGACGCCAACATGTTCGCTACTGGTGTCCGCGAGAGGGACGCCCCAAACTACCGGCAAATTGTATTGCAGCCCCAAGATATCACATCAATACGGTCTGCCATTAAGCAAGGGAACAAGGCTGCCTTGCAAGCAGCAAGCAGCCTTCCTGGTGGCGACCCTGGCACGGCAAGTGTTTGGCTTTCGATATCCGAAGACCTCATCCCTCCAAAAGGAATCATCAACTCTGCCCAACTCGAACGCGAGCTGGTCCACATGTTCTGCAATGCCATCATGTATAACCCCGATCCTGACCGAGGTCCTGGTCCTGCATTCCTGAAACGTTCCCAGGACGAGGAGGAGGAAGTTGTAGGCTATCGGGTTGACGAGAACGGCGTCGTTAAGAATACACGGAGCATGTTTGTGGAAGTCGAGAAACTCCTTGGCGATCTTCGTAGCGCGGAGAAGGACCGCGGTGTACCACCGCCTTCTGCCACTCGTCCAGCAAGTGTTGCGACTCCCGCAGATGACACCGCCGAGGATGAGGATGAACTAGCCGGAGATGGGAACACTGCGACCAGCGTCGTGAAAAGAAGACGGGTTGCAGCGAGGAATTGAGCGTCTTGAAGAGTTTGCAAGACGCCTTCCTTCCCTTGGTGAGAATGAATTCCACATCGAATGCGGGCCAGTTTGACGACCGAGAGTGGACTGTTTGATTATTGTAGAGCGTTTGCATGGGCTGGTTATATTGATGCCTTTTGGGTCTTCGGAATTTGGGATGTGGATAGCGTGTAGGATGACATACTTGACGTTCAAAAATAATTTTCTCTCGCCTTCACCTTCATGTTTTGTTTTACCGCATTCTCACGCAATTGTGTTCAGTCCAATGCACGTCCAACCACTTGCATGCGGCTGATGCATGTCACACGTGATGAATTGCAACGCTCACCAACTCACTCACTCACACAAAAGGACTGCCCTCAAAACCCAACCTCGTCAGGTTCCACGACATCCTTCAATTCCAATATCCACCCTCCCCCAGGCCATCTCTCACAGGGAAGAAGAAAAAATAAAGGAAAAAAAAAATGAATGCAGAAGAAGACGCATCCAGCACCAAGACCGCCTGTCCCACAACAGTCATCGCCAACGTCCTCATCCTGCCTGACGCTAAGCAGCCCGTCCACATCGAACTATCAAATTGGGACCAGATAGACGACTTCCTCACCCGCGATCATGACGAGCACCCCGGCCAGTGGAAGATGTTTATCCTAAACGGCCTGCACACAAAGCTGGCGTTTGAGCTGGCCGTGCGGCTGGACATTGACCCCGGGTTTTTTGACAGCCACGTCTACAGAACGAGGTACCTTCCTCCGCGGCGGGAGGCCACGCGAAAAGAAGCGGCCAAGGAGCGCCAAGGGGAGCAGAACCAGAGCAACAAGGCGGCCGCAGACGCCGGCGTCCACTTCTTCCAGCTTGACTTCCCGGAGGTGGAAGAGCTCTCCATCCCCGCGGGGGTCCCGACGTCGCGGAGCTCCGAGATTCCGCTCCTGGAGACGCGGTGGATGCTGGACGAGAACGTGCTCAGCCTGGCGCCGGACGCGAGGAAGGCGTACCTCCTGGACGGGACGCTGTACCGCTGGGACGGGGTGCTCGTGGGCGCATTCGGGTACTGGAGGCGGATGTCGTGGTGGAGTTGCGAGCGGCAGAAGATGTGTATGTGCCCCTGAAACCCCTTTTCCGTCTCTTCAACTCGCAGACGAATTCGCGCGATGCTAACAATGCCACGGGACGCTCCAGCCGTCATGATTATAGACGGGCCGCTGGAGGCGGTTCTCCCGCCGTACGTGACGCCGGCGCAGCGCGCGACGAAGCCGTTCAGGAACAGCGTCAGGCGGCAGGGCGCCAGCGCCGTCGAGGCCCTGGACAGCCTGTACGCGCGGTGGAGGGAGCGCCGGCGCCCGCAGACGTTCCTGGAGCGGTTCCTCGGGCAGGGCGGCGCGGCCAGCAGCGTGTACGAGGTCGCGACCGAGGTGGCGCTGCAGCAGTGGCATCTGCTCCTCGCCACGGTGCAGGTCGACAGGGGGCCCAACCAGGCCAACTACCTGCTCGAGATCATGGCGCAGCGCGTCGAGAACAACGCGCTCGACTGCCGGCGCTACACGCGCGGGGCGGGCGAGGCGGCCGGCGCCTGGGGGGACCTGGGCAGGCTGCTCCCGCAGAGGAGGGACTCGGCGTTTCTGCAGGTGGTGACGGGCTTCCACGACAAGTTCCAGAGGCTGGAGCGGAAGCTGCCGCCGCCGTCGGCCTCCAGGATGGGCGCCCTGGCGCGCGAGGTGCGCGAGGACAGGAGGGCGCTGGACCGGCTCTCGTACATGGGGGGCGTCCTGTTGCCGTTTTCCATCGTGGCGGGCATGTTTTCCATGGCTGGCCAGTTCGCCGCCGGCGGGGGCCTGTTCTTTGTGTACTGGGTGCTTGTTGTGACGGGAGTGCTGGTGGCCACGGTCCTGGTGTACGCCGACTCGCTGCGGACGAAAAAGGTCCGCAGGGAGGACAGGGGCCGGAAGCGGCCTTCGCGTCTCGGTTGGCTGTTTGGCGGGAGGAGGAGGGAGGGCGGCTCGACGACGTCGTCGGACACGAGCTCCGTGTCTGGGGAGAGTGCACGCGGGGGACAGGGCGGCGGCCGCGGCGGCGGTGGTGAGACGGGACGACCGCCGGCGGGGATGATGACACCGACGCCGTGGAGATTAGGACCGAGGACGGTCTGGCCTGGGTATGGGGAGGAAGTGATGAGGGCTGACAAGACGGAGGAGTTGGGGTGGTGGAGGGCACTGTGGACGTTGGTCGGGTATAGGCCTGTTTGGGCTGCCGAGGGTGATGTGCGTTGATGGTGTTGCTGGTCAAGATGAGTTGCATGAATGAGTCGATGTTTTGGCTTGAGTGTTTTGTGATGGGGATACCAGAGCGCAGATAGACTGGTTGAACTGCTGGAAAGGGGTTTGGCTTCAACGATGTGAGTATGATATGCGTTACGATATTATGAAAGATATGACGAACAACAAGATATCTGCCCATGTATTATATGCTGCGCTCTCAACGCCGAATCGCTGCCATAATGTTGCACGACCAAAATCAACAACCGGCTGACCAGCCTCGGAATAATGTACACCCCATAAAACGCCATGCCAAAAGACACCCTTTAATCATGACCAGCCCTGCCCTGTGACGTGCTCGACCGATTACTCTGGCCTTCCTTCTTCCCGTTATCCGCCAACATCTTCCTCGGCCAGTCGGGACAAATGTCTATATTCTCCCTCGGAAACCACCACTCCAGGAACAAAAAGAACAGGTAGTCAATCACGACACACAAGCAAAAGAGCTTGCCCGCCCAGATGCCGCACCCATAGTAGCGCTTTAACCTGTCAATAAGCGCAAAGTTGCGAACCCTGCTGCCATTATAGCCGCCCGTGTCGAAGCCATAGAATTCCTCCTCGCTAATGGTGCCCGTGATGCCGTCGTATACCCTCTCGGTGCGCATAGCCACGTTGGACCAGCTGTACATCTTCTTCACCTGCTCGTGGAACTTTTCCGTACGGACCTTGCCTGCTCGCACGGCGGTGATGGCCTTACACGTCGCCACGACGAGATCGTCCTCCTCCGGCTTCGCAAACGTCGTCATGTGAGAAGGCAACACCTCAGGGATACCACCGACCTGGGTGCAGACCACGTACAGTCCGCAGCTGGCGGCCTCGACAATGACGGTGCCAAAGGCCTCGGTGAGCGAAGGGTGGAGGTAGATGTGGCCGCGGATCATGACGTCGCGGACATCTTCGTGGAGCACGGGGCCGAGCATCTCAACGCGGTCCTGAAGCACGTTTTGCTCAATCATCTGCTCCAGGTCGATGGCTTTGGGACCGGAGCCCGCAATGATGAAGCGCGTGTTGGGGTGAGTTTCTAGGATGCGGGGGATGGCGGCTGTCAGCAGATCTGTGCCCTTGTTGTAGAAGAGACGGGAGATGACGACAATGGTGATCATGTCGTTTGGTCCGAGGCGTTGGGGCGAAGGGTCTGGCGCGAAGGCTGCGCCGGGAGAGGATGGGGAGTCTCTTGGGCGGAAATTTTCTGCCACGACGGCATTGGGGATGACGGAGACCATCAACGGGTCCAGCGAGGCGCGCAGGACGGTGTTTTCCTTGCTATTGAGAGGGCGTTAGCCATGGCGAGACGCGGCAGACTGGTTTTGCGTCTTCTTACCATGTGTGGCTCACACATATGCTGTGATCGACATCGCTGAGAATGAACTTGAGCAGCTTGTTGGTGAGAATGCTCGCCGCATCCGCGAACCCAAACAGCGAATGGTCCGTAAACACGGTCCTCAGACCCATGGTCCTGGCATGAAGAATGCCTTCGTGGCACAGGCAACTCAGGCTGCCATGTCCATGCACAATCTCAATGCGCTCCCGGATGAAAATGTATCTGAGAATAGGGAAGAAGGAAAAGACGGTGGGAAAGGTAGCCTGGCGATAAATTACAAGAAACGGCACATGGTACACCTTGAGCCCGTTGGTGAGATATCGAACGCCCTTTCTGTCGTCGTGAGAATGCGTAATAATGATGACCTTGTGTCCGCGGTCTATGAGCTTGCTTGACAGCTGGTAGATGTGAGACTCGATGCCTCCTGGTTGCGGGAAGAAGAAGTCGCTGACCATGGCGATGTTGTACCGCCGGCGCGTCATTTTGACGAACTGATGAGAGGTTGCGAAGCAGGTATGAGAGTGGGGTGATTTTGTTGCGACATGGCCCAGCTGGTTGTTCGATGTCCTGAGGGTGGATGTGATCGTGGCCCTCACAATACCGAAGTGTCGACACTTCTTCACTTAGAAATTGGACGGGCCACTTGTTGGTGAGACGTGACATATGGAGCTCCCGAAAGCTCCACGCCTACGAGGCAGGGGTAGCTGGGTGGGCTTTGGGCGATGGGTTGGCGGTGAGGGTTGGCAGATTCGCGATAAGGATACGGCCCGCCCAATTTTTTGGCAATGGCAGCATTGGATTCTTGCGCCGAATATCCAATTCCACTACGTATTTGCTTCCCGTCTTGGGGCATTGGGGATCTGAAACAATGTACGCGAGGTATGTGCCTCCGTCAAAAGGCGCAAAAGCCACAGCGCCTGCTGAGCCTTCAGCCCCAAAGTCATCACCAGCTCCCAAGCCGGATGCGATAGAGTCAAGGCTTGTCGAGGAATTCAGCTACACGCGCTACGTGCCAGGAGCCAAGGCCGCGGCAAAATCTTCTGCTCCGTCCGTATCTGCCCCAAAGTCAATACAGTATTTCAACGACGAGGCCGATTCCACACCGAAGCGGAAGCGAGAACCGGCGACCGAGGAGCAGCAGGGGTCGGAGAGCAAAAAGATCAAAAGAGTCAAAGATGCTACTGCTCCACGGGACGACACTGCAGCGGCGGATTCCCAACCGGGTGCAAAAAAGAAAAATCGGAGAAAGCGAAAGCAACGAACCCAGGCTAATGATTCTTCTGACGATTCCGACGACGAGCCGAAACACACGACGGCTATGTCGAGCGTGAAAATACAAGACAACGTCGAGGAAGCTCCTCCCGTCGACATTGTTGAAAACGGAGCCGACTCAAGAGACAGAGAAAGTGATGTGGAGATGGCCGAGGGTGCCCTCGAGGCGGAGGAACAAACAAAAGAAAAGAAGAAGAAACGGGAGAAGAAGAAGAAACAAGCCAAGGGGGTAACAGAAGAGCAAGACAAAGACGACGAAAATGATATGGCACGGCACAAGGCAGTTTTAGAGCGCAAAACAAAGTCAATAAAATTGGCCACCAAAATCGCACAAACGAAACACGACGAGTCCGACGAGGAATCCGTGGAATCTCACGGTCTGGAGCCGCTGCCTCAGCCAGCTCCCGTACCCGAGGACGAGTCCAAGCCAACATACGACACCCTTCCCCCATGGCTGTCCAACCCCATACGGGTCGCGCAAGACACAAAGGCGCCCTTCACAGACCTGGGCATCCTACCACGACCATCGCGGATATTAGCAGAAAAGGGCTACAATGAGGCATTTGCAGTTCAGACTGCGGCCATCCCTCTACTTACACCAACAAGTAAACGCCGACCAGGAGATTTACTAGTGTCAGCAGCCACGGGATCCGGCAAAACACTCGCCTACGCACTGCCCATTGTCCGCGATATTAGCAACGGCGTGGTCACGAGGCTACGAGCTCTTGTGGTCCTCCCTACACGAGAACTCGTCAAGCAAGCACAGGATGTCTTTGAGGTGTGTGCCAAGGCCTACGAGGGGGAAGACCGGAAGCGAGTCCGAATCGGCGTGGCTGTTGGAAGTCAGTCTATCAAATCGGAACAAGAGGCCTTTATCGAACGAGAGTCGCGTTATGACCCGGAGGCCTACAGTAAAATACAGGAAGAACAAAGGCAGCAGCGTGCGATTACTTTTTCCGCCGACGTCGACGATACGCATGACTTGGATTCCGCCAACATCGATGCCCGCCTCGGACCTTGGAAAGGTGAAGTTGTAGACTTTTCTTCCAAGGTAGATGTCCTGATCTGCACGCCCGGCCGTCTAGTAGAACATATTGAGCAGACACCCGGCTTCAGCCTCGACTACATCCGCTGGCTCGTCGTCGACGAGGCGGACAAGCTGCTCGCGCAGAGTTTCCAGGGCTGGCTGGACCTGGTGCTGGAAAAGTTTCAGGTCAACAAATTCAGTGCTCGCGACTTTCCCGACATGGCATATTCAGGTGTTCGCAAGGTGATTCTCAGTGCGACATTGACCAGAGACCTCAGTCTCTTGAATCAGTTGGCGCTGCGGAGACCGCGGCTGGTTGTGCTGGAGAATGACGGCGCCGTGCAGGTAGCGGAACATGCTCTGCCTGTGGGCTTGCGGGAGTTTGCGGTGCGGGTTCATGAGGCTAATCTCAAGCCGCTGTATCTTTTGGATCTCTTGAGACAGTCCCACATGACGGGCCCTGTTGGAAATGGAGACTCCTCGTCCACGTTGAAGGAAGACGAGGATACATCCGACAGCTCTGACACCTCCTCAGACTCGGATAGTTCGGGTTCGGATTCGGATACAACCTCCGAGTCGGATACTTCAGACGATGAAAGCACACCTCCGGCGCCCAAGACACAAATCCCCATCTCCCTCATCTTTACCAAGTCCAACGAATCTGCTCTGCGGCTCTCTCGGCTCCTCACGCTCCTCGACGCCTCACTCACCAGTCAAATCAGCACCCTGACATCCACCACGCCCACCCACATTCGTCGCAAGGTCCTTCGCGCATTCACAACTCCTTCATCCCCCGTGCGTCTCATTATCGCCTCCGACCTAGTCGCCCGAGGTATCGACATCCCTAAGCTCGGCCATGTCATCAACTACGACTTACCCGCCAGTGTAGCCGGCTACGTTCACCGCGTAGGTCGGACGGCTCGCGCAGGACGGTCTGGATGTGCATGGACTTTGATTGGCGATGACGAAAGCGGTTGGTTCTGGGGTAAAATCGCAAAGAACCAAGCCATAAGACGGACACAGAAGGTGGAGAGAACGAGAATAGAAGAAATGACCGAGGAGAGAGTGCAGGGATATGAGGCTGCACTGGCTATACTTGGTAAGGAAGCGTTAGAATTAAGGAGAAGTAAATAAGCTGTCCATTACGACAATTTTTAAAAAAATACATGAGTAAACGGATAACAAACTCCAGGCGAATGCTTATTCCGTGCCTTATTAAAAAAATCTCCTTCGCTACTACGGTGTATATATGTTTTGCTCGGAAGGGGGAGAGGGGGTTCGTAATCATCCATTATTGGGGCGTTGGGCTTCCTCATGAGAAGCAGAGGGACCAGTGGCGGGTGTCTCAATAGCGCCGTACCCTCCTCGCTGGGCGGACTCGCCTTGTTCGGAAGATTCTTCAGACTCTTCGGCGACAGTGGCTAGGCGTCTGGAGCTTTCGTCGTCGGTCTCGCTGAATGGTTTCCAGTCCTCTGTTCGGAGGGCGGTCCACCAGGCTGTCCGCTCTCTCATGATTAAGAGGCCCATTACCTAGACACATCAGCGGCGAATTCTCGTTGCCGCACACCTCGAGGGTCATATGAGGGCAGAAAGCTCACCTGCATCAATCCTACTATGACCACGACCCCAAAGTCAACGCCCGATGCGGCCTGCAACGCCAACGTCCACGGCCCCCTGCACGCTCTCGTTCGGCCGTGAATCTCGGCACATGTGCCGCTTGGTACATTGGAAAACGGGTAGGCCCTGTCATCTACGGAATTCAAGCCGCAGCAGCTATACGTATCCTGTATGTACTCAATGTAGTCTGCATTCTTGGCTTGGTAGAGCTTGTCCCATTCGTAGTCGATGAGGAATTCGAGCGCGGGAGACGGCACGACGCCTTCGAGGAGCAAAGTGGCGAGGATGGCGGTTATGATTGCCTGGAAGCCCTGGAGGACGATGGGAGCAAGGCGTGTGAAGATATCGCCGGATGTAAAAGTGTGTGAGGAGCGGAGGAGGTTGGGATATACGTAGGCGTTGAGGAAGGCAGTGATGGGGAGGATGGTGCTGAGGATGGTGATGGCGGACGATATGGGGAGGGAGAGGTGTATGGTGTGGTAGTGGATGACACTGGATTGTGATCATTAGCCGGTGCTTCGTGGAGGGGAGAAGGGGCCTTGGGTCTTTACACGGCGATGGCAAAGAGGACGACACAAACCTTGTGGTGGTCAGCTAACTGGCTGCTTGGAAGGAGTGGTGATGGAGAGGACTCAGGAGTGGTGACTTACAAGCATGTAGGCGATGCCGGGGTTGAACATGGTGCTAGTCGGCAGTGCTTTGCGTTTGGAAAACGCAAAGCTGCTCGATAGTACGGCGTCCTGAAAACCAAGGACTAGACCTGGGGAGATGTGGCATTAAAAAGTGATGTTTGGGGATGAGATCCAGATGGGCGGGTGGCCGGTTGGTAGGATGGTCTGATGGCCTGATGGTGTCTCAAGAGGTGGTGGTGTTTGGGCGAGCTTGCCGCGGGGCTGGCGTTGGGCAGACGTCAATTGATATTTCAAGCGGCGACCGATCGATCCTATGCCGTTCCCGTGACGTAGTTTTGTGTCTGAACCGCCACAAGTGCTTTATTTTGTTTCCCCTGCTGCACCAAATCTAAAGAGACAATCTATCATTGACAATTGGGCGTGGTGCAGGTTGCTCCAAATACGGAGTAGTATCTACCTATCTATGTACTAGGTACCTAGTACGCTACGGGGACGAGTCGTATTGATCTGACAGACAACCGGCACTCAGATCGGAATTAGCCTGGGGGGCTGGGTTGACAGGTGGCTGATGGGGTGTTCCTTCTCTGTTGGAGCAAATCAACGTGCTGGACCAACCGTAACCTCACCTAGAATCAACAAAGCTGCCACAAAACTTAGCAGCAGCATCAATAGGATCAGAGTAATCTGGCATTGGAATCGTGGCTGGCTACGTCCACATACATATACGTCATAAACTCAATACCAACATCACAAGAGCGTCACCAAAGGCTCATTCTACCTCTCCAAACTTTACCGCGGCCTTTTTCCACTGACGGTACTCTGCACAACCTAGACCTACAGAAGGAAATATGGTCGTCGAACCCCCGTGCCAGAGGATACCCCGACGGACTACCTTCTCATCTCTGGGAATGCATTTGCATCAACCATACTCCGTACAGCTTCATAAATCTGCTCGGTGTTGTGCGGAAAGCAGCAATATTGGCCGTGCAAGGTCCGTCGCCCATGTCATTCAACTGCCTGAGCCCCTGACTGAGCCGAGATTACTATCATGCGGATTCATGCCACGCAGCAAACGTAAGATGCGGCAGCTAGGCATTCCGAATTGCTTTTGCAATGCCACTTAGTACTAAGGTTCTCAATTCAAACTTGTTTCTATTTCAGCTCCCGCCATCTGATCGCCCGCATGGCCGCCAAGTATCTCGGACCACCGCTCGACCTCGCTGGCCTGAAAGCAGTCCCAAGGCTCACTTCGCCTGAAGACCTGCCCAGTGGAAGCCCTTCTCAAGCAGCTCAAATGCATGGGGTGTGGCCTTTTATTTTATGGCGCAAGAACAAATAACGGCCTTCTTTCGCTGGAAAAGATCAGATCCTTCACAGAATGCATTTATCAATGTGGCAGGCAGCTCAAACCGTAGCCTCTGGATATGTCTTGCTGACCGTCCATGAAAGTATCCACAGCTAAATTACGCAACAGGCTGCTGAACAGCTTGCTGAGGATGAAGAAACAATGTACTAGGTCATCGAATACCTAGAGCATCGCTACCAGCCAAGTTTCGTTCAAGCATATGGCTCGTTCGACGACACCTTTGTTGTTACAACAATCGAGGTTTAGTAGCGTGCAATACTTTGCATTCAAGCTTAGACAAGCTGCGACATATGCGAGTATGTAGAGAGGGAAGTTTGGGATGCCTGAATATTTTGTCTTTCCTACGGTGCAAGACCTGTGCGGAGTGCTTTATCTTCGCTATGGTGTCCACGGGTAGACACAGGCAGACATACGTGTCGTCTACAGTGTACTACCAGTCATATCAGGACCGCATACGACAACCTTGCATCCTTCACTCCTCAGAACCAGTCCGGGGAGCGCTACTTACCCATGGCGCATACTCGGACGGACGAAAATGGATCAACTTCAATACGAATTTTGGGTTGGCTAAGCAGCGAGGGCATTGTTTGTCTACACCGCTCATGATACAAATGTAGAAGGAGTAGAACAAGGGTCGTATCGGGGTCTGCCTGTTAGTCATTCAAAAACCCCTCCCATTGCCCCGAGTCGGACAATACACGTGGTTAGATATCTGGATAGTGCGATCTCTCAGCCATATGAATACCCGAATAGGCAGGTTGCACGGGCAAACAGAGTGTCGTGGTCGGCGATACTTCTTTCTCATCGCTATCAACTCACGGATAGGAAATGCCGGAGGAATATGCAGTTCACCCATACTATTTACTTATTTGACACACCATCTCCATTGATATTGGTCACAAGGGACAATTCATACCGTCCTGACACCAAAGCGGTTGCACCCCATGTAGTCAGGTTCGGGCAAGAGGAGTTCGGAGTCTGCCCGAGACAAAGAAGAGCTGGCTTATTCAGTCGGGTATATATAGCTGCGGAGACAAATACGAATGTGTTATAAACATGACGAGTCTTGTATCCTGACTGGCTCCTGTTTTCTGGTCCTTCTCCTCACCATATGCAGCAACTCGCCCGTTGTTCCACATGAAGATCGTCACTTTCAGCATCTTATTCACCGCTGTCGTGGTCCTCGCGGCTCCGGTCCCTGAACCGACTCCAGTAGGTTGAGCTTTTAGCCCAAAAAGTGAAAAGAGAAAAGAGAGACGTGGCTGTATCAACTATTAACTCCCGTCAGCCTGGCATCCCGAGTGCATCTAGTGCCAGGACGACACTGGCTAGCCTTCAAGTATCAACTCCCGTGGACGATGGCACATACAACCGATCTCTCTTTCACACCTGGGACATTATACACGGAAAATGCAATACTCGGCATGTTGAAATCCCGTTACACTGTTATTCCACTTGAAGTGAGCTCTTCTTGCTAACCACGAGCAAAAGAGATGTGGTACTCATACGGGACGGCGAAGATGTCAAAACGAATCGCAACTGCGTCCCTCAGTCAGGCATATGGACCAGTCCATACGACGGCCTAGTCTTCACCGAAGCTCACAAGCTTGATATTGACCACTTTGTGCCTCTGAAGAATGCGTGGATGGTGAGGAAAAAAACAAGGCCCCTTCCCCCGCCGGTATTGCTCACATCTTTGCCTGGCTAACGCATCGGTTACAGTCTGGAGCATCCGAGTGGACCGATGAGCAGCGAGAGGCCTTTGCCAACGACTTGACTCACCCGCAGCTTTGGGCCGTCTCTGCTCATGCCAATCGGCAAAAGGGGGACAAGAGCCCTGACAGGTGGAAGCCTCCTCTAACGAGCTTCTACTGCACCTACGCCGAATCTTGGGTAGATGTCAAGGGCTATTACAATCTGACCATTTCTGACAGCGAGAAGGACGCTTTGGGGAGCATGCTGGATGATTGCTGATACTGGACCTCTAAACTCATTCGAGCATCTTCCTTCGCCCTTGATGTATTTAGTTTATCACTGGTGTGGTTATTCTTTGCGGCGACGGAGAGATGTATAGAAGGAGATGCGGCATCCTTCCTGCCAAGTGTCAATCGAATAGAATCAACTCCCTACTTCTTGTATAGAGCAAGCCTCCTAGAATCGTATCGTTACGGATGTGGCCGTCGTCATTTGCCAGTTGCGTCTATAGCCCGAACGAATGTGGTTTGTCCTCGGTGCCTCCCGAGTTATCGTCTTCATGTCCAGAGCTATATATGTAGTGTGTTTTTATATTTTTTACCATGTAATATCAACTTAATAGAAAAAAATTAAGAGGGGCTAAATAACTACTTAATGCAAGACCACTAACAACACTATACGTCTGTTAACCGTACTATGCTAGGGAACCACAACTAACCGCGCGATACACCAAGAGTCCACGCATCGCGATGCGATAAACACACTAGCCGAGTTGGCGATTCATCACCATATATATCTTTTATAAAAAAGATACTTAACTTCATATAATATTATGGGTATTATTTAGTTTATATATAGATTACGTGTCAACGTGGCCTAATACTAAATACATCAAGTAAGCTGTCATGCTGTGCGACACACAGTACCACTGCCGCGCCATGTTCTGCGCACAACAAGCTAACATTGAGTAAACATGAAGTCAAGCAACAAATAAACGAGCCGGCCGTACGGAGTACATATGTAGCTACATGTATTGGTATATGTACCCTTCCCCAGCAAAGCCCACTGGCCCGAAGCTTCCAAAGCCCAAGTCAAGTGGAGCAAAAGCCAACCGCGGCCCCAGACGTCATTTTCGCAAAAACAGCTCCCGCCTCCACTCAAGCTGTCCAAACCTCCTCCATGATCCATCCATCAACCAACTCACAACCGCCAGTCCCCAGCCCAAATGGAAACCAGATCCTCGCGCGCGCGCCTCCGCCGCACGTTCCGCTACCCCTCCGACTCGGACACGCCCTCCGCCCTCGACGAACAAGGTCCCTGCCCTCCGCCCCAACCCTCCGCCCCCAGACCAGACCGCAGCTAACGCGCCAGCCCGCCAGAGCAAGAGACCCTCATCGCAGACCTCGCCGCGCAGAACCGCCAGACAAACACCTCCTTCGCCACCGTCCTGCTCGCCCTGCCCGCGCTCTCGACAATCCCCTACGTGCCGCTCCTCTTGCGCGGGCCGCCAAACCCCATCATCGCCGTCCTGTCGCTCACCTCCCTCCTCTCCACGGCCTACATCCTGTACAAGCTCCCGCCGCCAGAGACCGGCATCGCACCGCTGGACGCTTGGGTCCAAAGGGGGCGCGTCCCTGCCGCGAGCGAGACGATCCGGCGGCTGAAGAGGGGCGCCGGACCCGACAAGTCCCCGCTGGAGATGTACTTGCCGTACCTGAACTGCGTGCTGTCCGGTGTGCTGGTCGTGCTGGGCTTGGTGCTGGGCAGAGGGGACGGGAGCTTTGCGTGGATCGGCATGGGGAATCTGCCGGCCATTGTGTACGGTGTTGTTTTGGTGGCAAAGGTCGTCATGGGGAGCGTCGACCCTGAAAGAGAGTTGGGCGGTTTGAAGTATGGGTTTAAAGGCGCTTGAGACCTGCCTCGGCTTGGTTTTTATAATGAGCAAGTGAATGAATGAATAAATGACATCATTACAACCCTTCCTCACAGTTCCTGATGCACCACACCCCTACGGATGAGTCCAAGATTGGATGCAACGCAACGGCTCTTTGATTTCTACCTGTACATACATCATGTCATAATCATGAAAAGTATGCAGTACAACCAGCCCTCCTCTTCTTGAAATCGCATTGCTCTAATCAGAACGCCTCTCGCCTAGCCATAGCTTGCGTACTCCTCATGATTCTCTCTACATGTCTATCGAGTCATTGAACCGCAAAATGCCGTGATTTTTCAAAACACCGTCTACACCTTTGGGAGGTCGAGGGAATGGGTCCGTCATCGGACTTGTGCTGGGGGAATCTGTCGACTTGTCCATGACGAGTGCTAAACCATGAGATTTTATAGCGTCCACGAGAGCAGGCACCATGTCCTGATGTCCAAATCAGCAAAGCAATTCCACACTCCAGGTGACAGGTATACACTTACCAATAATTTGGAGTAGCAGATCAGCCCCATAAAGTTATTACTCTGGGCAATTCGAACTACTTCTTTGATGGATGTACCTCGTCTTCCACTCGGTCGAAGCATATTTTCTTCCAAGATATTGTCCTCGCGGCCGAGATCGTTGCACAAGAACACAGGAAAGTTCGGCTGCTTCCAGTTCAAGGCTGTACACAACCGAGCATTGTAGCTGCTGAACACCATGGAACGAGCTGCCTCTGGAGACTGGTATTGGGCTCTCTGCGCACGAGCATGATCAAACACGACAGTAAGAATAGCATCAACAAAGACGTTGACGTCCAACGCAGGACCGAGCGCAAGCGCCTTTTCTTCCTCCTGCGTCGGGTATAGGACCTGCAGATTCACGTTGATGCCGCGAGGGAGGATGGCCAGAGCATCCTTGAGGGTGATGCCTGCTGTAGCGAGGATGTGATATACCTCCGCAATGTTATCAACAGTCTTCGATGACAGGCTAGGCAACGCAGCTCGACAGGTGTTTTCGGCAGTAATCGTCAGGAACTGCTGTAGGGACAGTCGACACAGTGGCAGATCTAGTCCTCCACAACTGATCGTCCATTGAGACCAAATCACTGGGACTCCATCAGCCGTATATTGCACAAATAGCCGGACGTAGTCACCGGATAAACTTGATCCAGTTACCACAGCACTAGTGGGCTGGTTAAACTGGCTCGTCGCTTTCCAGTACGTCTCAAAGTCCGTGATTTCCAATGGCTGACCATTGAACGGCTTGATCACCTGGGTGCTAAAAGTAATCTGGCCAATTGCCCTAAGTCGTGGATCAAACAGAGGCAGGCAACACTTTGAGATTCCGCCTTGCTGCGTCTTGAAAGCGCTAGGCAATACCACCGTCTTGGCGATAATCTTGGCACCGTACGTAGGGAAAACATCGAAATCGAGAGAAAATGTATCGAGGTTGTCAACTTGGAATGAAACCATGCGGGTATCTTCTTGAAAGGGGAGAATAATATTCTTTGGGATGAGATCTGATAGCTTGGAGGAGATTGTCAGTCGCGCCGCCGGATATTTTCCATCTTGAAAGAATATCAAAGGCTGCTCGTGAAGGTCATCGAAGCTGAGTTGTACGACGGTTTTAGTGTCGAGGAAGTTATGACCGTAGCGGCGGAGGGGAATGATGGGAGGGGGCAGTTCGAGTATGGGGATTGCGTCGGGATCCAAGGACATGGGACCGGGTGCATTGCTGCTGTCAGTAGGGCCAGGTGACGACTGTAGGACGAGTGGGCTGGCGCGAATGTGAGTGTTGAATGGGGTAAGTAGTTTCATGCATTCCAGATGGCCTTCCCACGCGGCGTAGTACATGGCTGGGAGATCTTTCTCATCCACAATATTGACGTCAACTCCAACCTTGAGCAGCGCCTGCAGGCAGTCAACGTTGCCTTCGCTCGCCGCATGGACAAGCGGAGTCCACCCATACAGCTTATCAACTTGGTCTAAATCAGCTCCAAATTTTTTGAGCAGGAGCAGCAACTCCGATGTCTTTCCCGACCTCGCCACCAGGTGCTGTGGATATAAGCCTTCTGCGTCGGGCAAAATATTCGCTCCGTGCCTTAAGAGCAGCTCGACAACTGCCTCGGAGCCGTGCTCACAAGCTAAATTCAACGGGACATGGTCTGAGTCCGATACCGGATCGATTCTTGCCGATCTAGCGAGCAAACGCTGTATGCAATCAATATGACCATGAATAATTGAGTGGATAAGCGGAGTAAAGTTGTCGTGGTCAATGAGGTTAATCGTTGAGGAATTCACTTCCAAGCACGAATCAGTATAAGGCATCACGTCATCAGCTTCCGGGGCTTCATACCATTTAATAGAGCCTCGAGCATATCCAGACGACCATGTAAACTGGCGTAGTGCAACGGCACTCGTCCATATACATCTGTCCTATCGACAGAGACCCCGGCTTTTAGCCCCCATTCCAAGACATACTGTTTGCCATATATGGTGGCCTGATGAAGACAATTTCTCTCGTTGATATCATCATATGACTGCAAGTCGACGAGTCCAGTATCTAAAAGAACGCGCAGAGACTCTTCGGGCGCATCATGGATTGCCGTCAGGAAGGTCCTGGTGACACGATCAGGCAATGAGCTTCCTCCGTCTGTTGAGCTGCTCGCGGATTGCATCTTCGTCAAGAGTTCTCTGAGCGTCTCTAGGTTCCCCGTAATGACGGTATCCAGCAACAGTGTGTCGGCATCTCCTTCATCAGTCCCCATAAAGTGTTGGCTCGTGACGACATGCCCTGGTGTCTGAAAATTGACCTGTATGCCATCGGACCAGGCGCCCAGCTCTTGAAGACTAGTCGTGGCCTGATCCGAGAGTTCACTTATAACGGGTGCGTTAAAAAATGGCTGGACTTCGACGGCCCTGGACAGATAAAGCTCCTTGGTTTTGGACTTGGACGTCTTGTCCCACTTCTTGAGAATCTTGGAGAATGCAGTGCCGTTAATTTCAACAAACTGCTGGAGCTTGTTCAAGTCAGTAGCAAACTGTTGAAAGCCCTCCTCGAGTGTTGTAAACTTGGAAGAGCGTCTTGAGATGCCGTCTCTTGTTTGTAGGACCTTTTTCTTGTCCAGAAGAGTTTTCAACCGAATCTTTAGCTCGGCCTCTTTTTGCAAGTAGAAGGCATTCACCTTGTCGAGTTCACGTTCCTATGTAGAGGTCCGCTTGTTAGGGATGTTGCGGGGTCTGTGTGACGGTGTCTTGTGTATCACGGGTCTCCTTACCAGTTGAAAGAAGAAAGTGGCCTTGTTGGCTTGAAGAGAGGCTTGGGAGTCAACGGAACCAGCCTGCCGAAGTATATCATTTTGCGCCGCCAATGTCGGGGTGGCAGAGAGCTTCTTGATAAGCTGTTCGGTAGGGCAATGTTAGTTGACAAGCTCTCAGTTGCCGCTACTATGTGTAACCATGGGTAATGAGAGTTGGGGAGGAAGATTGGTCAAAGCAATATGGCCAACCTGCGTGGCTTCAGACAAGAGCGGACGGCTGGCCATTTGTAAACAGGCTAGAGGGGTCATAGTCCATGGGGCACCGACCTTTTTCAAAGCTTTGTAATTGACGAAGCTTGCCGCATACTCTGGAACCTCCAGCTGGCGCTTCTGTATTTGTTTGCCGAACTTCCTACTCAAGAGGAAATATATTGTCAGCAACCCTGGGCCACGGAATAGACGGTTCTTTCCAAACACCGCCGGTGGCAAGGATGTGGAAGCCTCTTACATATTGCTGCTCGGAGCCTAGCAGAGCCGCGAGTCGGAGGAGAATTAAACGCTTGCGTGTAGCTTCCGTACAAGGAGCAGTCCTCGTAGACAAGATAGGCCAGGAATCGGCAAGAGGAAATATGCCGCCACTTTGTACTCTGTGTGGTTGGGGTTTCGAGCAGGGCTGTCAATCAATCGAACCGTCGAACCGTCATGTAAAGAGTGACACTGAAGGTTGCAAGGCCAGACACACCCATTCAAGACATGACAACAAAAGATGGTAAGTTGCGGGGGTGCGTTTGGCCAGCAGAGAGCCAGCAATGCGATATGTGAGGCGGCAGGTGCAAGCCAGAGCTGCTTGTTGCTATTGACCGCTTGCTGCTGCTGCTTCCTTCTTCACCGAATGGTCCAAGCAGGTGTGAGGCCGGTCAGAGGATATGGATCAGAGTCCTTGACAGCCGCCGGGGTCCCTGAAGGTGGTTAGGTCAGCTTGGGTCAACTTGGGCATCTCCATCCATCTCTCTCTCAATCTCATGTGGCGCATGTGACATCTGAGGCTTGTGTTGACGGTGCGGGTGAGGATGTTCCAGCTTCACAGGAAATACTGCAAAGCTGGAAACGAGAGCAAAAAAAGCACGGCGCGAGGGACAAAAATGAGCGCTCCAGTTACTCACCTTTTCTTAGTCAACACAGGCAAGAGGAAGAGTCATTAATGGTACCTATTCCGCAGTCCCAATCCCTCATGCAGATAGGTCCAAATAGGCTCCTTTGCATCCAGCGTCACCGTGATGGCGGCTGCAGAGGGCCAATGTCGTACAATAACGCCTAAGCAGACGAGGCTACCCAATGCCTGTTCCTTGCGTGGTCCTGTGACCGGGCCCGTGCTAGGAAAACGGTGACGATGTCCCGGGCGACACAAATTGCCGTATGTTGAAAGCCGTGCTAGACGCAATGTCGCAAAGACAAAAGCATGCGTGATGGAAAGTTAACAAAACTTTGGCACCGGCCCGGCTTGTGGATGAGCTTGATTCCTCTTCCACTCTCCCTCCAAATTGAATGAACTCCACCCTAACCAATGTCGTGAGAGCGAAGAGGCACTTCTTGTCAGTCGAAAGAGGCCGCAATGGAGTGTGTGTATAATGTTTGCCTCAGAAGCGGGGTGGTGTGGCCGCTCGTGATCTCTTGGTCTCCCCAACGGTCAACTGGTCCGTCTACTAGTTTACCACGGTCCGCATCGACTACTTTACAAGCTTTGGGCTTTCAAAATAGCCCATGTCGTTCACCTGTACCTAGGGACGTTTTCATCGACGCTTCATTAAACTCGAAGGGACCTCTTCAACCTGCGAGTCAATGTCTGGTATGGTGTACCCTTAACCAGCCATGCTTGCCTGTCGTCGTCCTGTGCGTCTCCACACCATGCACAATTCCAGGAAGGGAAAGAACCGCGCTTTAACCGCGTAGCACTATCTCGTCCGGGGTGGAAGAAGGGCTGATATTCTACCACCGCCTACACCTCTCCATTCCTCTGATTCGTCCCGTCAGTTCTCCTCTCATGCGGCGAGATCTCGCGCTAGCAATCCATTATCTTGGCCAATCGTCGTCTCACAATCAACCCCGTGCCCAAGCGACTTGCCATGCTTTCGCCTTTACGACTCAGTTCAACCAATATTCACAAGATCTTGTGCTCAATAAGTACTCGGTACATAAAGCCAAATTGGGGTAATTTGCCCTCGCTGGGCCCCCTGTTTTCCAGAGTTCCATCTGCAACACCAGTTCACGCATGGCACCTGGGCAAGGTTTAATAACGGCCAGAGACCAGGACCCATGAATGATAGCTCAATATCTTGTTATAAACTTGTAATAGTGCGAAATTTCCCCCTCATGGTATTACCTGCTACCCCTCTTGTCTGGCCATGACGTCGTGGCTCGTCGGCAACGCCTACCTTCCAGAGGTTCGCTTCAAGATTGCTTTTGGTTACCTGTGTATGCAGCCATCTGTCAATAATACTATGTAGGTCACAGGGTCGCAGAGTCGGCCAAGTCCAGTCTCCACCCATGCTACGGAGCATTAGACATACTTCTGCTCTTGGGACCGAGCAAAAAGGATACAATTCACGCAACCGGATAATGGACCATGTTTTGGAAATAAGCTTAACAAAACCCAATGTTTTCTGCATTCTGATGCTACAGTGGGACAAAACAAGCTCGACTGTGCACACTGCTTGGGTGTAAGAGAAATCACCAAGATATCCAACCAATGATTGAAGGTAGCCTACGCTCCATTGAACTCCCAGATAAACAACGCAATGCAGAGAGCGGATCATCGGGGCTTCCCAGCCTATGCCTTTTTGTCTGCCGAGGTACCGTCCTTGGACTCTACCAAGCTGTCGGCCATGGCTTCGGCTGCAGCCTTCTTGAGACGTTCGTGATCCTCTGGCTTGGAATCCTTAGGTTTATCCTTGCTTGGCTCCTTTTCGTCTTCGCTGTCACCGAGGCTAAACGGATCATTGTCCGTGATTGGGCTCGGCTCGACCGTAGACAGAGGTTGCCATTTGCTAGCCTTGGTGCTTGAGCTTTGAGGTGTGTCCTTTGGGGGGACTATAGGCGAAACATCGTACATGTTAATCTCCTCGGTTTCCTCCTTGAATCCTACCCTTCTTCCATTACCAGGTCTCGGGGAGCTCGATGGCGGAGGCGGTCGGTGAATACCAGAGTCAACCATTGGTCTACCTGGCGCAGCAGCTATGAAGCATTAGATTACAGTTATGTCTTAAGGTAGTTTCTCAGGGGAAGACGTACATCCATCAGCGGACAATCGGATTCCTGCAAAGTCGTCGCTGAGCACTTGGGGATCCGCGTCATAGCGATCGTAATCACCACTTCGGCGACTCGCCTCGCCCTGACGACGGGAAGGCTGGCCGTGTCCCTGGTTGTTCTCCTCACTCTCATCGAAACTATCTTCAATCTTCTTTCGCAGGCCTGTGATCCAGCCATTGACCTTGGTTTGCGTGTCCAGAAACCCCTTGCGCAAGTTCTCCCTGATCACAGGCAAATCGTCGTCAATAAAGCTGTGCTCTCTTTCATCGCCTTCCCAGCCCTGAGGTTGTCCAGCGTTTCGGGTACGGTTCGAGACACGAGCTTCGTATGCACCAACATTGTCATAATGCTCAGCTAACTGACGGGCATAGAGCTCATCTGCCTCAACTTGGGACATCTGAGCTCGGCCTTCAGGACGAGGGGGTTGGGGTGGTGGTACTTCTTCGGGCTCGTTCTTGACGGCATCGGGATCGGTCATTTCTATGGTTGATTCATGTTAGAATATGGTCGCCCGATTAGTACGGTTTACCCAGGCGTAGTAGCTCACCCAGGAGTGCATTGAACGCTGGCTCAACCTTGCCTCCACTAGCTCTCAGGACAGCTTTGATGACATTGCCATCTACTGTTGGAAACGCTTCTTTCAAGATCATTTCGTTCTTCTGATCTTCAGTCACGGGTCGAGGAGGCTTTGGTGGAGCGGCCTCTGTTGATGAGACTTGTGCTTTTGGCTCGCCACCAGGGTTTGTGGTTGCGGGTGTTGTTGAAGTGGCCGGTCTGGTAGCAATACCGGTTCTGGCGCCTGCGCCATCGTCAGCGACCACGCTGGTGTCTTGCAGATCGTCGTCGTCCATCTCCAGCGGTCTGGCAGTCGTAGGTGATTCGGCGCCGGACTCTGCCGTGGTTTTGTTCTGGTGAAGCCCGTGCTTGTTAGCAACGCCAGGTGCAACATACATAAATAGCCCTGTGGGTACAAACCGTTTCTGTTGGAGTCGACATGGTTGCGACCTTGGCTGACAGCAATCGCAAACTTCGAGTCTACTGGTTCTCTGAACGTGCCAATAATTACTAATGAGTGAAATGTATTCAAACGGTTGTGTATTCGTCCCAAGTCGGTGATAAGGATACAGATGCAAAGTGCTGTCACCTGAAACCTTTGTCTAGTTTATCTTGAAATAATGAGACGAGGGGTTGCAGCTGGCCACGCCGCCGATGACGTTCCCCACAGGCTGCAGCACAGGGAACTGGCTGAGCCACAGTCCCGATGACGCCTCGCCACAAGTGCTCCGTAAGAGCCATGAAAATGTGGCGACAACTTGAACGCTTCAGTATTTCAATTTGTTTGTCTCTAGGGTAGCAACTCACTTGAGAAGCATTATCTGCTGCGATCTCAAGTGAGCCCCAGCTGTTTCTCTCTCTTTAAGACTATCTGCGATTATGGATAAGGTATACTCTCGGTGAACTGGAAGATAACACAATACCTGGCTCGGCACGTCACTTTTCTCTCTTGTTGCGGTCGTAATGGCAGAGTTCAGCCTTGATGCCACCTTCATTCCGGCTCTGCACAAACCACCGGCTCTACTCCCTATTGCCAAACACCGCGACAGCCTCTTGTACGTGATCGAAACGTACCCAGTAACCATAGTGATCGGTCAAACCGGGTCCGGGAAAACGACACAGATACCCCAGTTCCTGGAAAAGGCAGGATGGTGTGAAAATGGCAAAGTCATTGGTGTAACTCAGGTGAGATCCATTCTCATGCTCACCCACTAGTTGGATATATTCTTATGCGCATCGATAGCCTAGACGAGTCGCAGCAACGACAGTCGCACTCCGTGTTGCTGACGAGATTGGGTGTGAGGTAGGCAAAGAAGTTGGGTACTCTATTCGATTCGAAGATGTCACGTCGTCAGCGACACGAATCAAGTTCCTCACTGACGGTTTACTCATTCGAGAAGCACTGGTTGACCCTCTTCTGAGTCGGTACTCTGTTATAATGGTTGACGAGGCCCATGAACGCTCAATCAGCACGGATGTTTTACTGGGGCTATTGAAGAAGATCCGGAGGAAAAGACCTGATCTGAGGATCATTGTCAGCAGCGCGACTTTGCAAGCAGAGGATTTTCTCAAGTTTTTTGCTGCCAATAGCGAGGATCCAAGCTCCACGAGCGACCATAGTAATTCGCCTGAGATTGCAAGAATCGTGAACTTGGAGGGCAGGACGTATCCTATTGATATGCTGTACCTAGAATCACCGGCAGAGAACTACGTTGAAAAGGCCATCGAAACGGTTTTTGATATCCACACAGAGGAAGGAGATGGGGACATCCTCGTCTTCCTGACTGGGCGCGAAGAAATTGACAATGCGATCCAGGCCATGGCCGAAAGAATTGGCCAAACACGAGATCGATATGGCGATTTACAACCACTGCCACTATACGCAGGGCTGTCGTCAGAGGAGCAAATGTACGTCTTCGACAAAACGCCCGAGGGCAAGCGCAAAGTTATATTCTCGACAAATATTGCGGAAGCCTCCGTCACCATTGATGGCATAGTCTACGTAATTGACTGCGGATTCGTCAAACTGCGAGCATACAACCCAAAGACGGGCATAGAGACCCTCACTGCAACACCGACATCCAAGGCGTCTGCTTCACAACGGGCTGGGCGTGCTGGGCGGACAAAGCCAGGGAAATGTTTCCGCCTCTACACCGAACAAAGCTACCAAAGCTTACCGGAGGCCAACCCCCCTGAAATCCAGCGATCCAACCTGGCACCGATTGTTTTGCAGCTCAAGGCGCTTGGGATCGACAACGTCGTTCGATTCGACTACTTGTCACCACCTCCATCGGAACTCATGTCCAAGGCCCTGGAGCTGCTATACTCTCTCGGAGCATTAGATGAATATGCAAAGCTAACAAGACCACTGGGTTTCCGCATGGCCGAGCTAGCCGTCGAGCCCATGATGGCCAAGACACTCCTCACAGCGCAGTCGTTCAACTGCCTCAGCGAAATGCTCACCATCGCAGCAATGACCAGCCTCGGCACGAGTGTCTGGTTCTACCACGACGGCGAGCAAAAAGCAATGGAAAGTTCACGACGCAAATTTGCCGCCGAGGAAGGCGACCATCTCACCCTTCTCAACGCCTACACGGCATTCGTCACGAAGGGCAAGAAGGAAGCACGGTTCTGTCACGAAAACCACCTCAACTACAAGTCCATGACGCGCGCAGTGAGCATCCGGGCACAGTTGAAACGATACATGGAGCGCTTCAACATCCAAGTCAGCGAGTCGCTGGCTTCCAATCGACCCTCAGAGACAGATCTAAAGAGCAAGGCGGAGCAGATTCGCCGCTGCTTAACGTCGGGATATTTTGCGCACGCGGCTCGAATGCAACCCGATGGGACATTTCGCAACGTCGAGGGCGGGACCGTCATGCACGCGCACCCGAGTTCGTTGCTGTTTAATAGAAAGGCGGACTGGGTGATCTTTCACGAGATTATGGAAACGGGCGAGAAGACATTTATCCGTGACATGACCAAGATTGAGAAGGGGTGGTTGCTGGAGTACGCCCCCGGGTTTTATACGGTGACGAATAGTACTAGGATGGGGGAATAGATGGATCTGCGGGGTGGGATTTATTACGGGAGGCCTCAGAATATTCTAGACGGGACGGGGCGTATGAGAACACTTGATACGAGTATGAATAGACTCTGTGAATGTATGTAGTGAATTATACGCAATATTTGAAAAGGGTTTGGTCATCAGAGTACCAGCATATAGCATCAAAAGTCCCAGGTGGTCGCGCGCCAAGCTCAGGCCGGCACTAGGGCATATCCACCTGGCCAAGAGAGCCTTGCATACCCAATCGACTCGGCGCTGTCTGTAAATAGTAGCTATTCAATGTTCAGACCAAAACACGCAGCCGACTAAAATACATACTACGCGAACAGCCTCCACCAAAACACGCGGTCGGTCCAACGTGAATCTCGGACCCGGCCCACTGCAATAAGGCAGCCTGGCTACGAAGCGTCTCCGAAATGACCGGAAGTACGGAGAACTTGACCAATGGAGGATCCCGTGTGATTACACGCAATGCACAAAATCCTGCAAAATTTTTGACAGAGAGGGGTGAGGCTTGCGCGTGGAATGGGCCTTGATGGCGGCGCGCATGCATCCGCAGTTTGAAAAGCGTATGCATGATTGTTTGTAGTACTAGTAGTAGCAGTATTACAAGTCTGGTATAATTAGAAGTATGTTATTTTTCAAAGCTGGATACGCGTGGAAGCGGTCAACAAGCGTCGTGACCTGCGTTTGGTTCACGGAGCACATCAAAGGAGAACAGTCAATTCAATGACGCTTGATCGTCAAGCACAAGCAAGGGGTTTGGAACAGCTTCGCGAGCAAGACAGTCGTGTCTGTAGCAATCAACGCGCGTAGAGTGAATTGCTGTACGCGCCAACGTGAACAGCATGTTGCAGTCGTGTTTCGATTATTTCGGTATTGTCGGACGTCTCGAGTTGCGACATGGTGCTCATATCTGCCCCCTACTAGCATCTGGCGAGGAATGCATGCCATTGACTCCAAACGCGTGAGTAGCAAGCGGACGCCACCGAATATCGAGCATTATCATGGGGGTCTTGCAAACGGTTGACGCGAGTGAGTGCAACCCAGGTACGGTAGCGAATGAAATGAGCGTCATCCGATAAGAATAGAAGCAGAGAATTGCGCAAGGCGACCTACTTGCAGGTAGGCAGGCGATATGCTTGGAATGAACCTCAGGCCTGGGCCACGAGAACACACAGTGCAGCAAGCAAAGCAAGCTCGGGCATCCGACGCACCAGCCATGTGTAACGTCTGCACATGGGCATTCCGAACGTCCGATGATGTATGTACAACCACCACGGGGCGTGTTGCGGCCCATGTCCATGCATGTGCACTTTGGAGAGGGAAAACCTGGCCCTAGACTCCGTAAGCGTCGATGCGTTGGTGCAACCGCCACAGAGCGAATAGGAATGCTTGCATAGTCGTTTGGCGTAAATTCTATTGCAAGTTGTAACCAGCCGACATTAACAGCTGTCGGCTCGAGGACCCTTTGCGAAAGCCACAAAAGTAGGCGGCCATATGGTGGACTAATGCATTGGCATAGAGTAGAATCGTTCTAGTTGCTAGTGTTGTGATTCTTTGTCCTTGAGAGAGCATCTTGCATGGTTTGTTGACTACTAAGTACCTAGGTACTCAACAACCACCTAGGTACCCAAGGCAAGTACATACTACATAAGTTCCCTTTGGTTAATAGAGATGGTGACGGGTCCTCTAATTTCGGCCCATCACACGCTGAAAGTCTCTTTGCAACGTCTTGGCGTAGAGCCATGTACCACAGTAATAAAGGGGAAGGGAAGAGAGGCCTCTGGCCCAACAGCTGTCGGTGGCCATGCCAGAATCGACAAGCTTTGTAAAAACCGCATGTGCAGTTTCTTCTGAATGGCGAGAGGTTCCAGCTCTGGGCTGGGTGGCATGGATGTGAGGCTTTGAAGATTACATGAGAGGCTGACAATGGAGACCAAGGCGCTGCATAACACGACATTAAAGGGCTATGTGGCTCCCTGTGACACTGCGTCTAGTCCGATCCGAGACTAGCGTCAGGGGCGGATGTCCAGCCTGGGTCTGGGAAAGCACGATCCCGCGCTATGAATGCGTAGCTTGCCCTCCCGCCTCCCTTGCCTGGCGCACTAAATACATATCAATTACAGGGCAGCATGATGCTCTATGCAAGCACAATTTCGTGCAAAAAGTGGCGAAAGCGCAAAATGATTGTATGTATCATCACGTCTTTCCAACGCGTTGACGTTGTTTGCTCCAGCTGCCTTTCACGAGCACACATGACATTGACACGTTTTTGATAAACCAAGGTAACCAACGATGCGGATGGGGAAATGAAACTTTGTTTGGTAGCGGCCTCTGTGGCTGGTGTTGCATCACCGTGGAGCGGCTCTTTGATGCGAAACAGAAGCTTTGCCTCTATTTGCAACTTTGTTTCCCATATCCCCGCGGGGGTCATCCAAAGTCTCAACAGTCCCAATGCATCTTTGAGCCAATTCTTCAAGGTGGGCCGCCGATAGACGATGCGAGCTGCGACAGATTGCCTCAAGTCTGTCCGACAGGCGTATTGCACTGCACATACATAGATGGCAGCGTTTGCGGCCAGGTGCTGTGCAACTGATCAATGAACAATATTGTGCATCCTGTGCATGATGACCTGCCGAATACTAGGCAGTTCTGTGTTGTGCCAATTTACTCCCTGCTCAGTGCCATCAGTAACAACTAGTAGTAGTATCACAGCTTTGTGCAAACACGGTACTAGCACCTTGGAAGAAGCATCACAAACAGGGCACCAGACTCTTGTCGAAACAGACCAGTTATTATTAATAGTCCCAGGACCCAAGGCCCATGCCACTGGACCAGACTGCTTCTGCCCTGACCTCAGGTGTCTTCGAGTGGTTCGTCCAGATGTTGGGCGGCGCTCAAATTAAAACCATTGACCCCGTGTGCGCGACGAGCCAGTTGACACTAAATGCCCTGCTCGGCCGCACGCTTGCCCCGTAAATCCAGCCTGATCCACGCCAGACCCATGTCAGACTTTGCCAGGGCCGCTCCCGCCGCCGTCTCATTTGCTGGTCGGTCCTAGTGCTGGTAGAAGTGGCTGCAAGGTACCGCACCGAGTAGTCAATATTACCAGACAGCTGTGTTTTCCTTGTTTCTCCCCCCCTAGACCAGCCCAAACCCGTCGACCGCCTCTTTGTGTTTATCCCAAGAACCGCTGTTCCACACCCCCTTTGTTCATCACCTTGTCCACGCCCCCTGGTCTTGATCCCAACCCCAATTGATTTCTCTTCCCCAAGCAGGGTAATGAGCTGGTTCTAGTGGTCGCTGGCGCCTCCGTCCCTCTTGCCCTGCTGGGTCCAGGTTCTCATTGCTTCGTCCCGTCGAGCAGCCAAGCCTTCTTCCTTCCTCTTCCTCTCCATCGTCAGTGTTCCCTTCAACTGTCGACCGACGACATCGTGCAATTCGCCCTGCCAACGGGCTCGTCATTCATTTAGTCATTCGTCATTCGTTTTTACAGCAACCGGTCATTCATTTTCGTTATTGCTCTTGTAGCGTTCAGCCATTCATTACTCCCTGGTCATCTACGAATGCGTCTTTAGGAACGTTGGCAAGGCTGGCTTATTTTCTTCTTCGGGGTTGCCCTGGGTTTCTAGTTTCCTTGACCTGGTTTATTTCGTTTTCTCAAGCCGCACCGCTGGACGACCGATTCGATTTGTCGATCCCGACTCTTTGCCACAGCTTACATTGCATCTGAGGGCCCAAAATCCGAAGCAAAACAAACATCTTGTTATTTCAAGGCGAGATCTTTTGGGTTCTTTCTAATGGCTATCGAGTTAAACCTTTCTTTTTGACATAGAGCCTACGACTAAACCCCCCTCCCCTTTCTCGTTATCAGTTTTCAGGACGTTTTATAATTCGACAATGGCAAACCTACCTGCCATTAAGCGGGCCACGACCGCCTTCGGGCAAGGCGTTTCGGATAATAATGTGTACCATATGCAGCCTCGTATCAACTTGCGAAGGGATTTGATCCCTGTTGAGACTCCCATTGCACGTTCATTGTGGACTGTTTTCAGGCGTGACAAATCCTGCCACGACGGCTCGGATTATAACACCTGCGAGAAGGGAGTCAACACCAATGTAACTAATCTTGCCATCATTCTTGGTATTGTGTGAGTGGAAACAAATTATATCACCATCAAGTCGGCAGCCGGCGCTAACTGAACACTTCAAAAAACAGAATCCCCGTGGTTGTTGCCACTATTGTACTCATTTTTCTGCATCGCCGAAATGTTCGCCGCTTAAGACAGGAGGATGCTCAAGATCCCACCAAAGGCCTCGATTTCGGCATGGGCGAAGGCCCTGCCAAAACCAGCAAGCGAAAGAGTTTATTTGGAATAGGGGGAGAAAAGACAAGTCACAAGGGCAACCAATTGTCTATGGATATGAATCTTTCATCACCGTACCTTTTACCTCCCAATATTCAGCAATCCCATGACTCAGTACATTCATTGGCACGAACCTTCCCAAGCGACCAGGACCCATATCGTACTGTTGGCCAGTATTCAAGTAGCGATGCCGGTTCTATCAAATCTTTCAACCCCAATGGAAGCCGGCATGGCTCCATGGCTTACAGTACCTCCGTTGGCGCCGCCGGGAGAATGCCCCCTTCTCGTTCCGACTCGATGCCGAAGACACCTGCATCTCCCGCGGCCAGGTCTGATCCTTTTGCCACGCCTACCGCTCCACAATCCATTCATCAATTCCCCCTACTGGAGGATGCCAAAGAAGTTGTCCGCCCCATGGAACCCGTTGTTCCCGAGATCGGCACTGTTTCCTATCCTGATGAAAAGACCGGTGAGCCGCAGATGCCAGACATTCAGCCGCCGCCTTTAGCAGTGTCAAGAGACTCGCACTACGAGCTGCCGAATTCTTCCTTGGAACAAGACAGACCCATCCTGGCAGAGCTACCAGCGCGTTCGGAACGTGGCCCGATTGGAATGGCCCATTCAGGCGTCGATGGTTTCGACTTCCAATCCCGAGAATCTTATCCGTCCGGACTGGGTCTGGACATGGGCTTGCAAAACGTTTACTCATCAGACGCGCCTCACGCTGTTGATAACATCCCTGGCCAAGCATTATCTCACGATGACTATGGTCACCCTGAGATCCGTACCTCGCAGTACTATGACGGTGATTCTCTTGGGGCCCCTGCACCGGCAGATGCTCCGGAACAATCTAACGATGCCCTGGGTGTTCCACAACAGCAAATGAAACGACTCTCGGTTGGATTCCGTCCTCTGCCACCGGATGAGGTAATGGAATCTGAGGACCCGGAGTACAGAGCCAACCGTATCCGATCCTTTTATAAGGAATACTTTGACGATAGGGAACCTGCACCCCCGTTGCCTGGAAGAGAAGCCGCTGGATATTATGAAGACTATGATGCTGGTTACCTTGGGGATGCTGCCTATTACGATGCAGAGACGAATGCCTTCGTTATGCCATATGCGCAGCCAGTGACTCGTCGCGCCATGACGCCGCCACCTGCCGGGCGTTTCCGAGGCGGTCCTGGAGGACCTGGCCCCCGCGGTGATCCTCGTGGTCCGGTGCGAGGTCCCCATGGCTCTATTGGTGGTATGAGTCTCCAAGGAGGACCAAGGCGGCCTCGTGCTGGCTCTGCCTTTGGCCCAAGGCCCGGCTCGTCTGCTTCTGCCCAGATGCGAGGACGCCCCCCGAAGAAGAACCTGCCTCCCCCATCCGTGCTCCATACTCTGCCAACACCTTCCAAACTCAAGGATGATAGCTTTGCAATCTTTAATGCAACTGATTTCGCGCCTCCTGACTCGTTCAGAGAACATGTCGCGGGCCGTAGTCAAAGCCCTATGGGTGAAAGACGTGCATACTCGCCTAAGGTGCCAGTTGCTTCCCCTCTGGTCACTTCCTTTGACGAGCTATCGGTCCTGCCAAGCCCTCACATGCTTCGCAAGTCATCAACATTCACGGGTCTGGATTTCGCCCCCCCCAAGAAGTTCAAGGATGCAGACACCATGAGTGACGCAGGCAGCATCAGAAGCAATACAAGTGGCATTTCTGCTGCTCAGCTGCATGCTATTCGCGGCGGAGCTGGACGTGTAAGTCGACTACCAGGCGACACCGTTTTTACGTCTGCCGCTTTGGAGGACACACTCAAACCTCAATGGAGCATGCGGCCTTGATCTCCTTTGGAAAATGCCTGGGACATGGCCTGCAGATCCAAGAGTGCAGACAAGTAGCTCGATTGTGTAGACATGCTGGCCGGATGCTTCTGTGCGTAACCCCTGTCCTGTCCTTGGAGCTCACTTTGGCATTGCGCTCTTTTGGCGAACCGTTCTCATCTGGCCCAATTGTGCGGCGAATGATGGCTTGGGCACCAGCGTCAATTGATTTTTATTCATTCTCGCGGAGTAACTAGGGTTATGATGGGACTTGTTGATTTTACAGCTTTTCTCTTTTTCTCTTTATTGTCGTACTGCTTCGGGGTTTGGCTCATCGAGCTTTGCATATAGAAGGGCTAGGACATTAAACAACAACGGCACAAATCAAAAAGCCTGATAACGAAGAAGGGTTTCCGTTCAGTCGACGTTGAGCAGATGCTTTGTACATAGATAGGCCAATTGGACAACAGGTACAATCATACATTTAATTACATGTACTTTTGCACCATAAACTGTTGACGTGACTATGAGGCGAAGTTGATAGCATTCATGATCAACATTCATGTGCCTCTTGTTGATATCTTGTGAGGTGAGAAAATTGTGTGTCAGTCAAACACGACATGAGAGACGATATTAAAATTATGACATGACGTGATTTGACATGGACCATGGTAAACATCTACTTGATTTTGGTAACATGCTACTGGATGGGATACTTATTACTTGTCGTACCAGCTTTTGGCTTTTATACGATGACTCCTTTCTATGTTCCATGAGAGTCTGGCATCAGTTGCGTCAGAGCACAACCTTGGCGGCTTCAATACGTCTGTGCTCCGTAATGCAGGGCTACTTTCGGACGTGAACGTGAGCGGCTGTCAATGAGGCCCCAAATGCTAGGAATTGGAGCGACGGGGAATGGGCTGTTGGGCTGCAGTATAAAACGACAAGATGCGATGCCTCTGGCTCATGTTGGCAGCTCCAACGTGAGTTCTCTTCCTGCAAGCCATGGCCTTTCTGGCAGCATTTGAGTGATTGTTTCCCCAATTTTAGGGAGCCTTGAAGCAGCTACAATCTCTGTGGGTTGTGTCTTGATTGATGTAGCTTGGCTGTTTGCAACGTTTTCTAGTAGCTGTGTTTTGACTATTGCGAGTCTTGACGGGCGCCGTGACGGTGGCTCTTTTACTCCTCTCTGGTTGTGTTACTTTGCGACGGACGAAAACTTGGTTGGACCTGATGATGACGACTCTGCGAGCTTGTTTGGGGCATCTGACCTGGCTGCTGGCTGCTATTGTCGCCAGAATTCTGCTTGGCCTCTCCGTGTTTGAGATGGCAGACTGCGACGGTTGCTGATCGATATTGTGGGATGACGAGTTTCAAGGTTTTGAGCATCGGAAGGCTAGGAGATACGCGTTGGGTATGTTTTCTAATAGACGTACCCTGTTTTCTATATCAATAGCAGGGAGTCAGGTTGCGAGCTTGCTAATAGTTTTTGAAAGCCTTGTGACATGAGGATGTTCGTTTTTAATACCTCTTTAGCTAATGGAAGATGAGTATATGCATAAGACGACCTGTATTAGTACATAGAAGAGCAAGGCTCCTTGGAAGGAGAAAGCTTGTTATTACTTTAATAATTAGATCCTGTTAATCTCTTGGTCTGCCGGCGCGAACGCGTGGGAGTTAATAGTTATCGTGGCAAATGGAAAACTTCCTTATTATTACAAGAATAAGGGTAGTGGAAGTGAGTGTCTAGAACGTAGATTCCTCTACGCTTTTGACTGAGTAGTGCTTTTTGATCTAGTGTACTCGACTGGGGTGCCCAGAACAAGTCGATTTGTACGACTTCATCATTGGTCGATTACATCATCGCCGCGACGTCTGTTGTCTGACCCTCATGCAAGAAGCGAGTCCGAAGCAGGCTGTTGTACTCATTGTGTCGATGCGGTAGCACTGACAAGGCCGACACCGTCTGTGGGATTGGATGCTCCCCCCCTGCGCGGCGAAAGAGAAACTAGTAGTTGTAGGTTAATATTAGATGCAGTGCCAGTTGCCCAAATGGGAGTCACTCACGACGCGGCTAAGAAACGTTACATGGCTTTGTGGGTATTAGACCCGAGTGCTCTTTGGCCAAGGCCCCAGATGATAACGACGTGTTGCTGAGCAATGATGGCAACATAACTACTGAATGTATGGCGTACGTATGGTGTACTTTGATAATTGTTGAACAAGAAAATTCCTGTTCTCGCCTGGACGAATGCAAACTGTAGACCTTCGTATCAAGACTGGCAGAGGGAGCATATTCCTTGTCTATACAATATGGCATTGACTGGGGCCCCATTCGTCCTCACATGTTGGCCCAGTTTTTTGGGTGGCAGAGATACGGGTGGCTTTGGCACAACAGCGCGCATTGATATTTTGCCTTGTCAAAGGTAATTTCCTTTGTCTGTGGACGAGTCAGCCACCGGAATCAGTCATTCATCAGGAGTGCTACAAGCTCTCGACTCACCGCTTGGGGCAACATGATGGTCAAAATGGCCGTTGAGACTTGGGACATGGAATGCTCGTTCAGTGCTCGACGAAAGGGTGAAGATGCTCTCGCAAACCTATTTGGACGTCACGTAGCCGTGGGATCTATCAGGTGGTAAAGGGCCACTGACTTGGGGAAGTAGAATGGCACGAAGGGGGAGGCCGGAGTTGTTGTTATCTACCTCTGCAGGGAAATATGGGCTGGTGTGATTCAGTGCCCAAATCGAAGCTCCTTGGAACGTTGCGATATTACGGAGTACGGAGTACAGCTGAGCGCATTTCATGCTGCCCCACTCCTTGGGTGCTCATTTGTTGCTTGTAGCTTTTCGAATACTCGCGCTGGTACTGAGTACGTAGCTTCTCATCTGCCGCCCAGAGAAGACGTCCTCGTCGTACTACTACTAGCGGCTGTCGGCCTCAGCTTATCCGACGCCTTTTCGGCCGAAGAATACGCGGTATGTGATAGCCCGAGGTGGGCACAACTCCAGATGTCATCTTTGTGCAATTTCCTGGGACAGCGAGGGGTTCCCGGGTCGAGCCGTTCAATGGCATCAAATGTAATTGGCGCTCCCCCATCGAACTGGGACCTCTGGGTGCTTTTTGGGACGCTACGAGATGTCAACTGGTAATAAAACAAATATAAACCTTTTGCTGAAACGTACCCCCCTGTATGTTGATGCGAAGACACCAATGGTAAGCCTCTCCCCATACAGCCCTGGGATATTTTTGAGGCCTTGCGAGATGCCAACTGGCAACACTGATGTAAGCCCTTTGCTGAAATTTGCCTCCAGACATTCGTATGCTGATGCGAAGGCACCAATGATGGCACTCTCCCTATACAGCCCTAGAATACTTTGGAAAACTTGACTACAATCGAATGATGTATACTTTGATCATGGCAGGCTCTCGATCGTGATAGCTGGCTTCATCCTCACAGAATACTCTTGCGGAGCCCTTGCGGCATTAACACGGTAGTAGGGCGCACGATTCATTCGCCTCAGTTAGGCCTAGTGTATCATACTTCCTCGAGGATATATGCTGGCCTCATACATCACATCATGTCTCGGTAAAGCATCACGACATGTCTTGTGCAAGAGGCAAGATTGACCGGAAGAGTCGGTCCTGCTTTTCGAGTTGACGCGCGGTGAGAAGACGGTCGTGAGAATGAGACTCGGTACAAGCTCTCTTGGGACTGTGAGCGAGCGACGATATTGACGACCGGAGGAACTAGTCCGGGTATAATTGTCCAATTTATCAGTTTGAACTCCAGTCTTGCATAAATATATAAGCAGACCACTCCCAGCCTTCAAGTCTCTCGGATCGTACACTTATTCTCAAGCAGATATCCTATCCCACCACGAGTTTATTCATCAACTCTTCAGAACAACTTCGCCTCTACTCCTCCAATCTTGACGCATCATGGCAACCAAGCTTCTCACCGTGCTTGCTATAACCTCTGGGGTCATTTCTGCTCCTGCCGCCTTGGGGAAATTTGAAAATCTCGTTGTTTTTGGCGACAGCTACTCGGACGAAGCCCGCTATGCCTACATCAAGCAGAATGGAAAGCTGCCCCCAGCCGGCCAGATGCTCCCCGAAGCCGATAGTCCCTTCAGCGACGGCCGTATATGGGCGCGATTGGTCGCCAAAGACACCGGAGCCACGCTCTACGACTATGCCGTCGGGGGCGCCATGTGTACACACACCAACTTCGACCAACGTACATTCAACGGAATCGCCAACATCCCATACCCTGCTGTGTTGGACTACGAATTACCTCTATTTGACACGGACAAGAAACTCGGCCTGTACAAAAACCTGAACCCGGACAACACCGTTTACACGCTTTGGATCGGCACAAACGACCTCGGCAAAGATGGCATCGTCGGAGCCAAGGCTGGCATGCACCATAATGTGGACGCATCCAGTACAGTTGACAGCTATCTGACCTGTGTCTGGGCCGCCCTCGACAAAATGTACAGTCAAGGCGCTAGAAACATTGTCCTGTTCAAGCTGGCGCCCCTCGAGAAGGCGCCTTTGTACGCCGTCGACTACCCGGATCTAAAGGATAGTCTGAGCGCCGACGTCCAGAATGTTAATGCAAAATACGACCAAGTTGTCGCGGAGACCAAGTCACAGCGGTGGGCAGAAGCAACTATTACCATCTTCGATTCCTACAAGTTCTTTTCGGATGTCATCGCATCGCCTAGCATTTTTCAGTTTACCGAGGTGTCCAAGCCGTACAAGACCTGCGTCAGTGAGAATAACTGCCAAACGGCGAGCGGACCCCAGTCGAGCTACTTGTGGTAAGTTGTATCAAGGCCTCGGCACCTTTTGTAGGAAACTGGAATATCAATCTGAAACAAAATGCAGGAATGACGCCCTCCATCTTTCACCCGCCGCGGAACAGCTCATCTCCCAGGAGTTCCAGCGCGCTGTAAAGGGTGCCTCGAGCTATGCCAAGAATTATTAATGCCAGCTCAGCCTAGGCGGTTGTGCTGAATAAAACGGGGGAACGAGCAAATTAGCATGTGTGGCAACTTGATTTGCTATAAACCTCGTTCTGGACAAACACGATGCAATCGTTGTGCCGTGTCAGGGCCTTCGTATTTTAATATGTCTGCCACTAAAGGTACTTGGATAGCAGGCAATAAGCTTAGATTTTATCTATTATTACATTCTTTACTACCTGTCAGCGACCAAGTGGACGAGTCACTTAGTCACCAATGGGTAGATGGTTTTTTTAGTTGATTTATTATACTCGTGCTCTATTTATTTATTTCCAAGGTCCTTGTGTAAGCCACTTCGTAGTACATCTTCCTTGGATAGTCTAAACTAGCCCAAGAACAATATGCTTAGATAATAGTCTATATTACTTGCCGTCACTACTGGGATGATATGCCTAGCAAATTACAGTAAGCCACGTGCCGCCAAGTCACGTGCCGTATTGTCTACGACAGCCGGTGCAGACGGTAGAAATCTCGGAATAGCGTCAAGTAGATGGATTGACCGTGCACCGTTGAAATTAAGCGATTTTTAGGGTTCGTGGGGATAACTTGTACTTGACGTTATCCATAGAAAAATGGGCCCGGTATCGGGTGTCCAAGCCACCTGCGCCACTAAAGGGGGTGCTACAGCGCCAGAGGGCAGACGGATAAGCCCCAGGCGTCCCCTTTTCCATCTCAGACGACGAGTAGCAGCATCTTATGCCTTGAGAGGGAGCGTCAGAAATAACGCTGATGGATGACGAAAACGTCGGTGGCAACAACCTCACGAGCTGGGCCAAAGAGTTGGATCAGCCGCCATAGGGATTACGGAGTACCTCGCCCTATTTTTAACGTGGCGGCACCTCACGCTCTGAAAATAGCAGGAAAGAATGTCCAGTCATTTTACATGCGTCAACTCGCGCATACATCAGGTAAACATTAGGTCGCCTACTAAGTAGCTTTCAATTCTGGGCGGGCCATGGCAGCGGCGTCTGTGTACGCATTCGTCCGAAGGCATCCTCGTTCGGTCCGAAGTACCCCGTAATCATGCCTCTCGATCCCATTTTCCGCCGTGTGTAGCTTAGCAGTGACCAGGAAAGGGCAAAGCCTAAAAGTCGAATCGAGGATGCGCCTCCGCCGCAACTTATTTGGCGCATCGACGCCCCTCGGCCCATCAAGGCAGTGCTGCACAAGCGCAGGCAATGCTGTACCAGTCCGTTTGTTGCCTGCATCCTCGTCCAATGACTTGACAGCATCAGCCGGTCGGTGGCGGCAATCTTCAGTGGACGTGAGAGCACTGCGTTCGGCGTACGCCGTAGAGGAAGACCAAAAGAAGAAGAAAAGGGACGGGGGCTCAGCGCCCCGGAGTCTCGACAACGGAGGGCGCTTGGAGGCCAAGAGGATACAGCACCATGGCAGGGACCGGGAAGGTGCCCGTGTCGCGCCTTCCTCCAACCATGCGGGACATGGAGTACCTGATGGATGCAGTCAGATTTTCTCGTATCCAACCAAACCCCACGACTGGGTCCGGTGTGTTTTTCTGATTCTTCTCATGTTATTACTATTGCAACTCCGTACCGTCTCCATCTTCACCCACCCGGCGACAACTTGGCGGTACGAGCTTCATTCCATCGCCCGGCCAGGCCATCATCTTCACCAAAAGGGCGATTGGCGTAGGACGCAGTCAATGCTCGGCTGGGCCTGGGGGACATTTCCAATCACCAAGAGCGTCGGCGGGAGACAGTTGCGGCCATCGTACCACAGCCCACCACAATTAATTGGAACCCACGCCTCCTAATTGCACACACCCCGGTTCGCTCTCACGCGCTTGTGCGTCTCAGGCCTGCCGCTGCCGCTCGCTCACAGGCACTCTCTCGGTCTCAGTTTGATGCGGCCTGAGGACGGGCCCGTCACCCAATCTCCATCCAGCCCGGCCCCTGTCGAAGCCGCTGCTGCTACTGCCAGTCTGGTCGCTCCATCTGTTGCATTCGTGTCTCAAGCGGCCTCTTGTTCTCCCCCGTCGGCTATCCCACGCCTCCCATTGTTCAGTCACGACCATACATTTTTCCCGCTCCACTCTTGTTCTGCTGCCTTTTCATCTCTCCCTCTCCTCTCCAGACACACCTTTCGACAGGAGACCACGTCGGCGATCGTCGTTTGAATCACGAAACAGGCACGCCGGCTTGTTGCGAGCCTTCGACCCCTTCTTTGGCCGTCGTCGACTCGGTTCGTCTTCAATTGCCCTCGACCTTGGTGTGTTGTCGCCGCTGCCTCTCCTCGGAGTTGGAGCCGTAGTTTGACAGGTATGTTTGCAGCTTCAACGGCTCCTGAGTAGTGCCACGCCAAGTTTCGCCGTTGTACGGCTTCGTTCATGTCCGTGCCAGCGTTACTATAGCCCATACTGTTGTGTTCTCAAATGGAGATTTCGTCATCTTTGCCGTCTTCATCCCCGCAAACTAAATTCTTGTTTTCCCTTCCTTCATGGGCTTAATCAGAACGTCGGGCATGGCTCGAACGCTGCAGTGGTGGCAATCAATGCCTCATCATGCTAACGGTCTCCATATCAGACAGATTCACGAATTGAATCTCCGCGCTTCCAACATGTCTGACTCTTCTCGTGGCTCGGGTGCCCAGACCGGTGGCCCAGAGACTTCACTGGGACAATCGCCAAGTCCTCCGTCCTCTGTGCCCTCTCCGTCCCCAAATACAACGCCTAGTTCACCTTCACCGCCATCAGCATCATCGCCCTCGCCGTCGCCCTCGCCGTCGTCCGAGTCGCCGCAGCCGCAGCCGCAGCCGCCTGCGACGACATCGTCAAGTTCCTCCTCGCCGCCTCCAGCACCGGTACCTACCACTCCCTCATCATCGCCTTCTAGTACGCCTCAGCCAGAGACACCATCACCGTCTCCTACGCCTACTTCTACGTCTTCGACGTCAAGCACCCCCCCGCCGGCACCAACACCTTCTACTCCCGAGCCTACGATATCCAGTTCAACGGTCGTAACTGTTACGCCTGCTTCATCGACAACTACTAAAATCGTCGTAAATACGACAACGCCAACCGCGGGACCGTCGTCTACTTCGGCAAGTGTATCGGGTAGTTCAACTGCTACGCCTATCAACCCTGCCGGTGATGGAAACAGTGGTGGTCTTAGCCAACCAGCCAAGGTTGCGATTGGAGTAGTTGTACCTATTGCTGCAATTGCTTTGTTGGCGCTGGTGGGCTTGTTCTGGTGGCGAAAGAGGCGTGCTCGTCAGGAGTCTGAAGAGGAACGCCGCAAGGAGGTCGAAGACTACTCCTACAATCCCAATGCCGACCCTACAATTCCAGCTGTCGGTCTGGGTACCGATAATTACGAGATGCGGGATGAAGGCGGATCGGGATACCGTGGCTGGGGCTCAACTACTGCAGCAGGTTCTATGGGCCGCAAAACTTCAACCACAATGTCTGGTGGCATGACTGCCGGCGCCTTCTCAGATGGCGGCGGACATACCCGTGGAAACCCTTCCGAAACCAAAACCGACCCTACCGTGGATGGCTCCTCGTCTCCAGACGGCGAAATTATGGGCGCCATGGGTCCTTCAGCCGCAAACAATCGAGGTGGCGACGTTCACCGTGGCCCGTCAAACGCTTCATCTTCCTACAGCGCTACAGGTCGATCTGAGGGCTCCGACGTCGGAATCTACGCTAATGGCGGTGGTTATTATGACCAGTATGGTCAGAACCCCTATGGGGACCAGAGGGCCCAGGAGCTTGGCGGCCAAGCTGTTATTAGGGATAACCCAGCGCGACGCAACACTCGTATCGAGAATCCGTCACATTACCCTCAGCAGAGTGCTGGTATTGCCCAAAACTTCTGAGGCGCTTCGCATCGTTTCAGACCTTTGTCAACACTTGGTCGCTGGATTTACCATATCCATCCACCTGTCCATAGAGATACCCAAACTTAGCATTCTCTTCAACACTTTTCTTACACTTTGAGACGAGACTTATATACGGGAAACTTGCAGTCGAACTGAATGGGGGCTTCTAGGCTTTTGAATATTTGGTGCTGGCATTTTATTGGCATTTACCATTCTTCAGCCAGTTCATTCTCGATTGAAGCAACGTTAATGATGGCATAACATTCTACAGTACAATAAGCACGTAGCGGCATTTTATAGCAAGCCGCAAACAAAATTGGGGGTATTGAAGCGGGATATTCGACTACATGCAGCTTCGCACGTTTGAAGTTTTTCTTTTACACACCTGCCTCAGCACGCAATGAGGACATGTACATGTACATAATACTCTGTCGAAACAGCGACTTTTACATTTTTTTATCTTGAGAAGACTTTTTTTTCTGTGGGAAAAACACATATCTATTACCATCTTCATCCAGCGAAGTGGCGAGCGAGGGAAGAGAGGACGGGGGACATAATGTGGAGGAGCATCATTCGTTTGGCCTGTAATGGGATTGATTCGTCGTGTATAGAGGAAGAGTTTGGCTTTATATTTCTGAGCGGGATGGGCTGCCGCAGGACAGTGATGCTGTCGGTGTATATATGGATTGGTAGTTGCATCAATTGATACAGTAGACTTGGTTGAAGATGTTGTGTCAAGCGCCACAGTTGCAAAAATAAAACAGAGAAAGCGTTTTCTTCAAAGAGTCTAGTGTAGATTGTGGTGACGGCATATCCGGCGCTCTCAACACAAGTTCCATCTTGGTCTCTCCGCGTGGAAGCTAATATTACCCAAGCTCTATTCCCTATATTGTCCGCTCCCGCCCATCCCTTGGCTCAAGTCCATTCGTTCCCACCAAAACTTACACTGGGCCATTTCCTCGTCGGTCAAGATCCTCTTGCGCACGGCTACGCCCTCACTCTTCCCGCCGGCAGCCTCGTCGTTCCCCTTTCCAAACACCAATAACTCCCCGCCGCCGCGCCCGTCGCCAAATGGGCTCTGAAACCTCGGCCACGACCAAATCTCCCCCGTCGGCGAGGCCATAAACTGCCCCCAGCGGGACGCCATCTCCTCCGCCACGGCCACCAGTCCCCGCTGACCCCCGAGCGTCTCCATGTCGTGCGCGACAACCGGCGCCTGATCGCCATGCGACGCGGCACCGAACGGCTCCGACGCAGCCGCGTACTCGTACAGGTAGACCCTCGCGCCGTGTGCAGAACGGGGCATATATACGCGTAGTGGGCGTACGCCTCGTGCAGACAGCGGAACTGCGCGCCGTGCCCGCAGCCGGGCGCGTTCTCGTACCGCTTCGAGGGGCCCGTCGCGGGATCCGGGCACAGCCGTTCCAGGGCGTCGAGATGGCCGCCCGTGAGGGAGGGCACGAGCGCAGAGAACCACGCGCGGAACTGGGCGTTTGTAGCGAGGTCCAGGGGCACGAACTGCGTCCCCTCGTGGGAGCAGAACCCCGTGGTGACGGAGAGCGTCCTGGCCGTGTCTGACCTGCACAGCGCGTCCACCTGCCGGAGGGGGATGTCGGGGATCACGCGGCGTGCTCCTCGAAGACGGCCATGGCGGCGTCGACCACGAACACCCGCCGGGAGGTCGCGCAGCGGACGGGCCTCCTCCCCCTCCTCCTCGCCGCCGCGCATGCCGGGGGCCAAGGACCGACCGGGCAGTCGGCGCCCCGGACTCGAGGATGGTCTCGGTGAAGGCCAGAGGGGCCGGGTGCACGAGGTGATCAATGGCCAATCTAACCAAAGTCGAGCTTCAGCATGCCCCCCATTTCACCCAGAACCACCATGACAGCACCGAGCAGAGAGGGAACTAACAGAATGCGCCCCGGCCCATCTCACCACCGAGTCCACGGCGGCCCTCTGGTCCCTCAGCCCGAGATTCAACTCGACGCCCCGCGTGCCCCTCCCCGCCGTCGCCGGTCTTGAAGCCCAGCGCGCCAAGGCGGTATCCGGCCGCCACCACGAGAAGATGTCGAGGGGTTTGGGATATGTCTCGGATGCGGGCTGGCGCTTGCCAATTATCACGCCTTCGTTGACCGGGACCCCAACGCTGGCTTCACTGCACCCAGCTTGATCCGCCATCTTCACCGCCCTAAACTGACTGTAAGCCGGTACAGGCCCTGCGGCTCCACAAGGGATCGTAGGGATCCGAATTTCGGATGTGTGCTACGTCTGTCTTGACGGCAAGTCGATGGCATGTCGTTGAAGTAAAGCGTCATGTCATGGTTCGGTGCGGGGCTAGAATCTCCATCTTTGATCGACGTGCAGTCCAACTCGGCGTGGCAAGCAAGGGGTTGAGGGCCATTCATCACACGAGCGTACATAGGATACACAATTGCTTTACTATATGCATTCTGCGCAGCCGTGCGAACCTGCCTTCGGCTTGTGATGTTTTGGCCGATAATCCAAATCTTATAAATACATGCCAAAATAACAATAATAACGCCAGTGCCCTGGAAACCTTTGTAGTACTGCAAACGCCCCCGTCAACAAACAGATAAACAAGACGGCAGAAACAAAGAGCCACAACGGCTCAAAGAAGCACGGGGCCGATACTGTACAATAAAGTGTCAAAACTGAAAGCCAGACAATTTCACGCCTTCACCTCCTTTCCGGCTTCCTGTGTCGCCTTCGCCCGCTTGGCTGCCAGCTCCCTCAGACGTTTCTTCTCGGCCCACTCCCGACTCGCAATTCTAGAACGCTCAGCAGCTTGTTCCCGTGCCGTCTTGGCCGCAAGCTCTCTCTCTCGCTTGCTTTTTTCCCTATCCTGCGTGTAGCAGTTGTCTCGTGTGAAAATGTCCTTGCCTCGTTGTCTCTGCACGTGTAGTTCCTCCAACGATACCGAAATCCGCTTGCCACCTGCACTACCCGTCGACGTCGAAGCTGCTCGACTCTCTTCAGTGGCAGAAGCTATGGTCGAATTTCGTCCCCGCGTCTGGGAGGAATTGCCAACCTGAGAGGGTACTGGGACGGAGCGGACAACACCAACAGACATGCGCTTTCGTTGAGCACCCTGGCTGTCATTCTCGCCATTTGCTTCCGGGGATGCTCGGCTCTGGCGAGCGCGGCTTGTCAGTGTTTCCCGGGGTAGCGTAGACGGCCCAATACTGTGTCGTACAGGTCGAGCCTTAAACTCCCGTCGTTTTCGCTGCTCTTCTTCCTCCGCTTTCAGTTTGGCCTCCCGTTCCTCTCGCTTGCGGCGAGAGATGGCTTCGCCTGGCAACTCAAACGTCGGTTTGGGCAAAGGCTTATTCGTGACTCTTGGTTTTGGGATAGCAGCCTGGGTTCTCTGGGCCTCTGCCTGCTGCTGAGCTTGACGAGCCTCACGTTGCTCCTTCAGGCGACGTGCTACAGCCTCGCCTGGCAACTCAAATTTGGGCACAGTAGGTGGTTTGGCAGACTTGATAGGATGCTTTGGTGCACTGAGGCGATTAATGCTGGATTGGCTACGAGAAACGCTGGATTCTGACTTTTGGCTCTCTGATGATTCTTGCTGCGCGCGTCTCTTTCCACGGAGCGTCAAGGATGCGGATCTTCTCAAGGAGGGCCGCGCTTTCTGAGAGGGCCTTGCACGGACTGTCGCGGAGCACCCAGCAACAGAAGCTTCCTTGGATTTCGCAGGGGCCGATGGTGTCACACCAGAAGGAGTCACGGGATTAGGCTCGGAAGCCTGCGTGTTGGCGGTTGTCGACCCGCGAGGGAGAGTTAGATCGTGAATTGCCTCGAGCTCCTCTTCAAGCCTGTCCAACTCTTCCAGGGAATCCTCAATTCGAGGGATTGAAAAGGATCCGGTTCGTGACGAACCAGCCACCACGCTCGGACTATTTTCGCTCATGATAGTGAGAGACGGCGAAATCGCCTGCTCGACCATAGTCACTACTTCGGGAGCCTTTAGCGGAGTGCCAGGATAAGGAGGTGGTGGCGCCTGCGACATTGCCAAAGAGACGAGACTGTCTGCGCTCCTCGTGCCATCCATGGTCTGAGGAGTAGGGTATGAATCTTTGTTAAGCGGTGTTGCTAAAAGGGTATATATGTCAGTTGCGATTCCAGACCCGGTTTGAGAGGTGCGACGTCGCCTGACAGGCAGCAAATTGCAGCCATAGAGTTGACTCCTAGACTCGCTTCCCGCATTGTACTCGTCTTGAGGACCATTGGCTGTTTGGGAACTTGCTTCTGCAGGATACGTCATGATCCATTCGAACTGACCTGCGAGATGTTTCTCGACCTGTCCCTCGAGAGCAGATTTTGGGTCCAGAATAGCAGGGAGGTGGTCTTCATTCAGTTTTGTATGATAACCTGGCAGCACAGGTCAGACCACGAATGTTGATCAAAGATGTCGTCGACTCAGTAGTGAGCTCAAAGCGGACTGTAACTCACCATTCACCTTGTCGTCTTTTGTGGCTGGTGAAATAGCAACAAGATTCTCTTCAGGATCTATGAGGCTGCTAGTTTCTTCTGGAACGGCACCGAGAGGCTCAAACGTCTCTGAATCAATTTGCGGACGTCGGGCACGGCTTGCTCGCCTGTTGCTCTGAGCCTTGGCCGCCTTGTTCTCTGGCGAAGTCGGGTCCCTTCGCGGACTCTTTGCCAGAACTGCAGGTGTTACTCGATTCTGGCTTTGGCCATGCGACAGCTCTTTAAGCACGTCGCTGTTCCCAGTGGCGTCGACATGGGCGTGTTTGTCCGGGGTCAAAGACCTGTCGTCAAAAATGTCGAAGCTTTGGGCCTCATGACGATGAGATGAATTGAGAGCCACGGCTCGTGACATGTTCTTGTAGCCAGGTCACCAATGCCTTGAAATGACCCTGGAAAACTCCGTAATGCGTCAAGGTTCCACGCAGTCAGTCAGGGGCAGATTGTGACGAGACACCCCGTACTCCGTGTAGGCCAGAGGGTATTATTGGTGGCGATGCGTATATGTAATTTCGCGGACAACCCGGACGAGGCAGGGATGGTCGGGGCCCAACCGGGTCTCTACGCAATCGGTATCAATTGATGAGGATGCGGTTTTTAATGTTGGCTTATGTCTGCTAGGCTACAAGGGCATAGCAATGGTGAGTTTGAAAGACAAATGCAAGCTATCGGAAGCAGTAAACGGTTTGGAGGAGAGTTGGATGTTTGATCTGGAATGTTTTGTTTACACAAGACACATGCAGTGGAGCATCTGCAGACGTGTGTTGCTTAGCTACCCCAGTCCTTCTTTCTTTCCCCTCTGTCATCTGCCGAGCACACAAACTTAATCTGTGCCTTGGCACGCAGCACTCCGGTCGGCAGCGTTGCAAGTGCTTTCCCCTCAAGCCCCTCTTCAATTGCTGACGACAGGCAGGCGAGGAAGCGCAATAAATCTAGGTCCCCTCAGTGAGGCAGGTTATGCAGGTACATATCCTCGTTTTCCTCGTTGCTCGACACCCATGAACGCCACACCAGCACCGACGCCACCAGACGCGTTTCATCGCGTGGTGTTTGGCGATGGCCCCGCTTCAACGGTTGCTTCAACGTTGTCGCTGCCCGATGCTTGTACTCCGTACATAAACAAGTAAGCGGCCTGCCTGATCGGCATTGTGCAGAGTGTGGCAGCCACTTGGCCGGCACGAAGGCAAGCAACTGCGATGTCCCTGCCTTTTCAAACTCCCAACGTAGGAAGCTGCCAGTCTTTGATGACCGCAGGGTATGAGACGGCCTCGAGAGGGATCGCGGGCACAACCTATCCGCCTAGAGGAATTCATTCGTGTGCATGGCCAACTCATGTGTTCGCAGTTGAATCGCCCTCCACAGCAGCAGCTTCAATGGCATCGGCCTGAGCTTGTAATGTTGGTGCATGCTCAGTTGGTATTCGCACGAGAGTTTGGGGAAGTGATTCGTTGGATGCAGATGCATCCTCCATGGTAGTGTCGTTCGATGGTTTTGCGAGTTTTGCTGCGAAAAAAAAAAAGACATGATTAGCAAAAGTAGATGATCGATGATTATTTTTGAACGTACTAGACGCCATATTAATCGCTCGTAGCACATTATGCCAATTACCCATAACAGCTGCTACCGCTGCACAAAAGTTAGCAAAAATCGTTCTGTTCATCAACGGTCGATGCCATACCCTCGGTCCCATCAGACAGAGTCGTCAATTTCTGCTCCAGTGCCTCCATTTGATTGGACACTGCCGCACTGAGGTCTCGAAGCTCTCTCAAGCTCTGTAATTCGGCCTTCTTTTCTTCGATTCGCGCAAGCAGGGCTGGCGACGGTGAAGCAGACGATGTGGAGCTACTGGGAGCTCGCATGTGCGACGAAAGCGACCTTGTAGGATATGACATAATGCGAGTGCCTGCGTGCTGGCTGCGAACTATTTGATCAAGCACAAATGCTATCGTGACATTCAGATCTTGGAGTTCCCCCCACGCGTCTTCAGTCTTCTTTCTTCAGTCTGCATTCCAAACGGGCTGGTGGGGCTTCACCCACTCACGTGCGATGCCGCCAGTAACCCAGCAACCAGCTGTGGGCCTCGCATTGATTTGTTGCCAGACCGGCCCAAAATGTAAATATGAATGACAGACAACACCAGAAATTCTGGGAGCTGGCCGCCGCGGTAGACCGACTAACACAACAACTCGCTCTACAGTACCTCCAACTTGCATTGCTCCCTGGTACCGACAACCTCAGATCCGTTCGAAGATATAAGCCATACTCTTTTCACACGTACAGGGCACACTATGAGCTATGGCGAGGCTCAACGAAGTACCAATGTCTTCGGACAGCCTCGAAACGCGTGCGTACAATGCCATTTGCCACTCCATACTCTGTCTCATTATTGGCTTGGATGTTAACGAAATGCTGCAACAGTTCGCAAGAAGATGTTACGACAGAATAGGGATCTCGCAAAATCAAACAATGTACGCGCTTTGCGGATCAGAGAGTTGGAAAGTGAATGCGCCCTCATGCTTTCTGAGAACTTGGAGCTTCGAAGTCGCATCCTGGAACTCGAGAAACAGGTCGAAGACAACGAGGCGAGACGGATCGCAGATCATGCGCTGGCAATCAAGGCCAAGCTGGAATCGCAACTAACGGAATGGGGGACGCTCTTGTCCGGGTTGGGCTTGGAACCCCCTATGAAAAGACATTCTCCTCGAATTCAGAAATCTATCAAACAACGCATGAGCTACATTGCAGGTAGACCTAGCCCTTCTCAACGGAGATTGCGCGATGTTGCTAGGGATATCGAAGAGCTGGGCCACATATCTGAAAACAGGTCATCTTCACGGCAATCTCTGAAGTAGGTTATGGTTCCGAACCAGCGCTTGGGTATGAATGCTAATAAGGTGCATCACAGCCCTGAACAAATCCGGGCTCTGAGATCTGAAGCCGACTCTGCCGAACTAGAGGCTCCCGCCAAACAACCACTGATTGAACAGGAGCCAACAAAAGTCGACTCTCCTCCACGAGCTGCATTAGCAACAAAGGACGTGTCCAGTCCGAGGAGACTAATAGAGCCCCCGATTTCACTTCCATCTCCCCGATCCAGTAAAATAGCCGATGCGCCGTTACCATCGCCGGAAAAGAAGAGAACGGAACCTAGTAACCGACGACAAAATCCTATACTACAACCTAGCACACCGGCACCAGAGCATATCGCCGCTCCAGTCAAGACCGGATCAAAAAGGAAATTCGCACAGGATGAGACAGAAAACACCGCACCCCGACAATTGACGAATGAGAATATAGCACCGCGGGGTATGGCAGACAAGGTTTCTATTCGAGAAAAGGCTGGAGGCAAGACATTGAAGGAACTTGCGCATATGAGGAAAGAAGCTCGAGAGAAGCATGTGACTACTGGCAATAGTCGCAAACCCCTGGCTTCAAAGAGTACCAATGACGATGTTAGCTCACCCCGAAAGAATCCCAAACCAATTGCGATAGACGAGGTTGGCACGGGAAAAGCAGAGCTGGCAAAGTCGAAGCCGACCAAGGAACGAACGAAATCCAAGGCCAAGATGAATGCTGCCGCCAAACTAGAAATTCCCCCGCCGGTCACGAAGACTGTGATAGCTGACCTGGCCACAACGGTCTCAGAACCAGCCGTGACGTCGCCAAAGTCACCGGAACCAGCGCTTGGAGGGGATGACCCAAGAGGTGATACTCCGCCACCTGTTGATATATTTTTGAATGGCGAGACTTCGCGGGCGAGCAGAAGGAATAGGACAACTATCAGCTACGCAGAACCAAACCTCAGAGATAAGATGAGGCGGCCAACCAAGGAGCTCTTTGATGCAGTGGCGGGAGAGGGCAAATATGCTCGAAGGGCCAGTCAATGTGATCTACCAACGTCTGAGGGTCCCAAGATTAAGCGTGAGTCTGACGTTGGGGATTCTTTGAGGCGCATTCCTCCGACGAGCGACGAGTTTGAGGCGCCAGAGCCGGGAAGCATTCCAGCTAGTCCTCTCGCAAAAAAGAGCTCGGCCCAAGACGCATCTGCAGCGGTCATTACAGAACGTCGTCGGCCGGCCTCAAGGGCGGGCGAGTTTGCCGCAGATCTCAACCTTGACGCCGATGAAAACGAGAGCGGCGACGTTGATGTCTATGAGTTCACCAGCTCATCACCACAGATCGATAACAATGCACCTACGGAGACGACGAGGGCCACACGACGTCGGGGGGCAAATACGCGGCGGCGATCAGCAGCCGTTGATAGTGAGGAGGACAGCTCTGTCAAGGAGCGAAGTGTGTCTCGGCGGCGAAGCATGATGGTATAATGATGACTTCCATATTAGGGCGTTTGACCCTTTTTTTTATTTTAAAAATCAAAGCGACGTTTACGACTCATGAGCACTGGCATTCCAGCTTTGTTTACGGGGAGTTGATTCATGGCGTGGAATTGGATGCATCATTTTGGCGAAAGGCTGATTGTATGAATTTTGTTTGAATGCTCGAGATACCAAGCGATGAAAGTTGTGGATTCTTTCTTGTATTTACATATTGTGGCTTTCATTTCCTTGGCCTTTTGCGGCCCCTTCAGTTGGAATAGAGCATCTCCGTTTGGAGAATTCTTGGATACCTAGATTCATTCATTATGTCTGCTATGATTGTGCGGGTATCTGCCAAGCCTTTTGTCCGCTCCAAGTATAGTATGCTGGAATATGGGTGAAGTCATGGAATTTAGAGGGAAGGGCGATTATTCCGGAGTGAGTCGGTTCATCATGATGAATTGGCGGCCGGTTCGACTGGTTTTGTATATGTAACTTTCTCCACGGCAACATTTTCGTTGCCCTTGTCATCTTTGCGGAGTTGGTAGACGTACAGCGTCAGCGAAATACCTTGGACCTGTATTATTTGTCAATGTAAGCATTCCCAGGCGTGCAGACACACGGCGTCACAGCCTCAACGTACATCCATTAGGCAAAAGCTGGGCGTGGGATCCTCCCCTACACCGCCCCACGAATTCAAGAATGCCCCCGTTGCGCTTCCCGGGTTGACGAAAAATTTGTCCATGTACTCGAATGCGTCGAACTTGTGGGTGCCCCCCCAGCACAGCACGTCGACATCTAGCCGGTTTGCTTCTGCAAGAAGCAGGTCGGGCTCGCTGGAGACGAGGGTGAACCCTTCGAGGAAGCCGATCCTGATGCTTCCGTGGGTGACGACCTGTGTGAGCGGGAGGGAGGTGGCTTCCACATCGTTGCGGCCCTTGACGATTTTGAGGTCCGGCGTTATGGAGCGGAGGTATTCGTACGTGTGCTTGTCGGTAAGGTTGCCGAGGCAGAGGGTCTGGCCGATTTTGCCGGGAGCGAGGAGTTTTTTAAACTGTACGGGTTAGCAAAGTGGCTTTGCCTAATGCTTTGGGCCGAGCTTCAGAGCGAAACGAGCGCGAGGATGGGAATGGCGACGTGGAGGAGGAGCAGGGTGTACCTTGGCTGGGATGTCGAGGGCGCGGTCTGGGATGTGTAGGTCCCCGATGACGAGGATGAGGAAGGCCATGGCGTTGCGGACGGAGGAGCGGGTGCGATGTCTTGGTGGACGTTTGAAGTCGGAAGCACAGATGTCGAGCTGGAGGGGTATCGAGAGCTCCAAGGGTTGAACTGAGCAGCTTTGGGGTGTCAATCGTCATCAGCCTCGCCGGACCCACTATACGTCCATGCCGCGACAATCCAATGGCTCAACTTGGTCATGAGTAGACATGACACTAGAGTCATGCCAATGTATTTAAAATGCAATGTGAAGAGTCCAGGGCCGCCTATGGCGAATTCCAGCTAACTAATTCTTCACGGATAGTCAACGTGAGCAACATCGATTGCACCCCGCGAGTCTGACTACATATCCAAGACATTGAGAGCTTTGCGTTTTCTCCTCCACGGGACTTGATTCTTTTTGTTTCTCGGACAACAAATCTGCAGATCTTAAGGGCAAGTAGTAGGACTACCAAGCGGATGCTCAGGTACGGGGGGAGACGTGGGCACAAGCTTCGCTCCGTGTAGTTGATGTGGCCTCCAAGGAAACCCAGACGCTTATTGGGGCTGATGTACAAGTCAGAAGTGCTTGCTGGAGCTTAGATGAAGAGACTCTTGCAAATTTTAGCACTAAGGACCGTTACAATGAGGAGCCTCTCCTGAGCGGAACTACCGTTTTTTGTCGAATACCTCAGCGTGCTGTGAAGTCAGGGAATGGTGTACACTGTACGGTGCACAATGTATTGGATAATCTCGCTTGGTCCACGGATGGAAAGCTCTACTTCATCACCGGCATCACAGACACATATATACTGTCCAAAATCGTGGTGTCGGTACAATCAGTTATCAACCATGGTCACAGCTTTAAACCCGCAAATCTGAATCATGACTTCCGGGTGAGTTTGCAATGTGTCCGAGACAGGAGCACGAGATGAAGGCGCAGAAGTTTTAGATCAATATGTTGATAAGAATTAGGAGACGTTGCGATCTGTACTTGCAACGTGCGAATATCTACGGGATACAGCCTTGTATACAGGCTCTATTGGCCATTCTCCGGGACGGAATTGTTGATGGCGCGTTTTGTCAATATAGACGCTCACATCACCAAAAGGGAAGGTGAGACGGACAGGGCAGTATTCAGGCACACACTAGCAAACAACTTGGGACATCTCTAAAGCAACAAACAATAGTTTTAATACTACGCTATAAAAAGATAGATTGAAGGTCTTAATGCAGCTCTTTATACTGATCAATCATGTAGATGACAAAGTCATTCCTTGGCGCTGTTGGTGGGATGTGGATGTGATGGCTAGAGATGTAGGGTATGAAGCATCAATGATACCAGACCACTGGCACCTTGACTTTTTGTACCGTCGGCCCCACCCTGCAGCTCTGTCATCCAGTTGCCAGCCAGCCCGCCAGTTATCGATAAGGATTTTTTTTTCGTGATACCGAGTCTGCACAAGCAGAGAAAGACCAGGGACACGAGGGACACGGCCTCATTTTTTGCAGTCCACCACCACCATCTACATCTTTTCTGCCTGTGTGTCTGCGACAAGATGTCGACACCGACTTTGGCTGAAAAGTTGGATAAGATCAAGTCCCCTGGTCTGGAAGGTCAGAAGAGGGTAAGGTTCCATTGAAACAAAAAAAATCGTAGCTCCATAATCCCAGAACAATTGGCTGACATTGCAATCTATGCCTCCAGAATGTCGTCGTCCTCCAAGCAGTTGAGTCAACCATTAAAGAACAAAATGCCGCCCCGACCCCGACCGGCTATTTCGCAGCCCTCCTAGCCTTACTACAACAGGCAATAAGCAATGGAAGTGTAAACACCGAACTTGCCACGCCCGTCGTCTACCTCTTGGACACTGTGACGCCGTACACCCCGCAGCCTCTACTCCGATCCAGGTTCACTCAGATCCTTACGCTACTCGCACCCGTGCTGTTGATGCAAGATGCCGAAGCTATCCTGATCAGGACATCTACCGGCTGCTTGGAATCCCTGCTCCTCGCCCAGGATGCGCCGTCGTGGGAGCTTTCTGTGTCCCAGATTGGACCGCGCCGCGCAGTTGCCGGCTTGCTCAACCTTTCTCTGGACCATCGGCCAAAGATTCGAAAGCGAGCACAAGATGCCCTCAAGAAGGTTCTCAAGAACCCTCCTCCTAGCCCGTCATTGGATCACCCGGCTGCCGATATGTGCGCGCAAACTGCGCTGAAGAATCTGGAGGACCTGGCCGGCAAGGCTGCTGATGCGCGCAAGGGCAAGAAATCATCCGATACCACTCACGATCCGGCCCTGATCCATGCGCTTCACCTAGTGAAGACTGTGGCGACGGCGAGTGGTGGCTGGCCCAGCACAAAGATTGAATCTTTGTGTGAGCTATTACTGGGCATCGCCAAGACTGGTAACGAATACATGACCATGGCTGGTTTTGAAATTTTCGAGTTAATATTTGAGAGCATGAGTGCCGAGGTTTCTTCATCCAAGTTGCCGCGGCTTATGGAGATTATCTCAGAACTGCGTCCCGCCGCCAACGACACCCAACTTGTTCCGCCTTGGTTGGCCATTCTGTCACGAGGATTCGATGTTTCTGCTCAGGTCGAGCCAGATGAGACTTTTCAAAAGTTGCCCGAGTTGTTCGCCATGATTGCACAATTCCTGGAATCACATTCTGAAAACATTCGAATCTCAGCTTCAGAGTGTTTGGTGTCCTTCATGGCTAACTGCATTCCTCAGCAAGTCATCCTAGGACCATCGATATACGAAGAGAAGATTTTGGACAAGATCACAAAGACTGTCGAGTCTCTACTAACCGTGCAGTACCAGGCTGCTTGGCTGCAGACCTTCAATGTACTCGGCGCCATGTTCACCTCCCTTCGATGGCAGTCTTACCCAAGGATGATGAACATCACCAAGACGATTGGGGAAATTCGCGAAAACTCTTCATTTCGAAACAAAAAGGAAGCGGATGAAATTATTGGACAAGCCGTGCAGGCCATGGGACCTGAAGCAGTCCTTACTGCTCTTCCCCTCAACATTATCAAACCAGTCAAGGGACAGGCTGGACGCGCATGGATGTTCCCCATTTTGCGAGACTACGTTAGCAACACCGAGTTGGACCACTTCAAGACCGAAATGGTCCCCCTTAGCGAGCTTATGTTCCAGAAAGTTTTGGATCACGGCTCAGCCGACAAGACTATGGAAATCAAAATCTACGAGACGTTGGTGCAACAAATCTGGGCGACGCTACCTGGATACTGCGATCTTCCCATGGATCTCATGGAAGCCTTTGACCAAGGTTTTGCCGAAATGCTCGCCAACCTCCTGTATAAGCAAGTCGAGCTACGACTGGATATCTGCCGAGCTCTGAAGACCTTGGTCGAGTCAAATCAGGCTATTGCAAGCATAGGAGACGAAGAAGAGGACTTTATGCTCCAAAGCAGAGTCTCCTGCGACACTGCCCAGAAGAATCTCACATATCTCGGACAATTTGCCGGCAACATGCTTGCTGTCCTATTCAACGTGTACACGCAGACACTACCTCAAAGCAGAGGCCCTATCCTCCAAACCGTCAATGCATTTCTCAGCATCACACCTCCCCAAGAGGTTGTTGAGACTTTTGACCGTGTGAGCAAGATGCTAGCTGCAGAGCTCGAGAACACACAGAAGCCCGGGGAGAAGGGAAAGGGCCCAAAGGCCAAGGACCATATGCCATCCACCGCTCAGACTCTGATGGATCTCGTAATTACGATGTCGACCTACCTTCCCCGCGACAGCTTCGCCGCATTGTTTGAGATTGCCGCTGTAATCATTTACAGAGAGGACGAACCACAGCTTCAGAAGAAGGCATATAAGCTTATTCCCCGCTTGGCCACTTCTGAGCTCGGCAAAGCTGCTCTTAAAGAGAGAAATACCGACTTGCAGCAGCTAATCCTGTCTAGCTCTGAAAAGGTGTCTGCTCCCGCTCGGCGAGATCGACTCGCAGCCATTTCCGCTCTCCTCCCGTTCATCTCTGACGATTCTCTACATTTCATCCCCTCTGTACTGAGTGAAGTCGTCATCTGTTGCAAGGAAAACAACGAGCGTGCTCGAGAGACTGCCTACGATCTACTTGTTCAAATGGGCCAGCGTATGATTGCCGCCAACGGAGCCAAAATTGACAACAGTAAAGTTCGTCACATGCCCGACGACACACCAGCTGGAACTGCCAATATTGAAGAATACTTCACTATGGTTAGCGCCGGTCTGGCTGGCAGCACGCCTCACATGATTTCAGCATCCATTACTGCCATCAGCCGTCTTCTTTATGAGTTCCGCTCCTCCCTGACGGAGCAGACGCTTTCAGATCTTGTCCAAACCATGGACCTCTTTCTCACCTCCAATAACCGCGAAATCGTGAAGAGCTGTCTCGGCTTCGTCAAAATTTGCGTCATCAGTCTCCCCTTGGAGCTTATGATTCCCCGTCTAGCTACCCTCGTCCCCAACCTCATCATCTGGAGTCGCGAACACAAAGGCCACTTCAAAGCCAAAGTCAAGCACATTCTTGAACGCATGGTACGACGTTTCGGCTACGACCTCATTCACAAGAATTGCCCGGAGGCCGATCGCAAGCTCATTGTCAATATCCGCAAGACCAAGGAACGCACCAAGAAGAAGAAGGAAGCCACTCGTACCGGTCAAGGCGATGATGCCAGTGACGAGTCTGACGAAGAGCAGTCCGGCAAGCGTCAGTATGAGAACGAGTACGACCAGGCCCTGTACAGTAGCGACTCCGACGATTCTGCCGCATCAGATGATGAAACGACGGCCCCCCGACAGAAGAAGAAGTCTCAAAAGGGCGGCAAGACATACATCATCGAAGATGACGATGAGCCGCTCGATCTTCTCGACAAGAAAGCCCTGGCTAACATCTCTTCCACCAAACCCCTCAAAAACCGCAACCCTACCAAGTCCAAAGCCAAATTCGACCTTGACGGCAAGCTCATCCTTGGCGCAGACAGTGACGACGAACCTGCAGCCGAAGATGGCATGGACATTGACAAGCCCGAAACCTCGGGAGTAGGTGCCTACGTCGCCGCCCTCAAGGGCAAAGACGCAGCGAAGCGCGGCAGAGGCGGCAAGCTCAAGTTCTCAAATCGCCGCTCTAAAGACGACGAAGACATGGATGAGATGGATGGGGATGACGTCGCCATGATCAAGAGCAAGATGAGTCCCGGCCGCGCCGAAAGAGGTAACAAGTTCCGCGGCAGAGGCGGTATGAGGGGCGGACGTGGTGGACAAGGTGGACGAAGTGGCAAGGGGGGCATTTCGGCCGGGAGAAGAGGGTTAGGCATTGAGAAAAGACACGGCGCTCCGGCGCAAGGGATTGGAAAGGGCAGGAGAGGACGGAATTAAAAGGGTTGGGCTGAGCTTGATTGAAATTTGCGAGGATGCCATTCTTATAGAATGCTGGCAAGATCGCAAATGGGATACCCGCGTTCGCGATATGGTGCATGTGGTTGGTTGGCAATGTTTTCCTAGGCGTTTCATCGATAAAAGTAGAGCAATATATATATTATATATATGCATATATGACTTTGGACTATTTCTTATGCCAAGATTGCATTCTTTCCAATGCGGAGCGGCAGATTGAAGCCTGTAAAGATGTGATATGTAATGAATCGATTTACAACCTTTATCAAATTCATCAACGTATTAACAAAACTAAAACGAAGCAGTAAACGTGAATTACTCGCCATCGCCAAAACCAAGCCATAAAAGACCCTCTCATAGAATGAAAAATAGTTCTGTCCATTTTCCCTCCTCGTTCTCCCTGCAACCTCTTCCTGGTATCTCAACGCCTCCCCTATTCTCATGCCGGGTATTTCCATCGCACAATCGTTTATTCCAGGCCTGTAAGAAAACAGCCTGTGATGTCGTCACTCATTTCCTTATCGTTATGAAATTGTTCTATGCCAACACCGTCGCTATGCTTTGGAGTCGTGTCTAATTGAATGGAAATAAATGCAGTCAATCATGCGTGGGATCCTCTATTAAAAAAACATCTTTATTCCAGGACAATGACGTCGTCAGATGGCCGTACTCGCCGACGTCCCCGTGAAGCATTCTGGTAGTGGTCATCCGCCGCGGGACGTTTACCCTGGTGTGAACGATATGACGGCTGGTGATTCTGCAAAGGAGCATCCGTCTGAGGATATCGTCTCCTGATTTAGTGTGAGAACCCGCTGCTACCAATCTTTGCAAGGTATGGGTGATGCGGTGGTACTTACACCTCTTGGGCAGGCCAATATCTGCTAGCCACACAATGTCTAGCCCTGTCTCGGGATTCTACATCTCGAATATTTGATTCCTCTGGTACACATGACTGGTACAATTGCGGCTGATGTCCATAAAAGCGTTCCGAGTGATGCGAGTTATGCAAAGCACCTGGCCGATTTATGGGCATCACTTCAAGGCTATCATGCCCTCGATTGTTTCGCAGTATTCTTGCATCTCTCTCAGAAGATACAAGATAAGATCCCGTCGCTCTGTACGGCTCTGAGTGGAGTGTAAGGGAGTCTTCTTTCTGATGTGTGAATACCGTCGGCTCCAGTGGCAAGGCAACCCTCTCAAAGAAGCCACCCCGATCTTCCATAAGGATTGGATTAGTGCGTGTCCCAGGCCGTGATGCATTTACAATGATTCTGTCACCTCTTGGGGGATCAGCCCAAATGGGATGTTCATACGGCCTGCTCCAGCCTTGAAGCGCGGGCCTAGCATAACTGGGGGCGCCAGAGATGAACGAATAGTCAACACGCTCTTGAGGAACATAAGTGGGAGCATCGAGAGCAAAACTGTTAGCTTGGAAGCTCCCTTCGGCTGGGTAGTCGCTAATTATCCGACGGCCCCCCCGGTCTGGGGAGTTACGAATTTCGCTATCCATAGGTGACATACTGCGGATTGTGTGGAACAGGGGTGGCCGAGAAGGCAAAGGGTCTAGGTGATCCTGTTGCCTCGGCGGCACGGCCCTTACAAACGCTGGCTGCATCACAGTCTCTGACGAGGCCGGTTCAATAGAACGGACGGCCATATCTCCAAGACGATTTGCGATAGGGGACATCATCCTCAATGTCGAGGGGCTTTCCCCTGAGAATTCATACACCGAAGAGCTCAAAGCGTCACGAGAAGCTTGAATCTCGGTAGATTGATAGGCATACAGCGGAGGAGTAGCAACTGGGCGAGTATACGGTTGAGATTCCATAGGGGGAAGGCCAGAGTTTACTGTGAACCCTATAGAAGGAGTAGCTCGCTCGACTTGGCTGCCGTTGTAGGTTGTGGATTGATGAGCCTCAAGCTGTCTGGTAGGCATTTGTGGATGGCGTGGGTTATATTCGCCCACACCACCAGCTATGAATCCACTGCGATCATCGTCTGCTCCGCGGTTCCGCAAAATAGCTTGCTGCCAAGCAGCCTGGTACCTCTTGAAGCCACGTTGATTCTTGCGGTTAGTCTTTTGTACATGATCCATGGATCTCGCAGGGGCCTTTTCTTTAGCCCGCGCAGTGCGTCCTTCTGCCAGCGTGGTTGGTCCCGGTGATCCAGGCTGTTCTACGGCTGCCATTTGTGGAAGAACCGTTGCCGTGGTTGACTTTGTAGATATCAACACGGAACTGGGTGAGACATCACCATCACTATCGATGGAGGAGTCATCCACCATTTCTTCGTCTGAGCTGTCATCTTCGGAGTCCGAAATGACGACCACTTCGCGCAATATCTCATCTAGTTGGTCACGGCCGGTCTCTTCGTCTCCTCGCCACTTGACAAGGATATCGAGACAAAGGGTTTCGACGGTTTTTCGAGCAACTTGCCATCCGGCTTCTTTCAGTAATTCTTCATACCTTGTGTGATTGTGACGAATGTGGGCCAGTACTGCCAGTTGGACGCGCCGGGCAAGGGGAATTTCACCACATAATCCAACGGGTGGCTCTCCTTTTGTAGTCGCACGCTGGGAAGTATTACGGTTCGTCAAAGAGCACAGAGGAAGGCGATTGTTGGAGAAACTAACCCGTGTGAAAGCATGTTGGATGATAATCTCTCGGTCAGTGTTGGGGATGCGAGGGAACAGGTCACGAAGTGCTGCATCTGCCTGAGCATGGTATTCCGCCTGGATCTCAGGAATTGGTTCCGGGTTTCCATCTGGTGTAGCTGCTCCCGATTCCGGCAAGTCCGCTATGGTGGCCTTGGCTTCTTCAACGATGGTCTGTCTGACGTGGTGGCCTAGTCGATTGACCTGTTGGGATAGACTGTTGTTGGTAGTGACGGGCTGACCACTGTTAGTCTCTTGCCTACAGGTGGATTTTTCTTCTTCCTCTTTCTCTTGTAGAATGCGTACCGAAACTACAAATATCATGGCATCTTTCTCGCGGGAAAGATCTTTGCATGCCTTTGTCAGTCCTGGGTTACCGATGGGGACAAACTCGAAGCCTGGAGGCGGGATTTTGTCTTCGGTCTCCTATCATTGGTGAGCCTCATGCAAGGGTACGATTTTGAAAGCTGGCATTGGCTCATTTCTACCTTGACTTGGAGGATCTTCTCTTTCTTGTCTGTATTCTCAACAAACTCAAAGTACGTGTGATGCCTGGATTTTGGTAGTGTTGGCTTTGCCACAAGGCCTTGGGGAGCAGGGGCGGGTGCTGGATGGTCAGACAGAAATTTCTGGTTTCGTCTGCGTCTTTCCTTGGGCCCGCTCGCTCGAATAGGAGGTTTGACTTTTCGTTTTTCCCTCCCCATGATTTCAAAGGTCTATCCCCGAGCTTACCATGATGCGGCTTGTGAAAGCTTTGAAGCGCAATACCAGGGCCAGTCAGTAGTCGAGGTAAGACGATGACCTTGGACACAGCGCGGCCAGCTACATGTAGTGGGACAGCGTTTCTGGCAGACCTTGGGTAGCGTTTGCTATTGCACAAATTTCTTCAGAGAATTAAGAAGAGTGTTAGATAGCGCGCAAAAGGTAGGAGAAACGTTGCCACAGTAGCGGCCAGGCCAGACGCGTTCCCTTTTGGCAACTTTTTTTTGAGGGTAGTGTTCAGGCAGCAGGCTGCATCAGATCACTTGCTGGGGGCGGGGACGACGGAATGCCAGCATCACACGCCGTGGTCGCTGCAGAATATCAGTTGCAGGACGTTGACGGTTGGCGACGACAAGCTTAGACGTCGACTGGCAAATATGCCAGTTGAAGTTGGAAAAGGAAAGTATCAACCATATTAACTGGCGGTCTTGAGTTTGGGTACCGATCCGGTGCCTGGTTGATTACATAATCACATCTGATTGGCGCATACCACCTGGTGCGGCATACACCTAGAGACCCAACTTGGATTACCATGAAACAATCACGTGGATGCGACATCTACAGATAGAAAATGCCTATGGAGTACGGGTGTTAAGCCTATAATTGGATGGCCACAACATTCACCAGCCATGCGAAATCAGGCGATTTCGTTTTCAGCCAGTTAATGCTTCCTCTAGCCATCCCGGCTTTATATGCTAAGCATACATACTTTTGGTGGCTCCATGGATATGGATATGGATATGGATATGGAGGGAACCCGAATCCATGGCTGGGATCTGACTGTGCAATACTCTGTATATTCGGGAGGAATATTGTCCAGTTACTGCGCCCGCGGCAACCTATTATTCAAGGAGCCCATCTCCCTTTCCAATGAAAAAAGACAGTCGTGATTAGATGGGACGGCGGCATAAATGCCATTGCGACCCAGTCACCATGTCACTACTGCGTACACTGTCGTGACCTCGTCGGGTTTTGATGGCGGCCTTGGGCGGCCCTGGGCAGAATACTTTAGTACCGACTGAGAATTCCAGACATTGACGGAGGTCATTAGTAAGTAGTAATGATGAGAGTCAGTCTGGAATAACATAACATGTGGACTGGCAGACACCAGAATACATATTTAATTTATGGCCGTCGGCATAGGGACTGCGACAAGGCATCAAGACAAAGGAATGGCATGAATCGCTAGTCGTCTTGGCTGTTAGCCTGTGGGGTCGTCCAGGGAGGCGATGAAGGCGGCGGTCACATCGACAGGGTGAGGTGAATTGCTGCTGGGAGAGAATTTTCAACAAAATGTTTCAGGCCAAAATCCGCGCTCGACTCGAAACACACAGGCCTTAAGGATTCGGAAAAGGAGGAAATGACGGTTCTCAGGGGTTTTCAGAAAACCACCATGATTTTATTCGTGGGAAGCCTCATTAAGCAGCCCTGGTGAGCCAATTTCGCCATGTACCCACAGAGAGAAGAATTCAGCATGGACGTACTCCGTACATGTATGTACTACTCCGTACTCCGTACTCCATTCTGTGAATTATGATGGATTCAATAAAAATGCTCAGCACGGAGTATTTCATAGGATGGGCAGGTAGTTATTTTTAACAGCACTGCCACAGCAATGTTCCAGCTGAGATTCTAGGTTTTGAGCGGATTGCAGATGACCACGTGCAGGATCACTTGACTGATCACTGGCGGAGCTTATAAGCAGCCAATTATCGTTGAGTATAATGCGCTGTGGGGCCAATGCGAGAGAGACCCGCCTGTCCGTAATACATGCTGGGATGTACGGCTCTTCCGTAACTCCGTACAGCCACAATTCGTCAGGCACTTGGGCGCCATCTTGGATGACAAGCCAGCATGGACTGGCAGCACCTCTCTGAAAGGCGTTGGGCTGTCTGTCTGGCCAGTCCAGCACACAAGATCGTTCATGCCATCAGCGGCGGGCGGTGGCCCGACAGAGTGTCCTCACAAAGGCGCCTTCGGGCTATTCGGAAACCCGAGCCACGGTCTGCAATCCCCTAGCCTGGACGGAGCACGGAGTATTTCGCACCACATTGAAAATTAGTTTTGTGCCATGTCCAGTCCTGCAGCCTGGCTTCCCTCATTGTTATCGCCAGTCGCCATCGGGTTGGCTCTCCTATCTGTGATACGGCATTCCCGGCAACGGACTGAGGCAAACGCCGTGCTGAGCCTTGGCACCCGACTGAGTTCCCGTGCTGCGTAGGAATCAAACAGTTTGAATTCTAGGCTGAGCGAGCACTGTACATATGTGTTAATATTGCATGGAGGAAGGGCAGAGCCATGATGGAACAAGCGTGGCACAAGGATGTGGAAACGTCAGAAACAATAACATCGTAATCAAGGTTGACCTGAGCAACAGCCGTCGTGTTCATTTCGAGGAGATTCGTCAGCCCTACTGTTGAAATCGCTAGCTGGCCCGCTGCTTTGACCCAGGCCGGGCGTTCTCCTGCAATGGCTACTGGCTCTTTGGCATCCAAACTGAACCTAACCAGAGCAATGACCTGTCGGATTGGTTGTCGATGCTGTTGGCGCTGTAGGGGGACCAGCATGATGGGAGCATATTGATGACGGGGCTAGTCGAGAAACGGGTCGAGGGCGTCGTCATCCCCAGACAGTCCGCGACGCTTATATGCGTGGTACACCGGAGAGCGAGTTCCAAAAAGGGATTTATCGATCGACGTGTGGGCGAGAGGAGACGGTTCAACGGCGAGGACTACCACGAGACGGCACGAGGGCGAGGACGTCGCTTCAGCCCCAACGGCCACACAAGTATTCGCCGCAGCCAAATGTGCGTGGCGAGATACCTTGCATGGGGCGCTAGCCATCACGGCGCCCGAAACGAGCCAATCGAGGCTCTCTCCGTCAGGGCATCGCCTTCCCTCTGTGAAAGGAGCTGACGCGTCACTGCCCCCATCCTCCCCACCATCCCTGCTCGCCCACTCCAGCCCGCTCGGGCAGGACTTTTTGCCAGGAGCGCCGGACCCAAACCAGACCAGCCAGGATGCTTGCCAAGTTGGAAACACACCATCAACAAGGCATCCATTCCATTCATAGCTATCCTCGGCCCCCTTTCTGCCTGAGATTTCGTTCCGATTCACTTCTTGTTCTCTTTCCACGCCTTTTTTTTTTGTCTGCTACACCACGGCTTTTTGCTGCCAACACCGACACATCATCGCCGTCCCAAGACACTTCGATCATAACCGCCACTGCATCAATTGCGACACACACCTCCGACCTCGCCGGTCTCCTGCTTGCAATTCTCGAGACGCCTCGCAGCTTGGCCGTCGCGCCCCTCAGTAGTCATCACTCGAGGTTTCCAAAATGTCGACTTCCAGCCAAACCATCGACGTCGATGCCCTGCTCGACTTTTCTGCCTGTGATGGCAGCTACAATTCGCCGTCGTTGTCGCCCTCGACAGCGTCAAAGCCCACTTTCGCCAGCCCAGTCACAGCCGCCGTCAGCACTCCCAGCCTGCCCTCAACGACCCAGACACTGAGTGGCCCTAGTCACAATTATGACATGTACCGCCAGCAGACGGGATTCGTGCCTGGCGCTCTGACAAACACTATGGCCGTAAACCAGACCAACAATACTGGTTATCAGGACTTCGGCAGCCTCGACTATCTCTCTAGTTTCAGCCCTGAGAATGATGTCTTTGATTTCAACGCTTCACCTTCGCAGGGCACCATGGAGATGGAGTTTGAGTCCCCTGCTGATTCGCAGTTCTTTCCCACTGTGAACCCCAGCAGCATCGAACACGACACGTCCGCTCTCTCACAGACAAGCAGCGTTGGCCGTCTCTGGCCCGGTGCCCACTCGCAAGCCGCTCTCGCAAAGGCCCAGGCTCAGCAACGACAGCAGCAGCAGCAGCAGCTCATCCAGCAGACTCAGCGCCAGACCTCTCCAAAGTCTCGCGGCAAGGCTCCTCAACCCACTGACCCTATCGTCGAGCAGAAGATTACCCAGCTCCTAAATTCGATGCGGGCCAAGCCTGCCTCCAATGAGCCCGAGTCTCAATCCGTTCTCAACAACCTGCCCAGGACCAAGAAGGATGAGGAGGAAATGGATGAGGACGAGCGCCTTCTGGCCAGTGAGGAAGGCAAGAAGCTTAGCAGCAAGGAGCGACGACAACTTCGAAATAAGGTGTCCGCTCGTGCTTTCCGTTCCCGCAGAAAGGGTAAGGCTTTTCCCATGTTCTTTTTAATCTTCTACTTTGGCCATTTGCTAACACCAGTTTCAGAATACATCTCCCAGCTTGAAGCCGAAATTGCAAACAAGGTCAACGAGAATGGTGACCTGAGATCACAGAACCGTGCCCTGATGGATGAGAACAAGCGGCTGACAGATCTGACCCGCATGCTTCTTTCCTCCCCGTCATTCTCTACTTTTCTTGACAACCTCAGCGCCAACCCTACCGGACTCCCACAAGGCTCTCCTGTCAAAATTGAACAGAACCCACAGCAGGAGCAGAACCAGGTCCCCAAGGATGTCAACGCCTACAACAGCCAATTCTCCTCTCAGCAACAAATCGGAATGGCCATGATCCCTGAGCAGACCATGGACTTTTCTCTCCTCAGCCTCGGTAACACATACAACTTCCAGCCCCAAGTCTTTGTTGTGGACACTCCTGAAGTTCCCAATGCCATTGACGCTTCTGTCCTCTCCGGCAAGACGTCCAACTTTGTGGAGGAGTCGTTTAGTTCTGATGACGAGAAGGTCGAAGTGCCCGTCATTGAACGCCCTCTCAAGACCAAAGCTATTGAGACACCCGAGGCTCCTGTTGATGAGGAGTTTGAGTCTGACCCTGAATTTGCCCTGTTCCACTCTGAACCTGCTACCACTACCACAACGCCCAAGGACATTGACACCGAAAACCTGGCTGGTATTGACCTCTTTGGTGGTATCGAGTCTGAGAAGATGTTTGCCCGTTACGAACTTGTCAATGCTACGGAGGAGGAGGCCACTGCTGCTTTCGCCATGGCCCGTGTCCAAAGAATAAGTGCCAACATTGACTCCGTTGTGTCAAGGTTAGAACTTTTGACCATGGACATATAAAGACATTCATTACAGAACAGCCAGTCAGCATCGGCGGCTAGACTAATATTCTTATGATTTTCTTTGTTCCCCTCTGGGCATTTGGGCGATTTTAGCGGCGTTTCGGCAAAATCACGGGACAAAGTGATGGTATAGGCTTCTGGGAAACTTTCCTTTCTTTATTCTTGTTTTAAATGTAGCGGCAAGAATGTGTGAACCTGGGCACTTTTGTATAGATAAAGAGGCGAGAGCCAGGCTTTACGCCACTCGACCAATCAATTAAGTCAAATATCTTGAGCTTCACGTACAATAGCACTGTGACTGCAACGCTGCCGTATCCCGTAGACTGCCAGGGATGCAGAAACCAACAGGATCAACCAATATTGTTCTTTGTGGAATTTCTCACCCACGCACCAGTGACGACCAATGATTTGTTTGCGGAACCATTTCTAGGTTCGAATCCCGCCTATTCTATCTGTATACTTGCCGATTTGGGAGGGAGGATATCATGGATCTGTACGAGGTTCGTCTTTGTAAACTCCAAGGCGTGGAGTAGTGGTTAAGTGTACGTTTCAGCTGGCGGTTGGGAGGCTCGTTCTTCTCATGATTTCGGACAATATAGACAGGCCATGGAGCACCAAGACGCAGACATGTCCCTGCGCTTTCCATGATGCAAGTAGCTACGAGGGGCTGTCTGGACGACAGTCCTTACCTACCAGTACCATGTCCGGTGTACTGTCGGGGCGGGCAATGGTGTACCCCGAAGCATGCGGGGTCAGACCGCGCCGGACAGTCTTGCCAGATGGAAAAGACGTCCGGCTCCGGGCCCCGGAGGCGGTGCGCCTCGCCGATCAGGGCGCAGCGGCTGGGGACTTGCTCACGACGCAGCACAAAGGGCCAGGCGTCTTGCTGCCGTCGTCCATCGCGTCTGGGCCCATGACGAAGTACACGCCGTGCGTGACGGCGAAGCGGTTGTACAGGCAGCGGATGCTGGGGGTGCTGATGTGGAAGCGTGTGCGGAGGAAGTGGTATTGCTGGTTGAGGATGGCACAGACGTCGAGGTTGGAGAGCTTTTCCCGGTCGAGCTCGGCGCTGCCCCAGAAGAGGGATGCCGGGGCGCCAAGTCCCGATTTCTTGGACAAACAGTATTCTGCCAAACCGGTGGGTTTGTTTTTTGCCATGTAAGTCTAGTAGTATATCGTTCTTGGACCGGCAGAGAAGAGGAGGGGGTGGCGGCAGAAACATGCTGGCGATTTTGCGATGCAGGAAGCCCATCTCGCCCAAGGCAGCCTTGTCAACCTCGCAAACGGTATCCAAGGGACATGGTCCTGTCTATACAGCTGCTCTGAATATGCGATGCGGAACTCCCCATGCGCGCCCTCATGCCCAAACGCACAATGCAGATAATCGACAGTGTCCCTGGCCCGTTTGACATCCCCCTTTTCATCGGGTCCCAGGTGGTGAGATGGAAGGACTCATCTTCAGACCGGGTTGACGAGCAGCTTGACGACACCAAAGGATGAAGCACAAGGATGAAGCACAAGGATGAAGCACAAGGATGAAGCACAAGGATGAAGCACAAGGAGGAAGCACAAGGAGGAAGCACAAGGAGGAAGCACAAGGAGGAAGCACACCCCGCAGCATGGATCTGGTTTAGGCGGTTGAATCCAACAAGTCTGTCCGACGTGAACAAGAATACGTCGGACCGACCGCCCTTGGCAACTCAACACGACAACGCAACTGATTCCAGCACGAGGCAGATGCTATGTGTGGCTGAAACTTTATATCAACACCCAAGTATTGCGTGCAAATCATCATTCATCTCGTACTTAGCCGCCACTGAGACAAAACAAATAACCGATAGACCATTAAACGCCGGTATCTCATTGTAAGCCTCCAAGCTGTCTTGTTACTTTGAGGGCGCATAAAGTAAACCACCACGGCCTGCAAGTTGTACGTCCCTGTACATGCCCTTTAATCACAGCCTCTAGGGGTATCAAACAATCACACACTCTCCCTCGCATTGACCGGCGCGCCAGTAACGCTCACCCCGTCCTCGTCCATTGCTCTTGTTCTTTGAGAAAACTCGTTAGTCACGATACCGGAACCAAACGGGCCTGTATGCGTCCCCCTCCCGCCATCCCGAAGCTCCCAGCTTCCCACCCGTTCCTCATTCCGCCCAGCGTTTGACACCGTCATGTCCGCATCGCTGACCATTTTATCATTGCCTTTGAATCCTCCCACTGCAGAGCCTGCAGGCCCTCCGTCCTGCCTCCCATTACGACTGAAACGCCAACCGCCAAGGGCTATGAGTCCCGCTGTGACGCCCGCAATGAGAACGGCCATAAGCACGGCACCAAGGACGCCGGCAACAGCAGGACTGATGGCGCTTGAAGATGAGCCGCTTTTCTGACTGCCCAAAACATTTGGGGTCAAGCAAAATGTCGACGTTGTTCGTGGGCTGCAGATTGTGCACCATTCACTCGCAGTTGTGCTGATCTCGTTCATTTTGCGGAGAAAAGAGGCATAGGACATGGCGGCCCCCCCAAATCCAGATCCAAATAGAGGATATGTTGAGAATTGATCACCAGAGTCCGCACTCGGTCTGTATGAAAACCGCACTTGAAAGCTGTCGGTGCTACTGCTGGGGTCACTCTCACTTATGAGCTCAAATGCAATTGCCGAGCCAGGCTTTGGTAGCCGGGAAAACGGGCTCGCCGCGGCATTTTGGTCATTCATGAGCCCTGCGGCCCCAAAGAACGCCATCAAGGACCGGGAGGATCCGAACATGATTGTCAGCTTCCCCCTCGTCCCGCTAGTTGCTAGGAAGGTGCTGAATTGGTCTGTTACTTTGTTGGCCAATGTCCTCCCGGCAATGCTATAGAGCACATGGAGGGGATCATCCTTGTTCGTATTGCCGCTATAGCTGGTTTTGGACCGCTCGAGAGAAAACGCATTGTTTTGCAGAACAGAAAGAGTGCCATTGGGGTCCTTGAGGTCTTTGTGGACGGTCCCATTATAAGCATAATTGAAGTCAACAAAATTATATATCTCTTCTGCATTGAGGTACGTTGCTTGGTCCACTGGTAAGCTGCCTTGCATAGGGTCGCTAGAGAACAATTTGGTGTAGAAATAGGCCTTGTCGTGGACTCTCTGGGCAATTTCAGGGTTCTGGGACAGATTCTGGCTCATTTGGTTTTGCCACGCGGTGCACGCTTCGTAGCCTTGGATACTATTCAGACGTCGAATTAGCATCTCCCTCTGAGGCACGCCTCGCCTGTCCGTGTAATTGAGACAAGACTTACGCGACAGAATTACTGTCCGAGTTCGGATGTGTGATGATTTGAGCGTACTGATATCCATTTAGCGGATAATCTGTAGTGTTGGAATTTAAGACAAGATTATGTCCCACGTAGCTCGTATCAGGGCTGGGAGGATAGAATCCTTGCATAAATGCAGCAGCACTGCTTGTCGACCACTCCTGCATTGCAGCCATGATGGCCATCTGGGTATTGTCAATGCTGTCGGTTGATAAGCTCTGAATGGGAGCAGTGTCTGTGCTATTTGACGAGGTAGTATTGCTCGCGTTGCCACCTAGATATCGGCTGCGAAAGGCCGCCCCCAGTCGCTGCATTTGCTGAGCACCGTTGGGCGTGAGGATGACATGATCACTGACGAGATTAGGCGTAGTCTCGCCATGATTAACGAACACAACGGCAGCTCGGACCGTTGAGTTTGCAGTTTGCGCAGCGACGTGGACCAGCAAGCCACACACGCCGACAAGACTTGAGGTCAAGATCATGTTGCGTCCGGGAGTCCTATGACAAGCAACAAGACAAAAACCATGCCCGACGTAACCACGATGGTCTTGATCAATCACCACATGCGAAGATGGGGTGGAGTTTGGTAAAAGACGACTCACTCAGACCTTTGGAAGATGCCTGGGATGGGCGCGAGGTCAGTCATCCAAAGCCAAGACAGAAAATCGAGACAAGGCTGCGGGACAAACTTTTGGTATTTTTTCCATTGCAGTGGTGGTGAGTAAATGGCTGGTAGCTTCGACAGGCATGGCAAGCTCAGCTCTATGGACCCCAAATCCTGATACCTGCTCCAATCTCAGCAGCTCATACTCGTCCGGTGTGTGCGGTTGGGATAAACAGTACGGTTTAGGTGAGGGGCTTGACGGCGCCGGCGCCGGTGCTGGTGGTGGCCACTGCGGGGTCATGATTGAGCAGACATCGCGATTCGCTTGGGCTTGGTGGTGTGAGCCTAAACTGCTCCTCTGACGACAGTCTGCTCCCCTCGTCCAGCCTCTTTTTCTCTCGGGGCTGAAGCTGTGATTTCACTATGACATGTTGTAAGTCTCGGCTGCCGCTTGCGGCTACACGTGGTCGTCTAGGCGCATTCACGGCCGCTCACGCCTCTTCCGTGGCAGGATAGCAGAGGCTTTGGAATCGGATGCTGCGGCAAGTTAAAATATTGTTTGCACTACCGCTGGTAGCAATGGTTTTGGTAGTGAAGATTGGCTTCTCCATCACGTTCCTGTATGCGAGCACAGCACATGGACCTTATTGCGCTTCGTGACTATTCAGACTTTTGTCCAGAGCAAATGAAATAATAGCCCGGCCCTCGCCGAAAAAAATAAGGCGGCCATTCACTTGCCAGAGCCAAATGAATACGCAAAAGAGCCAAATATTAAAAAAGGTTCCAGGGGGAGTCGAACCCTCGCTGGCGGAATCAGAATCCGCAGTCATAACCGTTAGACCATGGAACCAACTGAAATGGTGATCCACTTCACATGGTGGGCTATTTGGATGCTGGACCGCGGTATTATTTCGATATATATTGCTCTTGTAGCCAAACCAGGCCGCAACTCCTCTACCGTAGGAACGCAGAGCAGGGAGGAAACGAAAATTTCCAGGTTCCAACGGTGGTTTTGTACTGCAAATATGAACTGACGACGTAGATGACACCTGAGTCCTCATCTTTTATGCGACTGCTCGCGCGTGAATAAGCGGAGTGGTGACGACAAGTATCTCACCTAGTGTTGAAAGCATGCCGCTGCCGTCGAGTTGCGACATGTCCACAAGCATGCCCGAACGATTTGCTACTCCTCCTCCAGCATACCGGCATGCCTCCTTATCTTCTGGTTTGCATTATCATTCTGTCTCTTTCTTTTCCGCAGGCATGTTGCTCAGAGTTGAGGAGCGTTTTGCAACGATGAAAAGCTATGCAATCTCATCTCTCGGCGCTTAGTGTTCCTTGTTGGTAATGACGGAATAGTCCAAGCACGGACACAAACGCCGCCCAAAGTGCTTACTGACCTGCAAACGCAGAAGTGAACAGCCGTACTTGAATGCACGCTAATTGTCTTCTGGGCCCCTCGTGGTAGCTAACGGGGCAAGGACAGAGTCTATAATGAGCTGGCGATATGATGACGATGAAGCCAAGCCGGCCTGGATCCGCAAATTCCAACCAAGGAACCGTGATCGTGCGGAGTACTCTAAAGTCCAACTCCGAGTAGTAAACGATTATCTTATCAATCGCCGTGACAGACAGGGTGAGACCTGCAAGGGACAGATGTGGCGCAGGGATGCGTGTTGTTCTTGTGGCCCTCTGGAATGCGGACAGCTTGCACCAAGTCGGAGAGGGAACTAGATAGCCGCCGCGAATCAAGATTTATTTAGAATAAATAAATAGAAGCAAGTACATACGGAGCTCCTACAACGGCAGGGTGCCTTGCAAAACTGCAGTAGTAGTTGGACATGTGGATATGCCACGGGTAGTGGTTCGCGGAGATGAAAATAGTTACCAGTTTGATACGTGCCGTAGTCATGATGCGCAGCGGTAAGGCAAACAGACTTTGGAACTGGACGAAAGGGCAAATTGGGATGGCAGTCGCGCCTCAGAACAAGTGAGGCGAGCACAGTCAGCAATCATGCGATACATGCGAACATCTCCGAGGACTCGATCAAAGCACCCGCCTCGCTCCTGCCTCGCCCGCCAACAATCAGAATCGACAAAGACCCAGTGGCCTGATTGACAAGAGACCGACCCGGTGGACCAGAGCTGCAGAAAGAGGCTACTTGGGCCAGGCCTGATAAGGGGAAAAGAGAGTACTGATGTACATACGGAGTACTGGGTACAGCAGCGGCCCAGCATCTACCACCTGCAACACTGAACCTTGGAAGAGGAGAGACAATGCGGTGGTGCACCCTGGCCACGGGGTAACCTTGCACCTCCGCCTCTTCGTCCTGGCCACAGCACCTGTTGACTCCAAGCACCAGACCTGAGTTAGGTACCTAGGTACTTACGTACAGTGGGTGTACTAGTGCTACTAGTCGTACTAGTACAGTAAGTAGTATTACTCTGTGCCCCGTGCGCCCAGGCCCCGTCCCCAAGAGACATGAACCATGCTGACTTGAAAAGTTCCCCAGTTGTCTGGTGGAAAGAAGCGTGTAGCTCCTGCCTGGTCCATTGCTGGCGCTGAAGTACTGGCTGGGTCCTTAGAACTGCTTTCGCTGATACTGTCGCTGGACTAGCAAACTAGTACTAGCTTAGGTACCTAGCAGGTACTCTGCAGGTAGTCCTGGACCGTATATCAACCAGTGAGTTCTACCAACCCACCCAAGTACTGACGGGTACCGTCCAGTCTCGCGGCCACTGAGCCTCTAGCCAGCCAACCCAGCCGAGACTGGACGAGGTCCGACGTCGTACGAGCGCCGTCAACTGGTCCGTTCGACATCCGCCGTACGCTCTCACTCACACACACACACACGCTCACACTCACACTCGCCCTCGCACACCAGACTCCCTGCGCGGCTCCCGTCGTCACTTTGTGTTTCCCACCATCAGTCGTTCGGGGCCTCTGTTTTATGTCCACTGCTGTGCACAATTAATCGCGAGCTGCCTGACTTGCCGACCGGTCGCATGTAGCGACTCAAAGGCAACCACCATGTCGACCGACGTCGTGAGCGACGTAGCGCCTCTAGATCCTGGGGCTCCCGCTTCCCAGTCCCAGGGATCAGGACCCAGCTATGACCCTGAACCAACTGCACACGCAGCAGGTCCTACTCCGACGCCAGCCTCCAATCAACATGCCACCGACTCCGAGGACCAGATCGAATGTGCAAAGCCGACCGCTGCCGTATTTTTGAACTCGCCGCCCGATAGTAACAATGCGACCAAGTCCGATGCGAGCGACTCGGAGCTGAGCGAACTCGAAGAAGAACCAACCCTCGACGATGCACCATCCGCACCCACGCCCCAGCCTGCATCTGCATCTGCACCTGCTGCGCCTGAGGCCACGACTACTCCTGTGCCTGCACATTCGCCGACTGAGAAGCCCGAGGGAGCAAAAGACGAAGACGAAGAGGACATTGGGGAAGTACTTCCCGACGACTGGTCTGGCTCAGTTCCAATCTTTCGCCCAACATGCCACCAATTCAAGGATTTCCAGAAATTCGTATGTTCCCTGGGTATGAATGCATCATTGCCCACTATGCTAACTTGCTCCTTGTAGATGAAAAAGGTTGACCATTATGGCATGAAATCCGGTATCATCAAGATCATTCCTCCAAGGGAATGGAAAGATGCCCAGCCCCCCTTGGACGAACTTGTCAAGCACATCCGAGTTCGAGAACCCATCAAGCAAGATATCATGGGATCCAATGGTACATACCGTCAAGTCAATATTCTTCATGGGCGGTCCTACAATGTTCCACAGTGGCGGCAACTCTGTGAACAGAGCGAGCACCAGCCTCCCGCCAGACGCGGTGAACGCCGGGCCAATGCTGAAAAGCCCAAGCCAGCTAGGTCGAGAAATGTTGTCTCAAAAGAGACTAAACTATCAACCCCAAAGAAGCGTGGAAGGGGCCGACCAGCCAAGAACAAGGGCAAAAAACGGCCAGATGACGGGGATGAACGTCCCATGACTCCCGTCTCACCCAAGCCAGAGCCCGAGGAAGAGAAAGACAAGGCTGTTGACTCCATTGAGCAGGAACTCGGGGAAGAAGTCCAAGAAGATGACGAGTCCACTATTGGCAGGATGAGCGGTCAAATGGGCGGCGCTAAGCCAGCCAAGCCCAAGACGCAGTCTGTGTCGGCTCGTCGCAAGTACAGCCGACGGGAGGGGTCCACGATGATTGACGAGGCAGCGTTCAAGGATTTCGATTATCGCATGGATATTTCCGACTTTACCCCGGAGCGATGCGAAGAACTGGAACGAGCATACTGGAAGACTCTTACCTATGCCGCGCCGTTGTATGGAGCCGACATGATGGGCACCCTTTTCGATGACCGAACAGACACATGGAATCTTAACAAGCTTCCGAATCTGTTGGATGTCCTCGGTACAAAAATTCCCGGAGTCAACACGGCATATCTCTACCTAGGCATGTGGAAAGCCACCTTTGCCTGGCATCTCGAAGATGTGGATCTTTACAGCATCAACTATCTTCATTTTGGTGCGCCCAAGCAGTGGTACAGCATTTCTCAGGCTGACGCTCGTCGATTTGAAGGTGCCATGAAGAGCGTGTGGCCTGCTGATGCTAAAGCGTGCAACCAGTTTTTGCGGCACAAGGGCTTTTTGATTTCGCCGCACCACTTGCTGCAACATTACGGGATCAAGGTGAACAAGGTTGTGTCGTACCCCGGCGAGTTTGTGGTGACATACCCTTACGGCTACCATTCGGGCTATAATCTGGGCTACAACTGTGCCGAGGCCGTCAATTTCGCCCTGGACACTTGGCTAGAGATGGGCAAAATTGCCAAGAGGTGCGAATGCGCACAAGCTCAAGACAGTGTTTGGATTAATGTTTACGAAATTGAGCGGAAACTTCGTGGGGAGGAAACAGAATATGAGGAGACGGAGGACGAGGACGAAGAGGACGATGATGATGTATCTGGTTTGCCCACGCCGCCAGCGACCAACGGTGTCAAATTCAAGGATGCGAGCAGGAAGAGAAAGCGAGGTCAGGGCGAAAAGAAGACCAGAGTTAAGAGGGTCAGGCTACGACTCAAGACTAAAGTGGAACCACCATGCTGTCTCTGCCCCAACGATATTCGCCATTTCGACATCCTTCCCACAGCCGATGGTCGCAAGGCTCACAAGCTGTGCGCCCTCTACATTCCCGAAACGTACATAGATTCTGTGGATGACAAGGAGGTCATCTGCAACGTTGAAGCCGTGCACAAGGATCGACTGAATCTCAAGTGCTTACTCTGCCGCTCGAGACGCGGTGCTTGCTTCCAGTGCTCTCACCAGAAATGTGCAAGGGCCTATCACGCGACGTGCGCGGCTGCGGCTGGCGTTTTTGTCGAAGATCAAGATATTCCTGTCTTTGGAGAGGATGGTACAGAATACAAGGAGCAAGCTTTCGAGTTCAGTTGTCGGTTCCACCGAGTGAGGCGGGATAAGAAGACCGATGGCGACGCCCTGGAAATGGACACCAACATTCGAAGCGCAGCCGAGAAGCTCAAGACCGGCGAAATCTGCCAATTGCAGTACCTCAAAGGCGAAATCTTTGCCGGTGTCATTGTCGAAAACCGCCTGCAAGACGAGACTCTCTTAATCGACCTACTTCCTCAGGGGTACGTATATGCATTCAACTTACCAAACCAGCAGCAAATGCTAACTTGTCAAAGTGAACAATTGGAAGTCGAATGGAAGTGGCTGGTTCTACCAGATCCGGCCGATTACCATCTCCCAAAGGCATCAGCAAAGGCTTTGCCCATGCCAGCTTCCCGCAAGGCAAAAGATAAACTGAATACCAAGAGAATTCATGCCGATAAACCAAGAAAGGATGACTTGTTTGCCGAAGGCTACAGATGGGCAGAATTTGAGCTTTATGAAGCTTCAAACAAGGGCCAGGCTAAAGTCGACTTCGGCAAGTCAGATCAAATCTGGCACTATCTCGGCAAGACATCGACAGAGGCGAGGGCACAGTATACGGAGGACCCTACACAGCAACGCCACAATCCGAAGAGCAACTTTTTGGATACGATACCCAAGCCTCCCAGGCCAGTCCCTACCTCCAAGCCCACGTACAACCACCAGTCATACCTTGCCAAAGCCATGGCTTACTCTTACAGCCTTGCGGGTAACTACACCGCTGCAAACGAACAAGTTTCATTTGAGAAGCCTTATATATATAAACCCCGAAGGCCGGCTGAGGCTAATTTCACGAAGCCCACGACGTTTGCGAACCAAGGCTGCGCTGCTACCCATACATCTTCAGTTGGCTCAGCACCAGTATTCCACACTTACGATCATCAAACGGCGAACTTCCGACCGCAACCCACATTCACACACAGCATGCCGCAGAACCACAATGCGGCACCCGTGCAAATCATGCCACACGTTCAGATGCCCCAGGCGGCAGGAAACACATTACCTCAAAGCCGTCAGACTGCTTACCAAAAGCCTGCCAACACACCATCTGCTCAGAACAGCAAGCCTGTATGGCAAGTCCACTCGTCGGTGTATCAAAAATACCCCTTCTTCCAAGTGAATTACAATCGGTATGTGTTGAACAGTTCCCAGAGGGTTGTGTAGACTAACACCGCATAGGGATTTTTCTAGATATCGGACTCCATACTCTCCGTGGGGTGGCTTTACGAATGGATACGAAGGAAACCTCCGAGCACATTTGATGGCAACCCAGCAGAATTCAATACAACACCCGACGTTTGGTGGGACTCCTGGACCCCAAGGGCACGTACAACAAGTACAACAATCACTGGTAGGACAGCCAGTGCACCAAGTGCACCAGATGCACCAGATGCACCAAGCACAGCCAATTCAGCAAGTTCAGCAGTCGTCACTCCCTCAGGCACCTAAGCCGAAGCCAGCGCCAGCGGCAAAGCCCTTCAAGGTTGGACTTCCCGCCGCTTTTCATATCCCCCTACAAACGACTAAATCAGCTATGCAGGTTCCAGCAAAGGTGTCTCCAGTGCCATTGCCGCCAAATGTTCTCGCTGCCATGGCCAAGGCTTCCGAGGGCCAACAGGCACCAAGACCGGAGCCAAGGCCGCTGAAGGATCAATCTCAGCCAACACAGACGCACTCGGTGGAACCGACACCGCCATCAAATCAACCATCTGTAAAGCCGCCAGGTTCTCAACCGGCGTGGGCAAATCAACCGCAACTGGGGTTCTCAGCCATTCCTGTTACGCAACAACAGCACCCTGCACGAGAAAACTCGTTGACACCAGTGGGACTAACACCTCAAGAATTCACTGATGTCCCTGGCTCAGAATCTATGCAATTTGTCGAACGCATGATGCAGAACTTGCGTCGAGCGTCCATGAATGGGAGAGACGGGCAGGACGGACATATAAGGGGATAGAACTAACGGAATTGTAACACTATTATGTGAAATATACCGGGGGCAGATTCTACCCTGTCCACCAGGCAAATCGATACCCATTCCCTTGAAAATATGTTATAGACGAATGGGAGGTATTACCAGGATTACACAGACGGCGTTGAACAAGATGGCGTTGCACGGAGGCTTGCTTTGTCTCTTCTTTTTTTTCTGCTTTATTCTTCGGATGGGGAACGACATAGTTTACGACAGGGAAAAGGGCATGAATGGGTCGGCAGTCGGCAGGGTCGGGGTGGTTACGTGAGCTATGTACATTATGCCGGCTTGTGCTCAAGCTCGATTATCCAGGTATTTAGTAGCAAACAAAGAGCTGCATTATCCGACATGGCTATCGATGGCTTTGATCAACGTGTTGACTCACATGAATCTGAGTTGTATCACGCAAACGGCCGTTGGAGCCTCGCAGCTGCCAGCAGTGCCAACAGCGCCTGTTTCATTAACCAGTTCGCGGAGACGTAACCTCGTGCAGCTTTCCTCATTCACGAGAAAGCTTCCTGGAGTTTTCTTCACCGCCACACATCTATCGAAAATGAACACCAGTGAAGCCGCCGCCTGGTCCGACGACGACGCGGAGCGGGCAAAGATCGAGAACCGCGGGCTCAGCACTACCAAGTACGTCCGCGGAAGCCGTCTGGGACTCGGCGGCTCCAGCGTCGTGTACAAGACGCTGCGCGTCAGCGACGGCAAAGTGCTTGCCGGGAAGTCGTCCAAAGCACCCAAGGGCCTGAAGAGGGAGGCGGGCATTCTCAGGCTCCTGCAACATGTACGTTTCCCTGTCTGACTCCTCGCGATGCCGGCACCCGGCCTCTAACGCTTTGCCCGGCCCCGTACCAGGAGCACATTGTGGTGTTCGTCGAACTGTACCACGACCCCGTCTGTCCGGTGTCCGGCCTGCTCCTGATGGAGCTTTGCCCTCACGGCACGCTCCAGACGCGGATTGACCGAGCGGCGCCTCACATGGCGCGGGGAGAGGTGCTCAGCGTGGTGCGGCAGATTGCGCGGGCTCTGGCGTACATGCACGCGCGGGGGATGTACCACTCGGATGTGAAGCCGCGCAATGTGCTCATACGAGACTTTGACCCTGTTCACGTCGTGCTGGCGGACTGCGCGGACGTCAGGATGCTGGGGCAGCCGGGCGAGTTGAAGGGAACGCCGGCGTATTGGTCGCCGGAGATGAAGGCGAGGAGGGCGCATTGTGGTCCTGCCGACGACATGTGGGCTTTGGGGGTGACGCTTCTGGGCATGGTTGGGCAGTGGCCGCAGATGGTGTATACCGTGATGGATCTGGAGGTCTATCCGAGGAGGTGCTTTGAGCATGCGTGCAGGCTGGGGGAGCTGAATCCGGGCGTGGGAATTGTGAGCTTGTTGACGGGATTGTTGGCCTGGGAGGCGGAGGAGAGGATGAGGGCTGACGAGTGTGTGCTTGCGGTGGAGGAGTTGGGAGCGGCGGAAGGAGGAGAGGAGCTTGGGATCAGGTCGCCCGAGGCATTTCGGCCCATGTTGTTTTGGTGAAGATGATGATCATCGTTGGAGTTTTGTGTCATGTGATATATATATGATGCCTTGCCAATCGAGGAGTGAGCACTTGGTTACTGGTACCTGATGCGTCAGCTTTACACAAGGCCAATTAAGCAGTGGCATCTAATATGGAAATAATGGATTCAATGTTGACTGGATTCCTGCCATGGTGCATTGGGGTTATTAATTTGTACCGCACTAAAAGGTGGGTTGTGTACAGGGTGGGCAGACAAAGACCAGATGCCGACAACTCAAACCCTTTTCCTGTATATGTCCGGTATAATTGTCCCGCCGCGTTACTCCGTATTAGTCGGCCGACTTTCCACCAGCGCGGAGCAAATGCCGCCCTTACCCGCCACGTCTGTACTCCCGACCAGGGCGTTGACGACATTTTATGCTCCTCCCGTATCCACGCCTTTTTCTTACTCGCAGCCAATCTTAGTCATCTCATCCACGTCCGACATCGCGCCCTGCCTCACCTGCCTCGCAAATCACCCCAATGGAAGTGGGTGATTGAGTTATTTACTTATTATCCGTCGTCTCTCCGTCCGGCGATATAGTCCTCTTATCTGCCTCACAGCCGTTGGGCCCATGTCTCGCACACTCGCGCAGCCCTTCCTCAGACGCCTATTCAAACCCACACCATCTCTCACCTTTAAGCGATTTAAGAGCACCATGGAGGGCAGTAGCAAGATTAAACCCGCAGCAAGGGTATCTGGCCAGAAGCAAGATGTCTGGTACGCAGTCCCTCCTCGAATCTTTTCTATTTCCCCCTCACGGGCTTACAATCCTGATGCTACATATTTTTATTTTAAAAAGAATAAAAAAGAAAAGAACAAGAAGTACTAACACGCCATCCAGGTCCATCATCAACGAAGCAGCCGCCGCCTCCCCCAAACAGCCCATCGTAAACATGGGCCAAGGCTTCTTTGGTTACAACCCCCCCGACTTCATCCTCAATGCTGCCAAGGACGCTCTCGACCGCGTCGAATGCAACCAGTACTCGCCTACCAAGGGGCGGCCGCGGCTCAAGAAGGCCATTGCGGATGCGTACTCGCCCTTCTGGGGTCGCAAGATTGATCCCGAGACGGAGGTTACCATTACCACGGGTGCTAATGAAGGTGCTTTTTTTTTCTCCTTCGCTCCGTTTTCTTTTTTGGCCTTGTTGTCTGATTCTTATACCAACTGTGATAGGCATGCTGAGTGCGTTCATGGCCTTCATCGAGCCTGGCGACGAGGTCATCATCTTTGAACCCTTCTTTGACCAGTACGCAGCCTAGTTACCCCGTCTCATTTGTTTCAGCGTCCGAGGTGTAATCCGGTCTAAATGAGCGCAGGTACATAAGCAATATTGAAATGCCGGGCGGCAAAATCGTCTACGTGCCCATGCATCCCCCCGAAACAGGCGCAACCAAGACCTCGTCTGCCGCAGACTGGACGATTGACTTTGCCGAGCTGGAGAAGGCGATTACACCACGCACCAAGATGATTGTCTTGAACACACCTCGTACGCTCTGCCACCCCAACAAACAGCCAAAAAAAAAAAAACAACAACCCTGATATAGGTCTTGAAATAAAAAACCACAACCGGTAAAGTGTACTAATATTGTTTGGCAGACAACCCCGTCGGCAAGGTGTACTCGCGCGATGAGCTCCAGAAAATAGGCGACTTGTGCGTCAAGAACGAAATCATTATTCTGTCCGACGAAGTTTACGATCGCCTCTACTACGTGCCGTTTACACGAATGGCCACTTTGTCCCCGGAGATTGAGAAATTGACAATCACCGTCGGATCCGCGGGCAAGAACTTTTACGCAACAGGCTGGCGAGTCGGTACGTTCCGTTCCACCCTCCCCTTCTCTCCCGTTTCTCCTTTCAACTCGATTTTCTTCCGCCTCTCATCACTCACTTTTGTTCTTCTCTCCCCTCTCACAGGCTGGCTCATGGGCCCCGCCAACCTCATCAAATACGTCTCGGCAGCCCACACGCGCATCTGCTACTCGTCCGTCTCGCCGCTCCAGGAAGCCTGCGCCGTGGGCTTCGAACAGGCAGAGTCGGAGGGCTTCTGGGACAAAACCATTACCGACATGAAGTCCAAGATGGACCGCTTCAATGAGATCTGGGCCGAGCTCGACCTGCCCTACTCCGAGCCCGAAGGCGGCTACTTCGTGCTCGTTAATATGAAAAAAGTCCAGCTGCCGGCCGACTATCCCTTCCCCGAACACGTCGCCAGCAGACCGCGGGACTTTAAGCTGGCGTGGTTTTTGATCCAGGAGGTGGGCGTGGCGGCGATTCCGCCAACCGAGTTTTACACCCCTGCGAATGCGCACTTGGCGGAGGATTATGTGCGGTTTGCAGTTTGCAAGGACGATGAAGTTTTGGAGGAGGCTAAGCGGAGGTTGAGGGGGTTGAAGAAGTATATGCAGTGACGGGACTAGATTTATTATCCTTCTTCCTCTCTTTTTGTGTCTTCAAGACGGATTGGACAAGTGGATAGAAATGTGTGGATAGAGTGGGAATATATTTTGTCTTGTGATATTGGCCGTATGTTAACAGTCTGTAGCAGTGGTGCGGTCTCTAGTTAATCCATCTCATCGAAATGCACCACCTGCGGCGTATGACTCTCGTTGCCGTATACATTGCCACCGTACAACAAGTACCCCTCTACATCGGGCTTGCCGACCTTTAAAATATCCTCCGCATCGCCATTCACCCAGACTGTTTGCATGCCCTGAATCATGTGCTGCAATGTATGGCAGTGCACCATCCACACGCCCGGCTGCTCGACTCGGATCCTCCATACCCGCCAGCCCATCTTCTCATCCATCTTGACGAACCTCTCGTACCTGTAAAGCATTGTTGTGTCCCTTAATACGGGCTGCTTCCCCTCTAGCTTCTCCTCGACGGTATCTGGATCCCAGGCACCTCTGCCGCCGCCGACGTCGTAATGGTGGATGCCGTGGCCGTGCCAAGGGTGCGTATCTAGCATGCCTCCGCCTCCGCCGCTTACGGACTTGCCGCCGAATTGCTGGAGTACAATCTCCAAGACTTCGCCGATTTTGGCAGGATACGTTCCCGTCTTGGGGTCGATGCCGCCGTTGGCCACGGCATCTTCGTAATTGGGTAGATATGCAGACTGGTTTTGGTACAGGCTTACTAGGTACGGGGTTTGGGGAACGGTTGCCGGCAGAGCGTCAGCGTCCTCGGACCATGTATAGTTGTTAATCGTCCAGATGAAGTACCGATTCTCAACCACTTGGACGTTCAGCATGACGCGTCGTGTGACTTCTTCTGCCGTCGGGAAGTTGTTAGGCTCCAATGGCTGCAGAGCGTAGTCCAAATACCCGTCAATAGTTGGCGGTAGGTTCAGCGGCGGCGTTTCTGGGTTCTTGTTTGTGGCGACGGGCTGTGAAGTCATGTTGCACGCGTTTTCGTATCTAAGGACAGCATAATTCGTCACCACTCTGTTTCGATCCCTCGATTCCAGTTGTATGTAGTAATCAAGCTGACCGTCTTCCCGCAAGTCTTGGCATGATTTGGCGTGGAACAGTGCACTGTACCGTTGCCCGGAGCCGATTTGTAGCAGGTCGACTGGGTACGGTTGGGTATATTCCCCGTCCGCTTCGATAATCTCTAAATTCCCGTGTTTTTCAAATCCTAGGAGTGCAAGACTGAGGGCTGTGGCTCCTACGAATCTGAATCTGTATGTCTTGCCCGGCTCGACATCAATTACGCTCAAAGCTCTCGTGGAGGGGTCGACAGCTCGATAGTTGGATATCGATTTGCCATTGATTAGCCAGCCCTTTGGTTCGCCGGGCCATCTCAATGGTATTGATTCTAGGCCGTTTTTGATTTGTGTGTCCGACTGGCTCCAGTATTCCTGTAAGAACACAAGCCTTTCACCATCCGTCGTGTAAGGAGCACCAGCAGGGTCTTCGACAATAAGCGCACCAGTGGCAGTGCCAGCTTGGAATCCAACGTGAGAGTGATAATAATACGTTCCCGCCGTGCCGCTTTCTGCCTTCAATTCATAATCAAAGAAATGCTTGGGTGGAATAGGCCATTGACTGGCAAGGGGCGCACCATCAGAAAAGGGGTATGCGGCCTGGGCGAGACCGTGCCAATGCTTTTAGGATGGTTAGCATCTCCAAGTATGACTGCAAGGGGTTATATGCTTATCGCGGCGTACAATGGTTACATTGTCGTTTTCGATGTCGTTGTAGACGCGAATCCAGATCGTCTTCTGTTCAGGAATTCGTAGAGTTGGTCCGGGCAGAGAGTTGTTGACCAGTGTTGTCTCCCTATACATGCCACCGATACTGATGTTTTGACGAGTCACACTCAACACAATGTCAGGCGTGAATGAGTCGTCGTGGCTATGCGCCTGCAGTGACAAGACTGGAACTGCTGCCAACGCCAGCGTAGTAACAGCTCTCCTGAGCCATAGCATGATGACTACAACAGTTGGACCAGGTACTCTGACAAAATAAGGCTGGAGCTGGACGATGTGGGATTGGAATGGTCAGAGCTTGACCGGAAGAGCTGACTTCACAACCTTTATGTATGTTTTCTCTTCAGCCCATTCCAGTCTGCTCAAGGGACACACAGGTCTAGATCCAACGGTGCCAAGGCGTCAACGACGTTTTCAGGGGCCAGCTGCGATAGTATTGAGCGAGTTACTCCTCGTCCCTCCTCGTACAGAGAAGGCGGAGATGCGAGTCAAATGCAGCACCATGTTTCCAGGGGCTACTAGTTTCCCGTGCCGTACCCAAGACGGGGCGCCAACACCAGACTCAATAAACCAAGACATTGATCTCCGATGCGGGTCGCGGGTCCCCGTCAACTCGGGCCGCGCGAATCGATTAGCGGTGCTATACCATGGGGAAATAAAGTAGCATTTAATTGCGGTTCCCCGAACGTATTGCTACAGATGCGTTCGCAATTGGTCTGGCCGTCTCGATAGCCGATCGAGTTTACCGTGGTGCAGGTCGGTGTATTGCGTGCACTTCTCTTCAGCACAGCAACTTTCTCGGAGCCGAGCCGACGGTCCGCCCGCTCAGCGTTAACAAGGGTTTCTCACATGCGTCTTCGTCGCTGTTTGGGTTTGAGAAGCGAGGAATGGGTTCTAGGCCCGAGTGGATGATGTGTATCGCCTCCAAATCGGCACCACGTACTCTTCTCTGTCTGTTCATCGCACCAGGTCGCATCTCCGTTGACTCAAGGGCATTCTCATGATTTCCCCTTTCCTGAGCGGAATGATAATCAGACTCATTTTCAGCTTGGTCTGAGCCTTGCCACGCCTGAACAATCCAACCCTGGGCGGAGCCAAGTGAGCTGATGCTTAAAGCTCTCCCCCACTCTCAATGCGAGATGACGATAGAAACATTGGCGAGATGACGAGGGATACTATTAGGCAAACGACCCGAGACTGTCGGCATCATTTTGGAGGGCGGCAACAGGGTGCTACTGAAGCTTCCGACCTTGTGTAGCTCGTCAAGGACCTTCAGGATCATGCGAGGATGGCTCTGGACAGCATGTACAATCGGTAAATACGAATTTCGGAAGATTGTGAGATGTGATGAACCCTTGCCTGCGTGAGTTATACAGTCCAGACATGTGAGCAAGGCCGGACACAAGCCCGCCGCTGGACTTGTTCAACCCAAGTCCATGCATGTGTTGGGATCCTTATGACCAAGTTCAAAGATTCGTAGACCACGGACCAAGGGAAGTTGAAAACGAAAGGCATTTGTGAAGACGGCATGCGGTTCAAGCAAATAGTCGCTCCTTCCACACTAGAGTAAGAAGAAGTGGGGCAGCTTTTGTCACACGGTATACTCCGTTTAAGTACCTAAGGTAGGGGGAAATAGTGGCGTACACATGTGGCCATGCCCATTTTTTGTGTGACACCTGTCGCACAGATAAAATGGGCGTAAACACACATTAAAATACGTTGCATTTTTTGCGCGGTATATCCTCTCCAGCATTGACGTGGAGGGAACACTCGGGAATTTCTGCTGTTTCTTAAGCCGCGAATATCTTTCATGCATGGATGACGAGTACGGAGTAGTATGCTGCATGTGGTGATCATGTTGTCCCTGCTGGCCTACTCATAACACACCTACGTCTGGCACACACGCAGTGCTGATGGGTGTGGTAACATCTATGTTCATGCGGTTTCTCATGCCAAGGGAGAGGGCGAGAAACGAGGAGACGAGGCTTCTAATATGGAACAACACGGGACCAACCAATCCCAGGTTCTTGTTCGGCAGGGAGTCCACGTGGAATTTGGCTCTGCGCTCCGGATTGCCTAGTTTCTTTGCATTGCATGAAACCATGGCTCGGGATCTGGAATCTAAGTTGGAATTCGCCGTTTATTAAACAGGCCAGGGTCGGGTGATCACAGTCTGGCGTCTATGACGGTTTGCATAAGATGGATTCAGAATGTAAAATCCTTTCATTCGATGATGACACGTGGTAGGTCGTATATTGCCTGGGTTGTGTCGACGGCACTCGGTACTCCGCATAAATATCTCCGTGTTGTACGGATCAGAGTAGATAACCTCTATTGATCCAAATCGAGAACAGCGGTCAACAGGTGGAGAGTCCCGATAGTGGGGCGAATCTTTCATCGGAGCCTGCCGATATGTGATGCTTTCGCTCATCAATGCTGGGGCAAAGGCCTTTCATTGCACAGCGCTGGCGATAGATGCCCCGTAATGGCGGGGTATGGCCCCTGTTGATTCCGTTGATCCCCCCCAGGCCCTCTGTGCTGCCCCGCGTTGGCAGGCGCGCCCAGCGTGCAATTTTGACTCGCCTGGTGCGATTGTTTAACCACGGCCGCAACGCACTCTACCCCCATCCAAGTTTCGCACATGGAAGTCTTTCCTAGCACCCGTTAAAGCTTCCCACTTGACGTATCCACTGCCTGCGGTTGGGCACATGGGAACACGGCCATTGCTAATCAAATCATCAATCTCAAATTGACTCTGCCGAGATATCTGGGTACTTAAGTACGTAGCCTACGTCAGTTGACACCTACTAGCTCAACGGGCCAAGCAACCGTCGCATGTAGTACCTTGTTCCTTGTATCTTGTACTCCGTCCGCCCTACCAGTTTCCCAAACCCTCGCCACCCGTCATCTATCATTTAGGACCACGTCGCCGTCCCTCACATCTCCAATTTGCTATTCCTTTCATCCAGCGTCCTCGAACTACAAAGTCGCTGCGACCCCTCGCCAGTAATATTTGACGGGCTCGCCTCTACTCTGTTAGTTTTGTGCCGTCCCTAGCTGGTCCTTGCGCATGCTCGTTTCTTTGTCTTTGCTCGTACTGACGGGTGCAACGTCGCATCATCAGTGAGTTCATCAGCCATGGCCCCCATTGCTGTCTCACCCGAGCGGGAGCCCCTGCCAGAGACTCTGGAGGCTCTGACGGCCAAGTTTGACGATACCTTGCGCTTCTATCTCAACGGAACCAAGGTCGTGCTGGACGATATTGATCCTGAAATCACCGTCTTGGAGTATCTTCGAGGTATCGGACTGACCGGCACCAAGCTGTATGTCGTATCCGCCTGCCTATCCCATTACAACATTTTGAAGCTTGTGTGAACAAACTTGACTGATACATCTGCATGTCTTTCACAGCGGCTGTGGGGAAGGTGGCTGTGGTGCCTGCACAATCGTCGTCAGTCAATATAACCCTACCACGAAACAAATTTATCATGCTAGTGTAAATGCCTGTCTAGCACCGCTGGTCAGTCTAGACGGCAAGCATGTCATTACCATCGAAGGCATCGGCAACACAAAACGTCCACATCCCACACAGGAACGTGTGGCCAAGGGAAATGGAAGCCAATGCGGTTTCTGCACCCCTGGCATCGTAATGAGTTTGTATGCTCTTCTCAGAAACAATGAAACACCCACGGAACACGACGTGGAAGAGGCCTTTGACGGGAATTTGTGTCGATGTACTGGATACAGGCCTATTCTTGATGTCGCCCAGACATTCAGCGTCGAAAGGTCCTTCCCCAACGGCCCACCAAAGTTAAATGGAGATGCCGGCTGCTGCAGGCAGAATGGAAATAACAATGTGCAGGCCAGCGATGCTAATGGATGCTGCGAGAGTGATACCAATGGGGCTCTTTCGGAAAATTGTGCTACCAACAACAGTACGACCAATGGTACTGATAAATCATCTCAGATCAACGGCGGCGGGTGTTGCATGCAAAACGGTGGTCGACCACCCTCTGGCCGTTGCTGCATGCAAAAGAAGGGACTGGATGATCAGCCCATGAAGCGATTTACTCCTCCCGGCTTTATCGAATACAACCCTGACACAGAGCTCATTTTCCCTCCGGCACTGAAGAAACAAGAGCTTCGGCCCTTGGCTTTCGGAAATAAGCGAAAGAAGTGGTACCGACCAACTACCTTGGACCAGCTTCTCCAGATCAAGAGAGTCCACCCCCAAGCCAAGATTATTGGCGGAAGTAGTGAAACTCAGATAGAAATCAAGTTCAAAGCTCTCCAATACCCAGAATCAGTTTTTGTCGGCGATATTGCTGAGCTTCGACAGTACGAGTTCAAAGACAATCACGTTGAGGTTGGAGGCAACGTCACTCTGACAGACCTGGAAGGCATTTGCGAAAAAGCGATCAAGTATTATGGCCATGAACGAGGTCAGGTATTCGAGGGCATCCTGAAGCAGCTCAAATTTTTCGCTGGACGACAGATCCGGAACGTTGGCACTCCAGCTGGTAATTTAGTCACCGCGTCACCCATTTCTGATCTGAACCCTGCTCTATGGGCTGCCGATGCCGTCCTGGTTACAAAGTCTGCTACCAAGGAAACAGAAATTCCCGTATCACAATTTTTTACAGGGTATCGCCGAACAGCTCTTGCCTCAGACGCCGTCATCGCCTCCATAAGAATTCCAGTGACCGCGCCCAAAAATGAGTTCTACCGATCTTACAAACAGGCTAAGCGAAAGGATGATGACATTGCCATAGTCACAGGAGCGCTGCGAATCAAGCTAGACGATCATGGCATTGTTAGTGAGTGTAACTTGATCTATGGTGGTATGGCTGCTACTACTGTTGATGCCAAGACGGCAACCGCCTACATGGTTGGCAAGAAGTTTGCCGAGCTAGAGACCCTCGAAGGAGTCATGAACGCCTTAGGTATCGACTTCGACATGCAATTCAGCGTTCCTGGAGGCATGGCATCTTACAGAAAAGCCCTCGCTTTTGGCTTCTTCTATCGCTTTTACCACGACGCTTTGACGATTCTTGATGGTCAGAGCGAGCATGTAGACAAGGAGGCCATTGATGAAATTGAACGATCGTTGTCAAAGGGAACAATCGACGAGACATCAACTGCCGCCTATGAGCGAGAAGTCACGGGCAAGGCCAATCCTCACCTGGCTGCACTCAGACAAACTACTGGCGAGGCACAGT